GAAGAAACATATATATTTACCACATAGATAAACCTCGAATGATAGACAAGTGAGCTATCTAATGTCACAGGTTGCTATAAAATATTGAATACCCCGTGCAGTTGTTCTAATTCATTGGGGTATTTTGGGTCTTTTGATATCTACATCACCCCCAAAACCTAAAAAAGAAAATAATCATCAATAGGTTTTTATGAACCAAATATTTGATAATTATGCCCCCATTTTGAAAAAAAGGGGGTATATTGCTTTGCACTTGTCGGTCCGTCGGTCCGTCGGTCCGTAGACCAAATGGTTTCCGAGTGATAACTAAAGAACCCTTAGGCCTAGGAACTTCAAACTTGGTATGGTGATTGGTCATGACCAGTAGATGACCCCTATTGATTTTGGGGTCAAGGGGTCAAAGGTCAAGGTCACATTGACCTTGAAAGCAAAAACGGTTTCCGATCAATAACTTAAGAACCTTAAGGCCTAGGAACTTCAAACTTGGTATGGTGATTGGTCATGACCAGTAGATGACCCCTATTGATTTTGGGGTCAAGGGGTCAAAGGTCAAGGTCACATTGACCTTGAAAGCAAAAACGGTTTCCGATCAATAACTTAAGAACCTTAAGGCCTAGGAACTTCAAACTTGGTATGGTGATTGGTCATGACCAGTAGATGACCCCTATTGATTTTGGGGTCAAGGGGTCAAAGGTCAAGGTCACATTGACCTTGAAAGCAAAAACGGTTTCCGATCAATAACTAAAGAACCTTAAGGCCTAGGAACTTCAAACTTGGTATGGTGATTGGTCATGATCAGTAGATGACCCCTATTGATTTTGGGGTCAAGGGGTCAAAGGTCAAGGTCACATTGACCTTGAAAGCAAAAACGGTTTCCGATCAATAACTAATGAACCTTAAGGCCTAGGAACTTCAAACTTGGTATGGTGATTGGTCATGACCAGTAGATGACCCCTATTGATTTTGGAGTCAAAGGTCAAGGTCACATTGACCTTGAAAGCAAAAACAGTTTCCGATCAATAACTAAAGAACCTTAAGGCCTAGGAACTTCAAACTTGGTATGGTGATTAGTCATGACCAGTAGATGACCCCTATTGATTTTGGGGTCAAGGGGTCAAAGGTCAAGGTCACATTGACCTTAAAAGCAAAAACGGTTTCCGATCAATAACTAAAGAACCTTAAGGCCTAGGAACTTCAAACTTGGTATGGTGATTGGTCATGATCAGTAGATGACCCCTATTGATTTTGGGGTCAAGGGGTCAAAGGTCAAGGTCACATTGACCTTGTAGGTAAAAACGGTTTCCGATCAAAACCTAAAGAACCTTAAGGCTTAGGAACATCAAACTTGGTATGGTGATTGGTCATGATCAGTAGATGACCCCTATTGATTTTGGGGTCAAGGGGTCAAAGGTCAAGGTCACATTGACCTTGTAGGTAAAAACGGTTTCTGATCAATAACTAAAGAACCTTAAGGCCTAGGAACTTCAAACTTGGTATGGTGATTGGTCATGATCAGTAGATGACCCGTATAGATTTTGGGGTCAAGGGGTCAAAGGTCAAGGTCACATTGACCTTTTAATTAAAAACGGTTTCTGATCAATAACAAAAGAACCCTTAGGCCTAGGAACTTCAAACTTGGTATGGTGATTGGTTATGACCAATCAGATGACCCCTATTGATTTTGGCGTTAAGGGGTCAAAGGTCAAGGTCACATTGACCTTGTAGGTAAAAACGGTTTCCGATCAATAATGAAAGAACCCTTAGGCCTAGGGACTTCAAACTTTAGATGGTGATTGGTCATGATCAGTAGATGACCCCTATTGATTTTGGGGTCTAGGGGTCAAAGGTCAAGGTCACATTGACCTTGTAGGTAAAAATGGTTTCGGATCAATAACTTAAGAACCCTTATGCCTAGGAACTTCAAACTTGGTATGGTGATTGGTCATGACCAGCAGATGACCTATTGATTTTGGGGTCAAGGGGTCAAAGGTCAAGGTCACATTGACCTTGAAGGTAAAAACGGTTTCCGATCAATTAACTAAAAATGCTTAGGCCTAGGAACTTCAAACTTTGTGTGATGATTGGTCATGACCAGCAGATGACCCCTATTGAGTTTTAGGTGAAGGGGTCAAAGGTCAAGGTCACATTGACCTTTTAAGTAAAAACGGTTTCTGATCAATAACTCAAGAACGCTTAGGCCTAGGAACTTCAAACTTGGTATGGTGATTTGTCATGACCAGCAGATTACTCCTATTGATTTTGGGATCAAGGGGTCAAAGGTCAAGGTCACAATGACCTTGTAAGTAAAAACGGTTTCTGATCAATAACTAAAGAACGCTTCGGCCTAGAAACTTCAAACTTGGCATGGTGATTGGTCATGACCAGCAGATGACCCCTATTGATTTTGGGGTCAAAGGTCAAGGTCACATTGACCTTTTAAGTAAAAACGGTTTCTGATCAATAACTCAAGAACGCTTAGGCCTAGGAACTTCAAACTTGGTATGGTGATTTGTCATGACCAGCAGATTACTCCTATTGATTTTGGGATCAAGGGGTCAAAGGTCAAGGTCACAATGACCTTGTAAGTAAAAACGGTTTCTGATCAATAACTAAAGAACGCTTCGGCCTAGAAACTTCAAACTTGGCATGGTGATTGGTCATGACCAGCAGATGACCCCTATTGATTTTGGGGTCAACGGTCAAGGTCACATTGACCTTGTATGTTAAAACGGTTTCCGATCAATAATAAGAGAACCCTTAGGCCTAAGAACTTCAAACTTGGCATGGTGATTGGTCATGACCAGCAGATGACCCCTATTGATTTTGGGGTCAAGAGGTCAAGGTCACATTGACCTTGTAGGTAAAAACGGTTTCTGATCAATTTACTAAAAACGCCTAGGCCTAGGAACTTCAAACTTTGTATGATGATTGGTCGTGACCAGCAGATGACCCCTATTGAGTTTTGGGTCAAGGGGTCAAAAGTCAAGGTCATGACCAGTAGATACTTTATAACCCTTATTAATTGTTTGATCACTGGGTCAGACGTCATGCATAATAACCTTATCACATGACTAATTGGCTGCTGATAGGGGGCATACATGTTTTACAAACATATCTTGTTTAATTGGTTTTCCATTCCTCAGGTGCTAGGTGCTGAAGTTCAAGATCTATACAGATCTAAAAAAGCAATAAGTGTTTGATCAATACCTGGCTTATTTAATGATGCTAAAATATAATTTTTCCTCCCGTTTTCCAATCAAGTCTTTCTTTACAACAATTCAAAACATCTCATTGCATATAAAAAAAGTGATAAAGTGAAGAAGTAAAAAGAACAACTGCACAGGGTTTTCAATATTTTACAGCAACGTAAAACAGATAGCTCACCCCTCTATCATTCAATTAAGTTTATCTATGTATTGTGTTATTCCTGAGCAAAGGAAGCCTTTCTATCAATCTGGTGCACTTGCCAGCCCTTTATCACTGTGGGATTGAAATTTTTTGATATTTTCAATATAACCTACGACTACGAGACAAGGGTTAATTTTCAATATAACCTACGAGACAAGGGTTTTGATTACAAAAGAATCATAATGATCTTGTTAAACTTTACATAATTATGTCAAGCAGCAATGGAGTTATCCAACTTTAGATGTTATCATAAACATGTATATATGGTCCTTCATCAAGGTTGAATAAATAAATTTTCTAAGCTACTTTTAGAATATCTTTTAGATAGGATGCGAGTTCTAAAAATAGAGTCTTTAAATTATTATTTTTTTAAACCAAAGTATATAGATTTTATTATATAAATTATAATTAATTAACACTTGTTTTAGTGGTGCTTAAGAAATTCAGATAAATTTGTTATTGTCCTTATTAGGGAACATCAAAACTAAAGGAGGAAAAATGTTTCAATAGTCTTATCTTGGGAACAAATAAAAGCATCTTTTGTGAGCAATACAGGTCCATCATGGCTCTCTTGTTGTTTTCTTGTTTAATAACTGAGCAGTCATATTTTTCTCATACTTATACATCTTGTGGATTTTAAATGAAAACATGAGTAAGCTTTATTGTTAAAAGAGGACAAGGCACTTATCTTTATTTTTCTTCATTTGAAAAATTTCATTCCACATTCCTCGGTTGGTATTCAGTTGTCAAAATCTTTACAAATAACAAATTATATGAAATTTTCATTAAGGAGATCTTTTATTACATTCATTTTTTCAATTTCTCACTTAGGAAAACTGTTTCACAATCTAAAGTGTTAAAATGAACCTAAAGAATGCAAAAGCTCGACATACCAATTATTTTGTGTAAATATTTGTATAGTGGAGTTGGTCCAGCCATTTGATTTTATATAAGTTTATTAGATCATCTGAAGTTCAAACAAGGGGGCCGTACTGGATTAAGATTGTTTAAACAGTATAGTTGGAAGTTGACAAACACAAACTTCTTCATATAGTAATTATCAGTTGCCATTTTGTAGCTTCTTTATTCTGATGTAGGGCAGCCTTTGAGTTGCACATGCTTGTTATGTCTCAAGATTTAATTATATCTTCATGGCAAAGGTTGTTATAAATTGATTTCTCAGGACCAACAGTTTAATGCATGAAAGAGTCAGCTATTTACATGCTTCCAAAAGTTTTAAGTTTGAGCTTAATTATAGTTGCTGGTTTGTCTTTTTGTCTGCCTCCCTTGCCCCATCACTGGTTTGTCTTTTTGTCTGCCTCCCTTGCCCCATCACACTTACATTTCTCATTTAGCACCTTCTTTTAATTAATTAACTTATTTGTATATTAGATGTTGGGATTTTACAGGGTGAAGGTCATTGAGACTAATAATATATTTTCCTTCTTGTCCTCAAAGTAAGACCATGTTTTTATGTTTGTTTGTATAGAAATTTATGTTTGTCAAAGTAACATCATAGTGCATCCTTGTGTGTTACTTATATTCATTATTTTAAAGATATTACAGTAAGACATAATAAATTATAATTACAGTGGTGAGAGTGGTAGTGGTAAGACTGAAGCTACCAAGTTAATCATGCAGTATCTAGCAGCGGTCAACAAGTCCGGTAGCAACACTATCACTGAACAGATTCTCGAGGCTAACCCTCTACTAGAATCCTTCGGCAATGCTAAAACTATCAGGAATGATAACTCCAGCAGATTTGGGAAATACATTGAGGTGTTCTTTAAAATGTAAGTATGATGTATGGAATAAACATCGTGTAATGTTACTTGTTTTTCAGTGTACTATTCCTGTTTCTTTATCTTAATATTTGGCCATGTCTGATTTGGATTTTGCTGTTATGGGGGAATTTTCTTGCATTACATTATCATGTGATATCAGATTTTGATAATTATTTGTTCTGATTTCAAAAATAAAAAGCTTCAATAAAACTCATCTCAGAAGTGTTGTCAAGCTTGCTTCAAAAACTCATTTATTATACATGTTTGTAAATGACAACTGATGTAAAGCTTCTATAATGTTTGTACTGGTACAAACAAGATATTAATTGTGGCCTTTTGTTTGGTTAATTTGACAAAAGGCAAAAAGCTGCATAAATGTGAGTCATTTATTGTATGATGTGAGAATGAATCTTGTAAACTCAAGGTTTAAAACAAAGCATTTGTTTATGTTTGAAAAAAAAAAGAAGATAAAATACAACTTAAGTTACTGTGGCAAGTTAATGGAGTTGACTCCATTATGAAGTTATTATCATCTTTTATTTAATTGCCTTATTTGAGCGAAAATTTGCCATTGGTAATTGATGTCAGCATTGAATATTTTTATGAATTTTGGTCTTCTTATGGCTTTTTTTTTTCACCCCTGGATATGTGTAATAGATTTATCTTGCTATGAATTTCTGACTGTCCTAATTTGGGAGATATTGCCACTGGAAATCCAATGGTGTAGAGTGTTGACAGGTAGCATATACTTGTCTTTTGTACTTGGGGAACTTTGAAGCTTTTCTAAGTTGAATAATAAATGAGTTAGGCAGTGGACAATGTATGTTTACATTGTGAATGGTTGGTGGTTGTAATCAGGTGCCCAGTTGTGCCTTAAATAATGTAGGAGGTCTTCCTCTACCACTAAAACTGGAAAGGGAAAATATGACATTTATAGAGCTGCTGTGACATTATAAACCCCAACTAAAAAATAAAGATATGATTATCACAGACACGACCTGCCTATCATAGACATGACCTGCTGAGGGCATTTATGACAGAATTTAAGTAGAATTTAATGATACCTATGTCTAGTATAGTTATATAGAAATTGAAATTTAACATGAGAGCAATGTTAGAGAGAGTTACCAATATGGAAGTCATCAATTGCCCACGGTGTCATGGCAAGCAATCTTCTGTTATTGTCAAGTGCACCTTTATTGTTGATATCTTGATGAAATTTCTTTCAGTGGGGTGTACCTCTCCAATTCAACAGGTTAAATAAAATATCGTATGTCAATGTGTTATAATTATCAAGGTTCTGTTTGACTATAATCAATTTTTGCGACCTGACATACTGATTGTCCCGTGGAAAAAATATATCAAATACGATATACATAGTTGATGTACCTATCAAAAATCAATGTTGATGAAATGGTTGACTGATTACTGATATATATCATGTTGTTTATACTTTATTGAACTGATAGGTTTCCCTTACACTGTTTGCTATTGATTCTGTGTTATTTTCTACATCATAAAGCAATTAAATAAGAAATCGATGGGAACAAAATTGAGCGGTAAATGACTGTAGTAATAAAATAAGAGACAGCTGGCACTTGTATTCATATTGCTGGATAGTTTTATAGTTCAGTAGTAATTTTGAAAGTACATAAATACTTGATAGTCTGTCAATATTGACTCTCCATTGTTTCCAAGACTCTTTTCATTTTATTTCTAGTATAATGATACGGTAGTTTCTGTTATAACTTCCATGAATAATTTATTAGTATTATTTCTTATTGACAATATTTGACATGAATAATTGGAAAATAAACAAAATGTTACCATTTAATAATGATTTTTGGTTGGTAGCAGAAGTTCCTAGTATAAAATTATTAGAATGTTTCACTAATGTGTGTAGGGAGATAGTCTGTCTTTTGATGACTTATAAATCATAAAGTAAAAAGATTTGTTTTCACCCATTGGCTACCAGTGATATGATAACAAAATATAATGACTTCATATATAATATGAAAATAAAAGAATATTTGTACCTACATATATTTATTGGTAATCTTGTGTAGACTGACACTAATTTTCTAGAACTTTACTGGCATAGAAACACAGCAGATTTTGTCCACTGATAATATCCAAGGTTTCAATGGTCTACCACTTGAATATCACTATAATCTGTAGTTTTCTAGATACCCACTACAATTCATTGATATTTCACTGATATTCTGATGACATTTGTACTAGGATATTGATATTCATATCACTAATTTTGTTTTTAAGAAAATTGTAGTTTAAATGTACCGTAATAATTCTATTTAGCGCCCATCCTCTAATAGACGCCCACCCCCCATATTTTAGACAAAAAACGGCCATTTTTCAGCCCAAAGTTGAACAATTAACTGCCCCTTTTAAACGCCCATCCCCCGATTTGAGTACAATTGAGCTTACCTTTACAATTCAAGTTTCCTTATTTCCGTTTTCACGTAGGAACGAACTTCCCTTTTCTTGTCTTTTTTTATAGTTTTTAGTTTATATGTACACGGTATTTAAATGCCACCACCTTTTACAAAAGTTCCTTTTTATGACGAACGCGGTTCTCCAAGTATTTCGGCACTGATTTCTACAATAAGTCCATCTTTGAATAATTTTGTAAGAGGCTGACATAATCCCTCCGGTATATGTCCAACAAGAGATCCATTATTTTTTACGATAATTGCGCTATCACTATGTTCATTTTCTGGTTCCAAATTACACTGAAGTATAGTTCCGACTGGGCATGTATATTTGTAAACGTGATATCCCTTAATAACAGATTTTATAGACACAAGCATAGGTGTTGCCATAATTCAATGTGTTTTGTGTATAAGATATATATACATGTATAAAAAATAACCATTCCGAGATACACGCGCCTATTTCATTACGTCAGCAAGGTCAACGTGCGTGGTTCAATGTATTGGGGCCCAACATGGGAGATTAGTTCTGATTAAAATTATTTTGAACAATAGACGATTGTCTTTTTATATCAAAATCCCGCATCAATCCCTTTAAGAACATATATGCTTGTGTCAGTAAAATCGGTCAGAACTATTCTTACTTTTTTTTAACAATTATATTGGCGGGTAAAAAATGCATAATGATCGGACTCGAAATATTCCATTGACTTTTTGAATTGTATAGAACATCCCAGATTACAGAGTTAATTGGTAACCTTACATAAATATTTCGTTGGGAAAAATCATAATATTTTTGCAGTAAAAATGCGTGAGGCTCATTTTTTATTCCCGTGCTCGGATACCGGACTCTACATGCACGGTATTAAAGTGCGGAAAAGAACAGACTTTAGCCGGTACGTTACGATACCGAAATCGACTTTAGCGTTGTCTGCAATTATAAATCAACATCCGCTCTATCTTCGGATTCGATTTCTTCTTATAGTTATGAGGGGCGAGTGGATTTATAAAGCCTTGCTTAGAAAATTAGTTTGTCTTATGAAGATGCGTCTCCAATTAACGCCCATCCCCAACTTTCGAAAAGTCTATGATTCTAATAAAAGCCCGGGCGCTAAATAGAATTATTACGGTATAACACTTTATGTTTTCAGGGGATCCATTGTTGGTGCCAGAACATCAGAATATCTGTTAGAAAAGTCAAGAATTGTGACACAGGTAAAAAACATATAAAACCAAATAATGAATAAATCAATTTTATAAACCAATTACCTGCTTGAACCTGAAGTGATTAGCCTTTGCCACCAGTCAAGAGCTAGGTCAGTCTGCGTATTTGTGCAGTCTGATCAGGCTCTACACTGTTAGCTGATAACTTCAAACTATCATCTTGATATCCCCAAAATTGATAATGGACAGTTTCAAAACTGGAAGCTGGACAAGTCCATTTAGGAAATTCAGCAGGTTAATGGCTAAATGCATTATTATAAAACGCATTTGTTACTTGTTAGAATATTTACAATAATGTGACAGATATTAGTTTTTATATGAAAAACACATGCTGAAAATAAAAAAAAATATTGTCATATGGACATTCTACCATTATCTCAAACATTTATGTTGTGCATAAAGTTAAAAAAGAAAACCTTACATATGTTATTCCTTAATAAGTATAAAATCATCATAAATTTTTAATTTTTGATCAAACATCAAGGTGTATAAGCACACCTTCTGTTTACTAGATGACCTTTTAACTAACAAAGCTCACCAAAGATAAATTTTATTTCCTTTTGGCATTAATAGTTATTGTTCATGCAGTAAGTTATCATTGAGTGTTATGTTTCTATATTAATATACATGACTTATATTGACAGGCACCAGAGGAGAGGAATTACCATGTGTTCTATGAACTGTTGGCAGGTCTTGATGATGACAGGAAGAAGAAATTAGGCCTACAGCAAGCCAGCAAATATTTCTACCTAAATCAGGTATGATGATTCCATTATCTTATGATTGTCCAGGGATAATATAATGGACCCGATAACTTCAAAACAATAACATAGTAGATCTATTTCATTTACAGAAATTTTAAAACCTTTTTTTGTGTACAGAAAAAATAAAAGTGATGCATTTAGAGAACTCAACCATACCTGATTTTGTTATATGTATTTACCCTAATTTGAATATAGCATTGTTCATAACAAGGATATTAACTAGAATTTAGCAACATTGATCACCAGTAACTGTTGCTAACATTAAAAAGTTCACACAAATTTTTTGTGTGTAATGCTATTTTTAGCAATTGTTAATCAGTGCTGAAAATTATGCCCTTTATAAAAGTCAATGATTTTGTGAAAATTTACATCTGTTTTGGGATATTTTGATGTATCATTTATTCCCCTTACTTACAGTTATTTTTCTGTGCATGTAATTTTATCAAAAGCTTTTTACTAAAGTAAGCATGCTTCATTTTTATTAGCATTTGAAAAAAAAATTAAGCCTGCTAGCTTTTATTTAATAGCATCACACCTTCTATGTGGGACAAGATGTAAGCTGTAGAATTTTAATGAATGTAAAAATAAAGATACCTTCAACCATGATATAATAGTATACTTTCATTTTTAGCTCAACTATTCAAAGAAAAATTGCCCTACTCAATCTAGTATTAGTGTTGTGCAACACTTTCTCATTAATATCTGGAGACTGTACACATGTCTTAGATATCATAATTCTAGTTTAAATTCCAAGACCTGTAACTCTAGCATGGGTATTTATTGAATATCTAATATATCTTGAATATCCTTGTGTAAAAACTTCTTTGGGAATGTTTTGCATGTAAGTTCTATTTCCACAACCACTGAAGGTATTAATTTGAATCTTTGCCCATTTCTTCAAGGTAATACAGGTAATTGTAGGTCTCTGACCAAGAACCATAACTCTTGATTCAATTTTCACTGAATTATTCCGCTTTGTAAACTTACAAACTTCTTTCAATATCAAGCACTGAGAATAGTCAAGTGTGCTGTCCATCTACCAGCTTTTATTTAATTTATCTTTATCTCTTTAACCATTTTCAATTGTTGTTTAAGTAATAGAAAGAGCATCAAAACACAAGGCTATCTGATTTGTACATGGGGCATAGCCCCCCGAGTATAAATCAGATTGCCGAGTGTTTTGATGTTCTTTCTCTTTTGTATCATAGTCAAACACGTTCCCTGTCGTCACAATATGAAACCCCAATGAATGAGCATCTGAATAAGAAATTTCCGTTGCTTTCCCTTTCTCTGCCGTCACAATACGTAAACCCCAGCAAAAATTAGCCAATCAATAGACATGCTCTGGAGTGCGGGTAACTAATACCTGCACTCCAGTTAACGCACTTGCATGTATATGTATAGGATTTAACTCCGACGCATTTTCAACAGAAAGGTCCCCAAACTATGATACAATGTAAAATAAGATTGTGATGGCAATTTGGTCTTCATTGCCTTTATAGTTTATTTGAGTATAAGAGCATTCTTTTTTTTTCTCTTTTGTTTTCGCGATTATCTCACTCAATGTCAGCCATGCATAATAACAATGGTTTGTATTACCAGATACTTTGTATGAATTATTGTTTCTCTTTATTTTCTGTCATAAACTATTTAACACTTGCAATCTTTGTTTTATAATTCCACATGCACGATCACATCAAATTTATACGGTGAATTTTTACTCATTAATCATATTTCATGTTTGACTTATGTTTCCATTTAACATATTGCTTGTTTAATGTTGTAATGTTTATCATGATACCTTGGTGTTGTTTGTTGTTTATTTTTGTTTGTTGCATGAATGTGTTGTTGACTGTTTTCAGAGCTGTTATGATGACAATAACCAGGTCAGTTTGCTTGTCACCTAGCATGCTAACATCAACTGTCCAAACAAATGCTACATTCTCTCCATACCCCACCCCCTTCATTACCAGTTAAACCTTTATAATTTATGGCATAAGTTAATTGTATGAAAAAAAAATGTTTTTGAGGTATCTACATGAACTTTTCTTCCATTTTTGGTAAACATGGCGTTTTTGGCATTGGATACCTCAAAAATTAATTAACATTTTGAATTTGCTTATGCAATCTTAATTATGAACTTACTTTAAATAGAAATATGTCTGATATACATGAATACTGCTCAAAGTTTACTGGATATTTAAGTTTTAATAATTATTTTACTCTACTTTAATAAAGGTTTAATTGAATCCTTCCCTGCCAACCATTTTCATGCCAAGTTCTACCTAATATTACCATACCATTCATATTGAAATCTCAAATATAAAACCCCACATTTAAAACTATGCAAGCATTTAAAACACTACAAGCCATTTCAGGTAATTGAAATCTGTCATTTACGGGAATTAAATTGTTCCAATATAAAACTCTCCAATGCATATAATTATATACATGTACTACCTCTATTTTAAACATGGGAAAAATCTGCTCCGACCATTTCAGAAACCCCTACATTGGTAATGGCTTATAAAACATAATACAATAGCATAAAACCCTTCAATTTTGAATGCAAACCTTGTTATTTTAGCATAATGAAACATTTCTGTACAAGCATGTTCTAGTATATGTGAGCTAAACAAGCTTTCAGAACCTTGCAATCTTATTTACTTCCCTTTTCAAAGAAAAATCAGAGTCATGACTTGGCTGCATCAGCTTTTGGTTAAGTTTTCTTTTATGCTATGCTCTTTAATTTCATTATTACAAGGCTATTACAGTGAAACTTAATATATGGATGTACCTTTATGTGTTTTGCCAGTCACACCTATGTTCAGGACAAATGGTTAAAGGTCAATGGCACCTCTAATATAAAATTGGTCATTAAATCAAAGTGCAGTTTATTATCGGACTCTGAACTTTTGTATTATATGCTTTTATATCCCTATCATGTAATGCAGACATATTTTAAGGATGATGAGTATACCTTTTACTTCATATTTGAAACATTCTAATTCCCTGCCATTCATGCATAATACATCTATTAATTTATCATAAAAATTTATTCACTGTTCACAAAATAATGCCATTCGAGAATAAAACATTATATTCCTGCCAGCATGAAACCTTTATATTTCATTTGGTGATTTGACCCTTAATAATGCTGTGTATCATACAGCATTCTTTGAAACTATGCCATCTTAGATTTTAAAACCTTGCCTCTCCTTTATGCCATTTTCCTCCCTCTTTAGGTAAAGAAGAAACCTTATGAGCAAAAAAAGTTGCAGCTCCTACTATGAAAAAGTTATATCTAAGTCTTTGCATAAGTTGCAACTGTTTTGCACCATGCCTGAAGAACGAGAAACAATTTATATATTGTTTGTGTGGTTGTCAACAAACTTTTTGGTGTGCTCACTTGATTTTTATATTGGGTATTTAACTAACTTCAGTTGAACAAGAAAGGAAAAATAAGTAGTATTATCTGTTTGTTTAAATCAGAATAATATCATGATGTCATTTTTGATGGCATGTGATGTCATGAAATCTATTAGTATCAATTAACAGACTGCAGTGTTTTGTTTGAAGCAATGTCTTTTCTTTCAGCATGTTTAGAATTTAAATAAATATGTCTTCCTTGTTCTGGTTAGTACTTTTGAGATTAAATGTTTTTCGCTAATTTCCTTTAGCCCTTAATTTAAATCCTTAAATATTTGACTGGCATCTAATGTAGAAAATATGATTTTTGTACCTGGACAGCATTGCTCCTTTAGAATTAATCAAAATTTGGTGCAACTTTGTTTTGATTTTGTGTTAATATAGATTTTACTTTGATAGAATGTGATGAATTTGAAATTTGTGTTACACTTTAACTGTAGTTGTATTGTCATTTCGGTCAGTAATAATTTTTACATTTCGTATTGGTGATAGTACATTTTGATGTAGCTGTTGTTTTTATGCTCCTAATTGATAGATTTGGAGTATCTTGTTTTTTCTGTCTCTATGTGAACAAATTTAGCTTAAAATCTTCATTCCATTATAACATATAAAAGAAAAAGCCTTCGTACTTGAACACAACACAAATTAGTATGCGAGATTCATTTCAACAGATTGAAATATTCACCCCTGAAGGACGGATGAAATTTTAAATTTCAAAATATTTCACCATAACTTTGTTATTAATGAACGTATTCAAAATCGCAAAACATAATTATGTAATTTATTTATTAATTGTATTGGTTTTGTTTGTATCTTTTTATGGTTTATGTTTTTTCTTAATCTAAATAAGTAACTCAGTTACATAGTAAGGTATATAGTTTGATAATGGATAAATGATATTGAAGTTACTGATGGACACATTGAGAAATATGAAACAATAATTTATTAAAGAAGAAAAAAAACAACCGTAGCACAGGAATAACATAATCTTCATACATGTATAACAAGAGGTAAAATAGAACTAGACAAGACATAATAATACATAGAATCTTGAACTAAGAAGGACATAGCAAAAATATAATGCAAAAGTCAGTACAAGTTACGGGATTGAAAAAAAAATAAAGAGTAAAAAAGAAAAACGAAATCCAGGATCTGTGACAGAAAAATGCAGTAAGGAATTTGAAGAATTTTATTGGCAAGGACACAAAATATATGTAGAAAAGTCTCTCTAGAGATTTTCAGTATATCTATTCTGTATTAATGTAAATGTATGATAATTTGTTTAGGGAGGAAGTTGCACATTGTCTAGTCGTGATGATGCCAGTAATTTCCGCATGTTGTGTGACGCTCTGCACGTGCTCAACTTCTCCAAACACGAAGAAGAAACCATTCACAAGATCCTTGCTGCTGTCTTACATACTGGCAATATATACTTCAAGAAAATTCTTGTAAGTTTGATTAAACTCTTTTTATAAAAGTTGTTTTATATTAAGATAAATTTATATATGTATGGAGCCTATGTGGTTGAGTGGTTTAGGTCAGTGATTTTGAACCGCTTTCCCTGTTAGTGTTCAGTGATGGAATCCCCAGGGACTTTGGAGTTTAAAAAAGTGTGTTGTAAATATTTGAACCCTGTTGTACAAATAATAATGCAATTGCCAAAATGTTATTAATGTAAAATCTTGTTGTAAATGTAATAGAACATAATACAGTTTAATAATATAATGTTACATAAATACATGTTCGTAAATTATGTAATGCAGTTATTTAATGTAAGTTATTAATGTAAGACATGGTTATAAATATGAAACTTTGTTATATACATAGGTTGATAACCATGATACAGTATATATAACTTTGTTATTAACATAGGTTGATAACCATGATACAGTATATATATTATTAACATAGGTTGATAACCATGATACAGTATAATTATTATATAACTTTGTTATTAACATAGGTTGATAACCATGATACAGTATATATAACTTTGTTATTAACATAGGTTGATAACCATGATACAGTATAATTATTATATAACTTTGTTATTAACATAGGTTGATAACCATGATATAGTATATATATTATTAACATAGGTTGATAACCATGATACAGTATAATTATTATATAACTTTGTTATTAACATAGGTTGATAACCATTATACAGTATATATAACTTTGTTATTAACATAGGTTGATAACCATGATACAGTGGAGATGGGAAGTACAGCTGAGGTAAAATGGATTTCACATCTTCTAGAATTGTCAGAGGACTGGCTCAAACAAGCTCTTACACAGAAAGTTACAGTGCGTACTTCTTCTTATGTTTATTATTTTTATTGGTATCATGATCTTGAGTAACTGCTTTCTCTTGTTTTGTTTATAGATAACTTGATTGCAGTAGAACATTCATTCAGATATTGTTTATATATGAAGAATGCATCGAAAACACTAAGCATGATTAGATTTCTTTTGCTAAATCAAGATGTTTTGTTTTCAAAAAGTTAAAAGTGTAAATGGTGAAGGGAGTCATTTAAAAGAAAAAAAAAAGATTCTTAGATATATATATGAAATTCACATATTCATAATATTATATGACTATAAGATATAATATAAATTCTAGGAAACACGTGGGGACAGAGTTCTTACACCATACAACATAGATCAGGCACTTGATGCCAGGTAAGAAAATGAACTAAGTGTCATTAGTGATATAATATCGTAAAAATAAAATGCAAAGTTCTCTTACATATTAAGCCTCTTCATATATTGATATATAAAGCATACAGAAACACTTACAAAATACCCTAGAAAGAAATCATTTTCAGTTTAATAAGTAATCATTTTAATCAAAATTGCTTGTAATTTCAGTAATGAATCATGTTCCCTTTTCAATTAAATACAATGTAATATTCATCTTTGTTGAATATTAACTACGTAAGACATTTTATTTCAAAATTTCAGAGATGCGATATCTAAAGCATTGTACAGTCGATTGTTTACATGGCTGGTAGAAAGAATTAATTTGATTGTGTGTCGATCTGAACGAGAGAAATCCACGTCATTGGCTGTCCTTGATATCTTCGGATTTGAGGTCAGTGTTTTACAGATATGTGTCTTTGTCTTGAGGGGTTTTCAATTTCAACACTATTAAAGCCCCTTTTAGAATTTGGCTTAGCGGAAAATCCATAGATACCTCACCATAATACATTGCTTCAAAAAAAAGAAATCACCTTTGTTTTATAACTTTACATTTTACTTTTAGTGTACATTTTACTTTTAGTAAGCCGGATATCTTGATGTTGTTTGTAGTAAATTATGGAAGCATACAAAACAAAACCAAAACCATTTTATGATGCATTAATAATGATAAAATATTTCCTAACACATGCATATATAAGCTCTTTTGATAGCATTTTGACACTTTTATTTGTCTTGAAAAGTTATGTAGACAAAAGTAATCAGTGCAACAAAATATAAGCATTTCAAATTTGTAATTATATTTTTATTTACATTCAGGACTTTCATGTGAACAGTTTTGAGCAGTTATGTATCAACTATGCAAATGAGACGCTGCAGTTTTTCTTCAACCAGCATGTGTTCCGTCTGGAACAGAAAGAGTATGCGAAAGAGAAGATAGACTGGACTACTATAGAATATCAGGATAACCAACCTGTCATAGATCTAATCGCTAGTAAACCAGCCGGAATCTTACATATACTCGGTGACGAGTGTAACTTTCCTCAGGTAATACTGTTCAGATGTTCAAAGGGAAGAATGGGTACGCCTAATTGTTTTGCCTCTTTAAATAAAACCTTTATTACTATTATTAGTGTAAGTATTTTGACTACACAGGATTTAAAATGTATCTCTATATTGAGAATGTAACTTAAACAAAATTGCTGTATATTTCATTTTCTTGGTATGATAAAATTATAAGGTAGTAAGAATTTGATGATTTTTGTTAAATTTGAAACTTTTTATAGAAATATTAGTATATTGTTAATATAAAAAATATTTTGTATTTTATTTCCATAGGCAACAGATGGATCATTTTTAGAGAAGTGCCACTTTCACCACAGTGATAACGGTCTGTACGGGAAGCCCCGTATGTCAGCACCAGAGTTCAGTATCAAACACTATGCTGGAAAAATCAAATATAATGTAAGAGTCAATTACAACAGTCATATATATGTATCTTCATCTTTAAATTCTTAATTCATGTAGGAAAGCTATGTACAGGTACTTTACAAACTTTATGTCTACCTTGATGACTGTCCTAGTTGTGCTTGAAATAATACACAGAGAAGCAACCTTTCTTCACTGTAAAAACTGGGAAGTTGCTATATATTTATACTATGTTGATGTGCCTTAAAACCATTGAATCCTTAGTGTTATATTGGTATACTGTAATCATTGTGTCCCATATTTTTCAGATTGTCCATTTTCTGGAGAAGAACAAAGACACACTGAGAAGTGATGTTGTTGAACTTCTTTGTGAAAGTAAAAATAAGGTATGGAAATACATATTGTATAAATGAGACAGTCAGTTGTTTCGTCTAACCAGCGTAACATTTTGATAATTTAAAATGGTTGTTGTTAAACAAACATTTAAGTATGTTATGAAATTTAAGATTAAAATTTTATGAAATTGTGTCAGTATTTTAAAAATAAAAATAGTTCTGTACAAAAGATTTGAATTGACTTTAATAATTTTAATGGTGGTGAAATATTCATCAATTTATATACATGTATGTTGTCCTATTCAATGTTACACTGTTGAGTTTGTAAAATAGACTTGTCTGGTCAGACATCTGTGAGATGCAGACTTGTATGACTTTATACTGAAGACATAAGTCTCTTATTAACACCACTCATATTGAAAATTGTCAACAGAGAAATTGGTGCAGGACGAGTCAGTTACCAAAATTCAGTAAGTTAATGCTTAAGAGGACAACAGTTTCGTTGAACCAGCCGTATTCCACAATATATTTATGAGTTACAGCCCCTTAAATGCGCTATTCAAAATATTAATGACGATCTTGTTTTATGTATGATTTCAGTTGATAGCACAGATGTTCAAAGATATGAGGGACAGATTAATAACAAAAACTTTAAGTAAAACAACGGGTCGCTTTGTTACAATGAAGCCTAGAACACCGACAGTGGCGGCAAACTTCTGTGAATCACTGTTATCACTTATAGACACAATGTCTCGGTGCAATCCATACTTTGTGAGGTGTCTTAAACCAAACAATGATAAATCGCCTATGACATTTGAGAGAAATGTGGTGTTAGATCAGTTACGATATACAGGAATGTTGGAAACTATACGAATACGGAAGCTGGGATTCCCAATTCGTGTCAAATTCCCGCATTTCATTGAAAGGTAAGGCAAAGAAAGAAGTATTGGACATTGAAATTTTCCTGTAATATTAAGTCTGATTTTAAGCTCTCCTGGTTAAGTTTCAATGTTATATTTTACATCCTCTCATGTATTTTTAGCATAAGGTTTTTGATTTATGAATGGAATATGTAATACCTGAATAATTGCTAAAAAAGTCAGACAGGGCCAGACTGTCTACACTGAAAATTTATACTAGATTTTGCAAAAGCAGTGTGCAAATATTAATAGAATAGAGGAGTTGCACTTATCTTAAATGTCATATCTATATAGATGATAAATATTCAGTTTGATATATTTACCTAATCTTCAACTACAGAACTGAAAAAGATTATCTATTTTTATTTGAGGACATTATTTATCAGGTGTAATTAATTTTCAGAGATATTTTATGTCCTAAGCTACCTAGTAACTATAACCCATCTGTAAGACATTACCTGCTATAATGATTAATGTAATTATAAAATACTTTTGTCACTATCAGTACTGTCACACCTAGTAATAAAGGGAGGCAACTGTGAGTGGCAAGGACAATATGGTTATGCAGTGTTGTAAAAGGGATATAGTTATGTTACATACGATGTTATGAAACATACAATGTGAAAATGATGTCGTAAATTAATCTTCATGAAACTTAATAACTGTCTGATCCATCGATACACCTAAAACACCTTATACAACTTAGAAAAAATTTTATTCTTGAATTTCTTACTTCTGCTCATCAAGTAAATAACATTTTCCCTTGTTTTCCCAACTTTAAACATAAAGGTACTTACTTTCAAAATGTAATTAGTTTTATTTTTGCATGAAGTTGTAACTGGTTAAAACCATTTCAGTCAAGTTTAAAGTGCTCAGGTGTAAATATTCATGCCCTGCTTGATTTGTGTAATAGACTTGCCCTGCTTTGAATTTGGATCAGTCCAATGTTACTTTATTGGGTTTTGACGTAAGTTTAATTGTAGAAACTAACAGTATAAAGTCCTGACAGAGATGTGCAGGTTAGTCAGCCTTTATACTGAGCACAATTGCCATTAACATTCAAAGGTGGCATCCATGGCTGAGTGGTTATGATCATTGAATGCAAACCACTCATCATTACTGATGTGGATTCAAATCTTGCCAGGGGCTTTAGATTCTTTCATGTGAGGAAGCTAACCAGCTATGTTATGGTTGTTGGTGGTTCTACTCTAGTGCCAGTTGGTGCCTGAAGTTATGCAAGAAGGGGCACCTACCTGAGGTCTTTCTCCACCAGTAAAGTTTGAAAGTCACCATATGACCTTTACAGTGTTGTTGTGATGTAAACCCAACCAAAAATTAGATTGATTTATTGTTTCTGTAACTTGTTTTATATATAAAATAAAGGTACCGATGTTTGTTGAGAGGTCAGAGAATCCATGTGACACATCTACCTACAGACGTTTGTCTTATGATATTAAACACACAGCATGCCAGCTTCTCACACCTCTACAGAATAGGAGCAACCAAGGTAACAATTATCAACAAATCTTTTAAGCTTGTCTGACTAAGTGGTATAATTTAAGACGTTATTTTTTGATAGCTGACCAGGTAGTCAGGTGACTAGGGTTAAAGCTTTTAGTTGTTGGACATTATGTGAAACTTACACAATATGAATTTGTGAATATGTTATTCAGAATATAATGGAGTTTAATTTGTCATTTTAAAAGCATGAATTTTGTACAATTTTCATGAATAGAAAACAAAGTTTTCATATATTTATACTAAAGCAGCATAGTTTAGAATCACCACAAATAAATGTTCACACAAACTAAAAACTACTATATCTCAGACAATGTTTAATTGTGCTGTTTTATTTATGCTTTATGTCTGTGGTTATAAAAGTCAACTCAAAACAATTAAATATCAATCATGTACCAGCAGGTGATAATTCATGGTCTTGTTTACATCATATCTACAGATATAAATTTATTAAACATTAATCCTGTGTTCCTTCAAATAACAACAGCAAATAAATAGTACAGTAAAATGGCTACTTCAACAAGTTGGTCAGTTATCAAAACAAGAAAAAGATATCCTGAAATTTAATGCATTTGTATGTTATTTTAATGATTCAAATTCAAATCAAAACAGTAGATCACCATCAGACCAGTTGGTATGTCCATGGAAGGAGCAGACCCAAGGTTAAGTGGTAATGTGCTAGACTAGTAATCTAGGAGTTGCAGGTTCCTCCTCTAACAATACTTATGGTCAAGACCCTAAAAGCCACGGTCCCGTGTAGAGGTGCTTCACACCCAGCATGGGTCACCTCTTGAACATGGCAGTATTTTACGCTATCAGGAAAATAAATATAAGAATAATAAACATAATATTGGCAACTGAAATGTGGTAGTAAATAAGCAGAATGGATAGAAAAAAGAAAAAAAGGCTTTGGAAGAAACCATTATATTTGGAAAAAAAATATCAAGAAAACCTTTTTACCTGTTCTTCTCCTTCACATTCTAAATAAGTTGAAAAGACAATAGTGTATTAAATGAATGATGAAATTTACAAGAATGTCGTACATGTTTGTTGAATGTTATGATGAATGATTGAGGCATAACAATGCAGCCATGCTAGGATAATTGTTTTCTTAATATATCATCTCATCTTGTGTACTTGTTTTAAATTAATTGAGGCTTGCAACATTGCACAACTGCAAACTTAAGTTACCAGTTAATCTATATATTCAGAATAGCAAAAACAGGAACGGCAAGAAGAAATAGGCTTCATTACTAATAGACTTAGGTAGATATTTAAGGTGGAAAAACAATTCTCAGAAGTTAGGGATTTAAGTGTATAAATGAGAAGTGATATTTTTGTGTCAAAAAAATTAAATATTTGAGTATGGCAGATGAAAGTAAAGGAGGGATAAAGATTTATGAGTTGGTAGGTTATATAATTAATTTACACACATGTAATGTTTTTTTCCATTTTCTTCAATGTTGTTTAAAGAAAAAAAAATATGCAGTTATATCTCCATCAAACAAAGTTTAGAGTTAAGGATGTAATACATAGGAGTGTGCTTTTTGGTTAATGGGTTCTCATGGTGTCTAGATGATAATTCCTGAAATAGGTGTGAGATTCAAATAATTTTTGGTAAAAACTGATATCGGTCAAGTTCGACATTCTTTGAATTTGCTTTAAAACACATCTTTACAACAGTTCATAGAGTTTTACTATGACATATCCACTAATCAAATTAGAATAATCATATGCTAATAGATTGTTAGTTTCCCTATGATAATAAAAGTTATACAGGCTGTCAACTTCTCTAATGTCCATAAACATAAGGAGAATGATGAGTTTATTATATCTTGTTCATATGAAACATAAATTCAACCTTAAACACACTGAAGTAAGAGTCATCATAATAACACCAAACTTTGATTGAAGCACTAGCTACAAATATATGTCTAGTTCACCACAAATCCACTCAAGGTGACAAATCTGTAATGTGATAAAATTGTGTAATCTTACAAAACTTTGTTATTTGACCAAACTTGAAGTATTTGCTGCAAAAAATGAACAAATTTGTGCAGTTTGACAAAACACTTTTACTATTTGCTGCAAAAAATACCAAAGTTGTGCAATCTGACAAGACAAGCTGTTTGCTGCAAAAAGTTGACAAGTCTATGCAATCTGACAACACTTTAATTATTTGCTGCCAAAGGCTGACAAAACTGCAATCTGACAAGACTTTGTTTGCTGCCAAAGGCTGACAAAACTGTACAGTCTGACAAGACTTTATTTGTTTGCTGCCAAAGGCTGACAAATCTGTGCAGTCTGACAAGCCGTGAACTGTTTATTGCTAACTTTATGCACTTTTTTCCTTGTCATCCTTAAAATTGACTGGAGATGTCCAGAATTTGAAGAAGAACAAACTATTTTATCTATAGGCTGCTGTTAGAATCTTTGGTAAAGTCTTATGTAAAAGGACTAATTCCAAGTAAAAGACACAAGTGCATATTTACCTGTTTATAGAAAGCTTCCATATAGAATAATTTCAAGAGAATAAAAAGGGTCAATTTGTTCATAAAAGGCAATGATTTAGGACTTCTTCCCAAGATTGTTAATGTATCGAGTTGCTAGGTTTCGGCAATGTGTCATAACATTATTTTTTTATGAAGAAAAAAAATGAATACTGTAATTTAGGTGAGTTATTCACAATATTAATATGTAGAGGTGCTAGATTTGGACAATGTATCAAATAAGTAAAGTGTTGATAAGTTACTGCTGGCTGTGACAATATAAATAATTATATTTAACATTAATCAACTCCTTCGGACATCCCATAACATATTCAGCAATATAGATATACTAAAACTTTCTAAGAAGAATATGATGTCCAAATGACCAAACTCCAATGGTTAAGAGTCTACCACTTTAACCCTGTGCCTACAAATTTCGTAAATTGGGTCATCTAGCTTCCATTTTTGGAATTGTTCCTAATCAATTTAGGGATATTGGAATGGAAATTTGATGTAAGTCAGCTAACGTTAAGAGCCTGGATGGTTGTGCAGGCTAGCCTGGATCTCTACTGGTGGCTAAGGTTTATCACTTTTGGTGCCATCAGGGAGTTTATTGTTGTTAGTATATGTATATAGTTCGGGAACCAAGCAAGACTAAAAATGTAAATGACATGGTAGTAACATCTGCTGTAGACTGTTTGGAAAAAGAGAATTACAGAGTATTACATTATTTCTTGAACACTGATTACAGATGATTAGGAAGGACAGAGAGGGCTCTGACATTTTATTTTTGAAATAAAATTTATGATCCATGCATCATTTTTATCATTATACACCATTTTGCATCACAGCTGAAGTTTAATACAACTGAAGCTGCGTATAAACTAATAAATGTTCTTACATCTGACATTAAGATATTTTTTTACCTTACTGAAGGAAGTTGTGAATCAGGTCATTTGACATAATTAATGTCATAATCTTATTATTTAGTGATAAGATATGATAAGAAAAATAGAGAAACTAGTTCAGATGGTGAGATGTCTTCTTTTCTACAGTCTTTGCTTTCTATACTGGTTATAGTGAAAATACCTATCAGAACAACATTAATGTAAACTTTGTTTCATTATAATCAAGTGTATTGTTATGAATTTTAAAACGGTCGTGTACGATTTATTTTAAGAATGACAGATTAATTAGCAATGCGGCACGTTAATACTGAATAGTGAACATTCTAGTGGAGTTTATATGCATGAGAAGTTATAGTTGTCGGAGAATGATTGATATGTCGTTTTAATGACATCATTGTTGGTATTTTGACTTGATTAGTATCTAATTTGTCAGTGTTTTTGGGAGTCTGCTACTTGAAGTGAGCAAATGGATAATAGAAATGTTCTGAAAGAGATTCTAACATTGTCAGTTGGGATATATGACATGTAAATTGATGGATTACACCATTCTGTATGTGCATATACATCATGTGTGTGTGTACAAATGATGGAGATTATGTAACATTTAATGTGTAAAGCTGGATATGTCACATTTTCCTATGTATAGTAACGTTTCACGGTGGGTGTTTTCTGGTGGTAAAGATGGAGCTCATGAAAGAGGTGATCCAGATAATGAATCAGGTTACTATAACCATCCCCTACAGCATAATGCTCGGCATTCACAGAGACAGTTTAAAGCTGAGAGGATCTATGTTCCTTCCACATCTCAGCAACAGTTTCACGGTAATCCTTATACCTATAATTCTCAAGTCCCGCATGCTTTTGAAAGTGTCCATCAGTTCAGGGACACTGCAACTGATGGAGCAGTTCTTCATAGAAAATTCAAGGGAGATTATGAGAGCGTCAGTACCTACGAAAAACTTACTCATAGCCCATTACATCACCATGAGTATCTTCAGGGTCACAATATGCATTTTGCATCCCATGATATGCATGTTGCATGTTTTAAAAACCATAAAGAACATGGTGATATACCATCAAGGTCTAATAAGAAATTACAAATGTACCAGAAGATAGGTTTGCAAGATGAATTAGCAATGAAAACAGATAGCCGTCAGTATTCAGATTCCAAAAGGCATGCCTCGTATCTGAACTACATGATGGAGGTTGATGCAGATGAGTGTAAGGATAGGAAGGATGTAGCAGCTGGTGATAGTTCTATAAAACCGTTAGAAAAGTCTGAAAGTATTAAACATTTGCCAGAGCATGGTGATAGTGTAAGACATAATTTCTTAAAGAGAAAAGAAAACATAACACAGCATCAAAGAAATAAGTCCTTTGTACAAGATGATAATGTTTTGACCACCTTTAAGGGACACCAAAAGAAAGTTGAAGTTGATAAAGAAGATGATGATGATGAAGTGATATCAGACAGTTCATTCTGTTCAGATTTTGATGAAGCAATAAAACCAGACTATGAAAATGACAGATTCTATGCTGATTTACAAGAGAAGAAGTTAAAACCTGATTATGAAAATGAGCAGTTTCATACTGATTTACTAGAAAAGTTCAAGCTAGATCACAAGAAAGAGAAAGATCATTCTAGTTTACAAGAGGAAATTAAACCTGATTACCAGAATGACAAATTCCTTACAGCTTTACAAGATAAGATTAAACCTGATTATGAAAATGAAAACTTTGATCCTGACTTTAAACTAGGGTACATTAAACCAGACTATGAAAATGATGAATTTCATGCCAATTTAGAAGATAAAGTAAAACCAGACTACCATGATGAATCAGTTCAGACTGGTTTAGAAAAGGAAATATTAAAGCCTGATTATGATGTTAGGGAAAAAGATAACCAGAGAAATGCACATGAAAATAATCATGATGATGGTAATGTGTACAGCTTATTGAATGATCATCATGCAGTTGTCAGTGTAGATCATGAAAATGTATATGTAAACAACATTTACACAGATAGTTCTGCAAGTGGATATCTTGTTCCATTGGAAAAGCGATCAAAAGATAAGAAAACTACAAAAGCCTCACCAAAAGACAAGAAAAAAGACAAGACAAAAGTAGAGAAAAGGCCATCAAATATTTGTAGATCTTTGTCAAGCATAAATTCACCATTGTATGAAAATTGTTCTCATGAAAACTCATCACCTGTACCAACTGCAGGAGTAACTGCAGATATGCAGATTCTTTCCTCCAATTTATCTCCAAATGTTCACTCCAATAAGTCTTCACCGGATGAACTGTTTTATGCAGTATCTCCGACAAGAACGACCACTGACCTGCTGTATGACTCACATTTAAATAATTTGTTACAAAATTCTGGACAAAATGACATTCACTCCACAAATATACAACAATGGCAATCAGTTCTAGAACAAAACATTACTCAGTCTGTAAATACACAAAACTTGCAATCTGATTACTGTAACCAACCAGCACTTTTCTCTTCTGATCTTAATTTTTCAATGCCAGGAGCATTTTCACTATATAAGCCAACTGCAATACCTAATATGTGCTCTGATCAACAGGTGTTCATGAAGGAGGTGTTCGAGCACCATCTTGACATGGAGGCTCGTAAGATTCACTTGAAAGCTGCGCTGTATATCCAGAAGTTTGCTCGCATGTTCTTGGCTCGACGGAAGTTTCTCCTCATACACAAGAAGACTGTTGAGATACAAGCTGGAATCAGAATGCATTTGGCAAGGTGAGTGTAGCATAATTGTCACTTAGAATACTATGTTTTTTTCAAGTTTAATGCACAGTTTACATACATTTCATTAAGAAAATCATTGTTTGAAGGATGCTTCTTATCCTGTTATTCAGAATTAAATAAAAATTGGTTGAAATTTCTAGAATTTATAGTGTTTACAAGGATTAAGATTTCAATTAATAAGATGCACTCCTTTCATACACAAGAGGGCTGATTTCTAAGTAAAATGTTAAAAAAAAATCAAAATTAAAATTGTTAATGAAACATTTTTGGAATCTGTCCAGAATTGAAAGGTAGAACAAACATTTGACCATATAAGGTAATTATAGGTCAGGTGTGGTGTTTAAGGTGTTGTAGACAGCTATGGTAATTGCATCATTAGTTACAGTTTCATAGTGGCTGTCAACAGACAGTATGGGCGTAAACTTTGTGTCTGAACTCTTGTGTCATTTAAGATGAAATATAACGGCTCTCTGATGGAGGGGGGAAAACAGGTGCAGTTATGTTATTGAACTTTAATGAACTTGAACATTCTGCACCATTTTGCCATTTACAATAAATATCAAATAAACACATATCTTTCTTTGTAAATTGAGCACAATATAATGAAAATTATGCTATATATTTTTTGGTTTGAAACGCACTTTGAAAAATAAATTATTTTTATCCTAACAATTTTATACCAGACTATGTCTTTAATACATGGTTCAAAAGCTAAAAATATTCAGTTTCTTTAATGTTTATTTTAACCTTTTTACAGTTTGCTTTAATATTTATTTTAACATTTTAGCAGTTATAAGTTATAACACAAATGGTTATTAAATCCCCAACAAAAAGTTAACGTGTATTTTTATAGTATCTGTTCATTAAGAATATGTAAACAGACAATAGCCAAAAGCATTTTTCACGTTGACTAATATCTCCTTCAAACCCATTAAAATATCGTAAAAGATTTTTCCATTCATGGTTAATTTACATGAAATCTGAAATAGTTTATAAAATAAAAGGAGGATAGCTTTTATTGTTTATTGTGAGAAGACTGTGTAAAAGTTTTCTGGTTGTGTTACCACCCATAATTTATCAAGAGTGCGGAGTTAAGTTTTCAGTTAATTGTGGTGATATATATGTTATAGTGATGGAGGTAGGTTTTTAGATGACATCACATATTTTATCTTGGGGCAACATAAACTGCTAGCAAATGACCAGATACTTACAATCAGCTACCTTAGCTTCATTTCACCTCATCGTACCCATCAGAGGTGTTTCATTTTGTTGTTTTTTTTTCTTCATAAAAAAAAATCAATTTTAATTTCTTCTTATTTTAATCTCTTTAATAAAAACAAGTTCTGAAATTGTCGGATATATAATGAATTTTACTGAAAGGAACATGCAAAAATTATAAATTTAGACATTTTGATGCTTGTTAAGTGCTTTTGTTTAAATTTTTGTGGTTGCAGCATAGTAATTACTTTTTTTGCAGACGTCATTCAGGATTTTGTACTTGCGTTATTTGCGACATTTTTCTTGATATGAATGATGTTTGTTTCGGCTTTGCACAGAATGGTTTAAGTGCAGATTTAAAGGATTGTTGTGGTGGATTATATTCTTCATAAGAAGCTAGCACAAGTTTTTATACAGAGGTCAAAATTACGCAATTCACTTAGTTCTAGGATTAGAATAAAATCCGTTACTGGAAATTTTGTGACATTCTCGGAACTATTTTTGTTTCAGGAAAAGATTTAATGTGATACAACATGGAATTATTCAAGCACAAGCTCAGTTTCGTATGTACCGTGAGAGGAAAAAGTATCTAAAGGTAACAATTTATTTTTGTCTTAAAGTTGAACTTCACTCATCAAGATGAAATGAAATTATTTCGCTGTAATGAATTTTCTAGTTTTTTTTGGTCTATCAGTTTTTTAACAGATTTTTAATAATATCATATGTACAAAAAATTCTTTTTTAGGGGCATGAACTTAGTCCATGTTGCAAAACAAAACATTGTATAATGAAATGATTGTCTTGTTTCAAATGTCAATATTTATCAACAATGAAGATCAATAGCCGAAAATCTAAAAACATTTTTTTTTCCTTTGGTTTTAAAAAACTTATTTTGTTTAAATATCACCACTATGATAATTGTATGATTCATATGGATATGATCCTCTCATTTTTTGTGTCCATTTATATTAGAAGATAGTTAGGTTTATCAGAGGGACTTTATTTTATACATAATATGCCTGAAAAATAATTATAGAACTACTTTTTTTCATTCACAAAATGTATGTCAGGATTTTCATTAATTTTAAAGCATGGAAGTGTGGTGTAGTTAAATGTTTACATTGTGCTGTCAACAATAGACTGGAATAGTAAATCAGTGATTATAGTATAATAATATGACAGCTGCTGACTGTTTCCACAACAAAACATTGTGAATCAACATTATACTAGCTGAATTTGAACAACTTTTGTTGCTATATAGTTAACATACTGAACTAGTGTTGCCTTATGTTGTAATTATGTTGTAAGCATGAAAGAGATGCCAATTTAGAGAAAATAATTCTGTTTTTGAATGCTTCCTATTGATTTTTTTTGCTCAATATTTTATATGAAAAAAGCAGCATGCATTTTATTTTACAAGACAAGAAATTTTGTGGAGGATATCTACGTGGTCTTTTTATGGTACATATAACATTATTTATTATTGTTGGTAAGCTCCCCATTTAGAGAGATAGCTATCATGTTTTTCAGCATTTTCCATTTTCTGAACTTCTTAGATGCTTTAAGGTTATAATAAGTATCATGCATTTACCCTAACCCTGCTGAAACTAGAAGTGATTAGTCTTTGCCACCAGTATAGAGCCAGGCCAGTCTCAACATATACATGCAATCAGAGCATGCTCTTGTCTGTTTGCTGACTTCAATGGACAGTTCCAAAAATGAAACTGAACAAATCCATTCTGGAAATTCAGCAGGTTAACATGTGTAACAGCTTTTAATTTCCCCAGTGTACAATGAATGATGTTTTACTTCTGAATATCTGTTAGCCATAATATCAATAAACCTTTATCCTCCTGGAACCAAAAGGAAAATGCTTTATTGTTTCATCTTCATATCCTAAAGGTTCCATCCTAAGTTCCAAAAAATGAAACTTGATAAATCTGTGTAGAAAGTCAACAGGTTAATGGAATTATACTTTTCAAAAAATGTTCCAATTTTAAAGCAGGACAAAGCCATTATACATATCCAGTAGGGTAATTATCAAAATACATGTGTTTGGACAAATATAAATTTGTATTCTAAGACCAATGTGAGATTACCAGTATTATATATATTAGCTGCTATATAGGTGTAGCATAAAGTGCATTGACTCTGTTTATCTGTGTATGCCATTGATATTTATTCTTTGATCCACCTAAATATTACCACTCCTTGCTATGTATGGCTGGGGGATATTTCACTTACTGTCATACAAACACTACACAATCTTAATGGCAAATCTCAACTTACCATTTATACTGTGCTGTATTATCCTCTAGGCATTCAACAACATTATAAACAATAAAATACTTTCTTACTCATTGTTTAAAGAGAGATCATGTCAAAAATATTTTTGAAAAAAAAAAAAGTTATAATGTCTCTATCTCTTGAATATGAAAGGGGTTTGAGAAGGGGTTGGGGGTTAGAGATTGTGGACATGTCATTTGAAGAGGGGCAGGTGATATGGGGATTATCCTTATTCAAATCTGAAATATATGAGAACTATTGAATGAGGAAAAGTTGTGAATGCAAGGTAGAGACATGTTTTTTACTTAATATTGATTGAAAATCATGATTACTTTCCCCCTTTTTCCTCCAGATATTGATCACGGAAGAGTTTGTTGAAGAAGAAAATACTTCAACCACTCAAATGAAATGAAATAATTGAGGGGCAAAATTATTTGAAACTTTAAATGAGGAAAATGATAAATGAGTAATGTATGAATGCAGTAATTTGTTCTTGTATAAAGTAAGTAATTATTATGTTTTGAAGTTTAATAGTTCATTTTTTTTTCTCTCAATTTCAGACAAGAGAAGAAATAAAGAGAAAACAAGAGCACGAGCAAAGAGAAAAACAAAGAGAAAACGAGAGAATCAAAATGGAGAGAGAAAGAAGGGTAAGTTTACAATATTCATTAGTGTATGAAAATGACACTAGTAGTTATTCATTATGAACAATTTGTTCAAGGTGGATTTGTTTACACTCCATTGTCTGTTGCAATATTTACTGTTGAGGCAATCATGGAATTTTAAGAGACAAAATTTGTTATTGCCTTGATATAGTTTGAACTTTATTTCTCACTCAATATGTAAATATATGACAGATGACAAGGTCAGTAACTTTTCCATTTATTTTTGACAGAGTTTCATTTCTTGTATACAAATAAGAATGAATTTCTCTCTAAATTTGAAAATTTATAGATAGTTAAATGGTTTGATAACAAGATCAGTGTCTCTTGTATATATTTATGTACAGAGTTATATACCTTTAATTCTTGTGTGGAAAAGAATCATGAAGCTGAGGTCCTATGCAAATGATATATTACAGTTTTACTATACAGTGATAAAATAAAGTGGTTTTAACCAGAAGTCTTGACAAGTTGTCATGTTGATAAATTTGAGTCATGTATTTATCCTAATTTATGCATACATGTTCTCTGGTTTCTGCATATCATTATATATTTACATAACATTTTTATTGTTTATTTATAACACAAAATAAGATATGAATAAATAGATGTATTAGTAAAAGGTGGTGGTAATGTATGTAGTTATTGTTCATAGAAGCATTGGATAACTGTTAGTTTACAGAATATCAATCAAGAATTAAATAATTGGTAATTGCAATTAATATACAAGAAAATTAAATAAAAGTGAGATTTAATGATTAGAAAATTACAATAAATTTTCAAGAATGTTAGTTACAAATGTTAAAATATTGGTGCATTGTAATAAATTTACAAAAATATGAATTATTTTGACAAAAATATAGGTTAAAATCATTAAATAATTTGTACACTGCAGTTAAATTTGCAAGAATGTTAACTATGAAAGTAAAGAGTTATTTGATTGCAATATATGAATAATATTAAATGTTTTGTACATGTATGCTGCAAATGAATTTGCAAGAACATAAGTAGTGAAATTAAAGAATGGATTGGAATTAATTTACAAGAATATCAATTAAAAGTTAGTGTATTGGTTTGTATAAATTGTTAACTAAGACAATCAATTAAACAGTTAATGAGAAGGACTGTTGACCAGTTGACAGTATTATGAGATGAGTGATTGACAGTTGATCAATTACAACACCTTGTAACTGTCAACTAACAGTGCTAACTAGATATATGTACTACATCAGACTGGACACTTTAACCCAACACTTGGTGTTAGTATTGTCTGTGTGGCAATTGGTTTTTGGGGGGTATCAAATCAATTAAGACCTTGTTTATACTTGGTATGATGATTATATATGTGATATTATTAAAATGAAGTACACAGTCTTAAAACTTAAGGATTTTATGTTAAGATTAATATAAAATGAAATATTGTGAAAGTGATTGATGAAAAAAACTAAAATGAAGGAATACACATTAGAAAGGGTTGGGAGAAGATCATTTTATGGATTTGAATATTGTGATGATGGATTACCAGAACTTGTAAGTGCAATTTTCTTAATACAAGCTCGAAGCTTGAGTGCCCAAAGAATTAGCAGGTTGTCCCATTAACCTTGGAGTCAAAGTTGGCAAAGTGCTTGCTTGTAAATCTCATTTAAAGTTCTGAAGGTTTTCTTCTGTATTCAGGACCATGATTATAGATCACTTTCCAAGCTCCATAACTCTTGCATGACTGGAGTGAATTACATCCCTGTATAGAACTTAAACAAACCCTGATATAGGTTATATCTCTACAACCACTGACTGTATTTACTTGAACATTCATACATTTTGTTTTTGGTTTATATTTAGTCCAAATATGTTGGTGATGATTTTGACAGAATTATACCCCTTTGTAACTAAGAAATATACTGATAAATGCTTGATGTTTATTTGCTCTTACCACAACTATGTATTCCAACGAAACTTTACACAGGTAATAGAAGGTCATAATTGTAGTTGCTTGACTAAAAAGTCAAGCATGTATTTTTATTGAAATATTACCTTTTGTTACCTAAGAAAAATTCTTGCATGGCTATTTTTTTTAATATTAAGAACGTGAAGAAGTCAAGTGTTTTGTTTGTCAGAATGCTTTTGTTTTGCAGTTATAAAAATACATTTCATTGACTTAGTGCAACATGGTTGTATATGGAAATTTCAAAATGCTATAGTTTACACCAAATGTTCTTATGCATGGAAATAAAACAATTTGTACAGTTTTTATTCATTTGCAACATGCATTGTTGCATTGTTAATAGGATGTTGTTAATGATGAACAAGTTAATCTGCTTGTTATTAAAAACAAAACTATTTTATTCTGTACCATTTTTCTTGGCTCACCTGAGTGTGCATTTATTGTCTCCTGATTAATGTTGTTGTTGTGCATTGTCCATTGCTATTTATATATAAATTCTTGAAATGACATCTTCTGCAACACTGACATGATTTAAATCAAACTTTACACAAATAGTCTTTAGATGGTCTTCTTCAAAATTTAGAGAATGGTTCTGGTCTGTAGTGCAATATAAGTAGGTTATTGGCAATAAAAATAATGTTTTAGACAAGAAACCTTGAAAGCAGCATATCTCCAGAGGCATGCTAATTTTCATGAATATTTTTAAAATGTATTTTAAAGTAAAATGTTGTCAAGTGAACAAACACATTAAATGCAGCATTTAAAATCTACGAAAATTTCCAAAAATATGTAAGAATATTTTTAAAATAGCCCTTACTACATTAATCATACAGCAGAAATTTAGTGATAGATACTGAAAAAATAAATCATTCATTATTTGAATATAACACGTAAATCATTTCTTGAAATGTGAATATCTTTTCCTTTCTTAAAATATAAGTACATTTTTTCTCAAGGTTGATTTTCTTGAAATATTTGGACTGATCTGAAGGCAAGCAGCTTTAAAAATCATTATTGGCAAATTGTAATTCAAATATGTGTTAAGATAATGACTTAAAAAAAGACAACTTCATTAATTGAAAAAGTTATATTTTCACTATTGCATATTTATAAGCTTCAGTGGCTCTCATGTTTAAAGGTTTCTTTCATTAAAAATATGAAACTGAAAGGTGTATTCTGGGGGGGGGGGAGGCATTATGCAATATGCAGGAATTTTCATAATACTACCATTCACAAATCATCTGTATAGATGTCAGTCAGTGTCAGCTTTATGTTCATAGAATAGGCAGAGCTATTGTACCACCCAGGTGTTGGCATCACACTTTGGTTAAGGTTTTGCATGGAAATTGGTATCTCCAATTCTACTGAAAAGAATGGGTTAAAACTTTACACACTTATTTGGGAGCATAATAAGAGGCCACTGACTAAGGCCCATAACTCTTTATTTTTGACAGTTATGGCCTTTTTTGAAATTCTACATTATTCAAGCTCATGTTTTACCATCAGTCTAGCAAGCTGTACCAATGACAGCTCTTGTTAATGTTATGGGTGTTGTACTGCACTTAATGACTTCTTCATGGTTATGACAGGCTGGCTTGTATAACATAACTAAACATGTGTTCTTCTCTGACCAAAAAACATTCATGTAAATGCATGTGTCTTATTTTGCATGCTCCTCCATGATAAACAGTGTAAATTGACAACATGAAAAGAAACATTGAAACATATTTTTTTTAAACAGAATTTCTACGAATTGTTTCTACATGTATTACATGTATTGTAAAGGTATCTGCTTGTACTATTTTAAACTATTGATATAAGAAAAAGAAAACAGCCTGTTATAATAATAAAAATAATAATATCTTTATTTAATGAAGGTAACACATGAAGATATACCACAGTAAAAAACGAATGTCGTATCTTGATTTTAAATGAAAGCCTTCTAAACAATATGCAAATGTATAAAAACACACACGAATAAAAGAAAAGAAAAAGTTAAAGTTCTTTTATAGTCCCTTTAACGATATGGCATTGATTGATATTGATGTAAGATATAAAATGTTTATTATTCCACTGTGTTATTTCTTAATGTAGTTTTTTAAAAAAATATAGCCAGATGGCAGCAGCCAATTGCAACCAGTGCTGACCAAGGTCAGCTAGCACATCCATGATATCTAATTATGGCCTGAACTATTCCCTATGTAACAAGCACATATTTTGAAATGTTCTAGACAAGTCCATTTATGAAATTTTGTGGGGTAGGTATTCATAGTCAGGGTCAAAACTGAAACACTGCTGGGGAAAACTACAAAAAATGCTTTAATAAGTATTAAGAATATATCTTGTTCTGATGAACATATTAAATAATTCATCAAATAAATTCCAAGTAAAATATAACATAATTAAAAGATAGCTGTAATTCTATACAAATATAATACCTTTGATTAATATATTAAATTTACTGACTGATATTGAATGACTATTTTGATTCTGTTTATTTATCATACAAGATTTTAAAATTTAAAAGGAAGATAGAAGATAATTATGTATAGGAATAAACTTGTTAAGGTGAACATTGATAAATTTTATGATGTTATCTTAGACAGTTATGTGAAGTTCATGGTCAGGTTTTATACAGGTATTCTTGATCTGCCCCCCTGTATTGTCAAACTATCACCGAATATTAAATTCGGAAATTGAAACTGATATAGCCTGAAGATGAGATGGCTTTAAATAAAGTCAGTCTCATTGTTTTAATGTCATCTAATGATATACAAAAATATAAACAATCATTTCCATGGATATGTAGATTACAATATATTATGTGGTCAAATATCGAAATTTTCTTTAAATATATTTCTTTTACTGGTCAATAATCATTTAAATGACAATCAATTTTAATTAGGAACAACATATTGGAGAAGGGAAAAGAAACACAGATTTATTCACCATTGAATAAAATCTAGTAAAGCTAAGGTTTATCTGTATTGTATATTAACATGGAAAGAAAAAATAAAACCATAGGGAGTTAGAATACATCTTATATATGTGCTTTATACATTAAGTGAATACATATAACAATTAGTGAAAGTGTACCCAAGGGGACATTCTTCAAAGTATATTACATGATTTATATACCCCACCCAATCACTGGAGGCTGACGAGAACTGGGTTAGGTTTATAACAAGTCACAGTTATGGCCGACAAACATCCATCACAAACACATATAGTGGTCTAAATCTCTAAACTGGATAGTTAGCAGTTTTTGTGCTTCACTGAGTTTTAGGACAACTTGAAAAAAGTTACTGACATCATTATAGTGATATGCTATCCTGCAAAGTCAACTACTTCTATCATATTGAAAGGTTCATTTTAGGTAACAACAATATAGTTACCCCATAAACAAAATGTCTTCACTGCTGTGGGTTCAAATCCAACTAGGGATGTCTGATTCATTCATGTAAAGAAACTATAGAACTAGCTTACAGAAGGTTGATGTTTCTATGTAAATGCTTTTTTATGTCTAAAATAAGGTATTCGGCCTCCAGGAAAGCTGGAAAGTCGCCACATGACTTCTTGGATGTCCTTGTGTACCAGAAAGAGAGCAAGTTTAAACAATACCATGACCATCTTTAAAGATGCAGTGGAACAGTTTGTAAATAAAATTCCTTTACATTGGGCAGAATATATTGTGGTGATTGTGTGAGAAAGGGAATTAGTTGGGGTAGCCATTTTTAGCCCTTTAAATTAGAATTCTCATTATATGTGGTTCCCTAGCTTTACTGTAATCTCTGTTTTAAACAGTTTGATACAGTTTGTTAGGAAGTTTAGATAGGAAGTCATGTTTATATGTTTACATTTTATTCTGATTGTGTTTTTCCTTTTGCTGCATGTACAGTAGTTGTAGATGCACAGGCAGGTTTTAATGAGATTATTTGAATAATTTTATCAGTGTTAGTGAGTTGTTATATTCTAGGTTTACATGGTTTGTTCTCGTGAGAATGAATTTACCCTGAAATCACACATTGAAGTGTAGATTTAATTACTTTATAAGGTAATGTTGTCATTAATGGTTTCTGTCTTGGATTTGTCATTTTGTTTTGTTTTCTATTTTGGATTTTAAACCTTGGATAACAATTTGTATTTTGTCAGAAGATAGTGTGTATGTTTAAAACATTGTTTTATGGATTATTGTATTTTGTGGAGTAAAATAAAGCCTGCTATACTCTCTATTGTTTTCCTCTAATTGAAACAGATGTTTTCATGAAGTAATTATCTTTTTTATGGAAACATTTGTGTTGAGTGTTTTACATGTATATTAATACTTATACATGTAGTTTTATGAAAAATGGTTTTTGTTCTGAAAATTTATGAGAGTATAATTATGCTTGTTTATTAATTTATTGAATATTTGATCCCTTTATCTTTTCCTATTATCTTAAAGCACTGTGTAAGGATCAAGCATTAATGCATAATACTTTAGCATATCCATGATTTGTATATATGTATGTAATTTATTTGTCATTTTATGCATTATTTCAACAATTTTGTCAAAATAGTTATAAACTGCGTCTTCTATCTTGAAAAGGAAGGTGGATCTTATTGCCAAACATTTTACAAAAATTTTCAACTACCATTTAAAATATATTTTTTATCTTTACTTCTTTTTTATCAGCATTCCCCGAAGAGAAAAGACCCTTTAACAAAAGTAATTGCATTGTTTATTTTTTGTAATTTGGCAAATGGGAAATGGTTGCCCCATTAATAATTAGCATTAAATTGCCTTCTAACTATAGTTTCTGATAAATGACTGTGCATTAATGCATATTTAAACACTGTGATATATTTCATTGTATATATTACAAAATATTTGCCAACTTTTTATTTAGCCGAATTTAGTGTGTTGACATAGATGTTTTGAAACCAAATTTTATGACCATAGTTGTATATGTTTTCATTGCCATAAAATCATCATTGATCTTGTGTAGTTTTATTGTGCAAATTTTTATTGTGACTTGTCATTATAGACTGGATGATACAGATGTTAAAAATGTGAGAAAGTTTGTGACAGTTACTGAGGGATATATTTAGATGGAATGTTTTATTAAGATTTGAATGTGTTGTATTTTCAGGAAAAAATCATGAAGGCTGAAGCTAGCATTTTAAATCTGGAGATACCAGGAGAACTGGCCTATGTTTACAACAAACTAGATGGTAAGTCTTGCAATTTGAGTAAAATGCTATTTTGAAGGATTGTTCTTTAAATAAAAATGTATGAAATCATTGAGAGCTAACATATCACAGTTTTACCAGGAAATAGGGGCATTCATGACCAAATGGTTAAGGTTGTTGAATTTGTATCACTTGCCCGCTGTGGCTTTGACATTCCATTATTAAATGTGGATGCTATCCAGCTGAATTGAATGTCATTGGTCCTACTCGAGCTTCCACTCATGCCAAAAATAAAGAATAGAGGAACACCTGATATTAAAACTGGAAAGTCACTCAAAATTAAAGTGTTGCAGTGATTGTAGAACCCAAGTAACAAATAATACTGGGGTTTAGACTGATGGCTACTTAATTACTGAAATCCCTTAATCTACTGATGGTTTTCAAGATTAAAGAACAGCAAGTCTGTGACACAATTCAGTATGGTAGGAATTTAAATAGAGGGCATCAAAGTCTTTTTACTTGTTTTTTGGTCAGTAAATGTATTGATAGGAACATTGCTTTATTGCCATGCTTGTAAGGCTTTTGCCTCTTCCCATGGAGATCATGGGTTTGGGCTTCAGCGTTTTGTTTTAGCATTTAATCCAGAGAGCCTGGGAACATGTGCTGATATGTATCTATTCAAACAAAAACAAACTTAACATAAATAAGTTTTCCAATAACTTGTATACTAAATGTTTTCCGTGAATTTATTGCTTTGATACAGCATACATTATTTGTAGTAGTCAAATTTAGTGAATGTCATTGTAGTGTTCAGCTGCAGCATAATAACTTCATTATAGTAATCCAATGTAGCAGACGTCATTGTAGTAATCCAATGTAGCAGAGGTCATTATAGTAATCCAATGTAGCAGACGTCATTGTAGTAATCCAATGTAGCAGAGGTCATTATAGTAATCCAATGTAGCAGAGGTCATTGTAGTAATCCAATGTAGCAGAGGTCATTGTAGTAATCCAATGTAGCAGAGGTCATTGTAGTAATCCAATGTAGCAGAGGTCATTGTAGTAATCCAATGTAGCAGAGGTCATTGTAGTAATCCAATGTAGCAAAGGTCATTATAGTAATCCAATGTAGTAGACGTCATTGAAGTAATCCAATGTAGCAGATGTCATTGTAGTAATCCAATGTAGCAGACGTCATTATAGTAATCCAATGTAACAAAGGTCATTATAGTAATCCAATGTAGCAGAGGTCATTGTAATAATCCAATGTAGCAGACGCCATTGTTGTATTTCATATAAGATAATTATTATTGTTATTTTGGTTTTATAAACTTTGTTATATATTATAAGGTTGGAAGGCACCACACAGTGACAGGCAGATTATTTCTGTAATTGGAGATGTTATCCCCATGGATATGAACTATCGGTTACCAGGTGACATCAACTCACATGCTTTCAGCAAGTACACTGGTGTATATTTCAAGGTAAAATTCTTTCAGCATGTTTAAAGAAAGATTTTTAAGATACACTGTAAAAAAGAATGCTATTTAAATATCAAAACAGAAATTAATAATTATATTTTAATACAAACTGGTATATTTTTACACATATCTATTACTTGATTTTTTTCTCAAATTTTTCATTGTTGGATTTAATTCAGTTTACTTTTTAATGCCAAATGTTTTGATAGGAAGTAGAATAAGAATTGAATTTACTAAAAAGATGTATATGTAAAAGAAATTGTTACAGTATTCTAACTTCCTCATTTTATTTAAATTTTACCTTGATTTTTACACACTTTTTCCTATCCACTTATAGTCTGTTTCACAGAATTAGATTTGTATAATTGTATATTTCACATAGAATCCTGATTGGGGTGTCAGTGTAGAACCAATTAAATCAGCATTGACCAAAGTACAGGGAGACCAGAACAACAGACTGGCACAATCTGTATTCAAACTGGTAACTTTTCTTACCATTATATATTGATGCATAGCATCAAAAGATATTATTTTTGCCAAATAATTATAATTATGAAATATATGCCAACCTAAAAAGAAAACTCAGGCATTTAGTATAAGTCTTACAGGTTTTGAAGTAATGCATGGTTCAATGTAACATTTGTAGAGCGTACAACAACAGCAGAATGGAACTAACATTTAGCACTGGATTTAACCACCTCTCAACAGCAATCAAAATCTTTGCCTACCAAGGGTGATGCTATACAGAGGTTGTACTGTATAAACAAACTATAATATGATTACTGAGAGACACATTACTTGTGTGCAGGCACAAAGTCATTAATTCTTTTAGAAAAGTTTGTAAAAATAAATACTCTCCGAGAATCATGAAATAAATTATTTGTCATATATTGACTGTATTTCTGTATTTCTGTATTTCAAAATGTAACAATGTTAGACCTATGTCTTGATAAGTTCTATACTGTACCATGCTCCCATGAATCTACTTCCTTTACAATTAGTTATGATAAAGAAATTAATTAATGATTGTTTTTTTCCTTCAGATTTTGAAGTATATGTATGACCATAACCTAGGAGACAGGCAAGAAAAGGCCATGGCAGATTATATTGTTCAACTGGTAAGTTCATTCCTTTAATTGTTTAAAGAAAAGAAAACACTATTGTTTTGTTAATTTGGTGTCTTAGTTGTAGGTCATGGACTGATACCCATTACTCTAACATGGATTTTAACCGAGTTATTTCCCTTTGTAAATTTTGAGAAATTTCAGGATAAAGTTTTTTAGGCAGTTGTATCTCTACAACTTGTGAAGATATTTGTTTCAAATTTCTGGATTGGAGGTCACTGACCAAGAACCAAAGCATGTATTCTTTGCATCATTCTTTGTGAATTGTTCATGGATTTAGAAACTTTTTATATTGGTTCTTGTTTGAAGAGAAAAGCTGACAAAGTCTGTTTAGTTAAATATGTTGATCTGGTGTTGATAGCTAATTAACATGAGAATTTTATTAAGTTTGAAAGTAAAAAAGCATCCACAGTTTTTGTGTCGCCTTGAAAAAAAAAAATAGGGGTTACTTTTGTCGGCGGTGTCGGCGGCGGCGTCTGTGTCGGCGTCGGCGTCGTTGTCGGCGTCGTTGTCGGTGTCCCCTAAAGCTTGTCCGGAGCATAACTCAGTCACTATAAGTCTGAATGACTTCAAACTTGGTATGCATGCTTCTTTCAATAACCCGAAGTGCAGTGCACAAGGACCGGTACTCTGCAGTTCTTATTTTTTGAGTTATTGCCCTTTGTTAAGTTTCATACTTTAATTTTGTCCGGGCCATTTCTCTTCAACTAAAAAAGCTATGGACTTGAAACTTCATAGGATGATAGATCTCATTATTAAGAAGTGCAGTGCACAAGAACCAGTACTCTGCACTTCCTAATTTTTGAGTTATTGCCCTTTGTTAATTTTCGTACTTTATTTTTGTCCGGGCCATTTCTCCTAATGTATAAAAGCCATGGACTTGAAACTTCATAGGATGACAGGTCTCATTAAGAAAAAGTGCAGTGCACAAGAATCGGTACTCTGCATTTCTTATTTTTTGAGTTATGGCCCTTTGTTAATTTTCATACTTAATTTTTGTCCAGGCCATTTCTCCGAAAGTATAAAAGTTATGGACTTGAAACTTCATAGGATGATAGATCTCATTAAAAAGAAGTGCAGTGCATAAGAACTGATACTCTGCATTTCTTATTTTTGAGTTATTGCCCTTTGTTGATTTTCTTACTTTATTTTTGTCCTGGTCATTTCTCCTCAAGTATGAAAGCTATGGACTTGAAACATCATAGAGAGATAGATCTTATTGATAAGAAGTGCAGTGTACAGAAACTGCTGCTCTGCACTTATTATTTTTTTAGTTATTGCCCTTTGTTATTTTTCATATTTCATTTTTGTCCTGGCCATTTCCCCTGAACTACACTGTTCACAAGGCGACACATCCGACTCGCGGAGTTCTAGTTTGTTTTTAACACAGTTATTGAACATATAATGACATTGACAAATATTGCATGTTTTACAGGGTTTACAAAATGAGGGTTTGAGAGATGAGATATATTGTCAGATAGCTAACCAGACATGGAACAACCAGAGAGTGAACACAGCAGAACGTGTGTGGCAGTTGATGGCTCACACTCTTAGTGCCTTCCCGCCAAGTCCAACTCTCTATAAATATCTCCTCAAGTATGTATTAAGATATCTTCCCTACACCCCAGAGGAAAATGTTAATTATTATTAACAAAACTTTGATTTTGTAAAAGTAATATCCCTTTGTCTTCATAATTCAGCTTGTTTATGTGCACACCTATATTAAGTGAAAACTGAGTGACACTATTGTTGTGTAGAGATGTCAGCCTTTTGCATAACTATTGATAAATACTATTGCACAACCCTTTACGTCTTTTGATAAGTTAGCCCTGTAACAGAAATGGAATGAAATAGATAAATTTGTATAAATATTGTCAACATGTTGTGATTATTATATTTTAGATATGTATCCGATGTTGGTCTAGATGGGTATAAATGGTTTTGTCAACACAAAGCCTTGCAATGTGCCAACATCGAGCCACAACTAAGTAGAGTCTACCCTCCTTGCCTCCTGGAGTGGAGAGCTGCTCAGAGGAAAGCCAATATGGCACTGGAAGTTAGATTTGCTGATAGTAAGTCAGTTATTTTTTGCTGGAATTTAATGAGCAGAAATTACTTTATTAGATTTACTGTTTTATTAGTCTTTTCTGTTTGTTTTGATTTTAGCTCACTAGAAAAAAGTGATTGACCGACCCTTTGTGGTTCTACCATTGGAGAGCGGAAAAATAGCATCAACATAACACTGTAATAATATTTTATGGGGCATTATCACATAATAGAAAAAAACATGGATGAATTAGAATAAAAAGATTATTATTATATATTTACCATGTGTATAAATAAATCAGTTTTGTTTACTAAAAATTGAATTTAATGTTATGTAAATTGCAATATTTCCAGATGCTACAATGATTGGTCATGTGGAGTCATGGACTTCAGGGGAGGAGTTTGCCAAGCATTTATTAAACCAGAGAGGTTTACGTGAGAACAACATGGGCTGGACGGTAGTGTTGCAGGAAGACATGGATTACTATGAGTTGATGGGATATGACTACGTCCTTGACCTCATTAGTGAGATGGAAATTCCCCCAGGATTCCCGGTGTGCAGGTCACATTTCCTTGTATCCTCTGATAGAACTCGAGAACCACTTTCTCTTCAGAGAAACTTCTACAGTGAATCGTAAGTATAGTTGTAGGCAGTCATTATGATGATGATTACATTTTTGAATAATTGTGAATCACCATGATAACTATTTTCATATAAATACTGACTTATATTGGGGTTTTATATTAAATATTTAAGTAGAAGTTAGCTGTTTATTTCAAGATTTTGTTTTTTAACCATTTATACCATGATTTAGTGAAAATGTTTTACAACGGCTTAACAGCTTTTGTTGTAAAGTTAAGGAAAGATTCAAATAATTGTTGTTGATTTTTGCAGGCCACATCACCCAGAGCGGGAAAGACATATGCTTATGAAAGGCAAACTTCCAGAGCCAATGAAAATTGATATTACAAAGATAGAGCAGCGCAGTATCAAACAACGCAGTATAAATGGTGAGAGAGTAGGTGAAGAGGACCAAGAGAGTGGTGTTGAATTCTCTATGACAAGTGTGCTGAATAAACGTCCACATGGTGTCAGCGTTGATGGACTTTCAGACAATAAATTGAATTTGAGATACACAAAGCGGAAAGCTGCCCCAAGTCCACCAATAGCTAACGGACATTTGATTGCTAATGGCTATGTTGTAAATGGTGATATAAGTGAAAACGGGCATGATTTGTCGCAAACACATCTGAACAGAAGATATAATAATGGTGTTAATGGGGATGATATGAGTAACACAAAACTGAATCAGAGATATTTACGCATGACAAAAGTGAGTGGTAGACAGGGTGCCGCTGATAAAATTGCTCGTAAAACACAGCGAGAAGACCGTAATGTAGGGTCTATGGACAATGTTTCTGTGGCAACAGGACATTCTGACTGGTCACACTGGGTAGAAGATGTGTTCAGTAACGCCCTCAATGAGCATGTTGACGGATTGTCAGATGCTCGCTCAGTGGAGAACCGCCTTAAAGGTGGCGGTAAAGGAGGTGGTGATGGGGTACCAGGACCACAGTTTCAGGTAAAAATGTTATTACAAGCAAGATAACACAAGACAATGTGTATTTCACTGGTAAGAAACTGTCATATTTATTTAAAAATGTTAATTTTTGCAAGCATTCATGTTGACAAATATAAGGTAACAAGAAAGTTTGAAATTGTTTTGTGTTACTTTTATCATAAAGATAGTCTATAAATCAAAAAGCATAAAATGTTCAAACTCTTTGAACATTTCTATTTGAGTCTAATGTACTGTTCAAGATTACTTTTCAGTAATGTGATATTTAACTTGCCTGTATTTCCATATACAACTTTTTAGTTTTTCCAGAAAATGTTAATATGAAAAGATAATTCATATCTCATAACTTGGATTTCAGAGTGGTCCAGGTGGTATGCAGAATGGTGGTATCACTATTCCTATACAGCAAATGCCGGTGAATGGTGGGCTACCAAACATGATACCTTCACCCCTCAACCTTTCAGCCTCAAGTATTGCTCCTCCACTAACACCTCAGCAGGTCGCTGCTCAACAACAGGCCATGTTTCAGGCTTATGTAAGTTATCCTTGCATTTAACCATTACAATGAACAGTTTGCTTTCATGCTTTGTATACATAAATTGAACAAGTAGTATTTTTAAGGGTTATAATATTTTAAAGATTTTGTCAGATAGAAACCAGATGCTTGTAAATAATTCATAATGAAAATCTGGATTAGATCATCAGATAGTAGCATGATTTGGATTGCCTTAAAACGAATTTTAAAACTCTTTGTGATTTAATACTTTATATTTTAGGCTCAGGCACAGGCCCAGCAAAGACAACAGCAGGCTATGCTACAGGCTGCTTTCCAGCAACAGCAGCAGCAACAGCATCAACAACAGAACCCGCAACAGTTTGCTGCCCTGCAACAACAACAGCAGTTGCAACAAATGTTACAACAACAACAAATGTTACAGGCAGCCATTCAGCAACAACTACAGCAGCCTGCCTCACAACAACTTGTCAGTCCAAATGCAAGTTTTAACTCACCACAAGGTAAATATCTTTGTTACACAGTGATTAAAATATACAGCAAAACTCAGATTGGGACCCATTTGTCTTAGAATACAGTTCAGCAGTTCACTTTGCCCATCAGCTAGGCTTGTATACTGTCACATTCTTTCTCACTATATTGATATTTATGCTCAAAGTCCAAATGGGTACAGAGCTTATAAGAGCAGTATACCATTACAGTCCCAAGTTTGGGATAAAGTATCATCGTGTGAGAAAAGATTTGCAAAATACTGGAACTTTGGATCAGAAAAAAAAAACATGGATTTGTTATTGTTATCACTTTCATTTAGCATTCCTTTGAAGAATAAAGAAAATTATTTATGATCCACTTGAATTAATATCTTACCATTTTTCAGCTTCAGCAGTAGGGTTTTTTGCTGGAGGCTCTACTCAACCTACATTTACCAGTGAAAGCCAGCAGTCAAGAATGGTGGCTCCAGTTCCAGTGAGCGCAGTGAGTCGTGAATTACCTATCACAGTACAGGGCTCGCAACAAGAGCTTGATAGTAGTGGAGCTAAACGTGTGTTTAAATTTAAGCATCATTATGAGAAAGAAACTGTCAATGCTAATCAGGGAGAAGCGGTTGCACATAGACAGGTTTCACCACCACCCCCACCCCCTATACAGTTTGCAGATCAGACACCAAGAATGGCCCCTGCACCCCCAGCCCCACCCCCGCCTCCTCCACCTCCGGTCATTGATGCTGATTCATTTGACCATGACAAAGGGACATTCACATTCAGAGACCGTAAAGGTAGAGCACGCACAGTGCGTATTGGACGTGTAATATGGCCGCCACCCCAGGATAAAGAAGAGAAGAAGGTCAGAGATGTTGGAAGACTTGAAATTGATGAAAAGGTTCAGAGGGAACTTGATGAAAGGATGAGACCTACCAATGCCATAAACAAACCAGAGTCTCCAAAACCAGCGAAGAAAGTAAATGTAAGTTATTATATATTTATCTTCCGACAGAAATTTAGGAAATTTTCAAGTTTATTTGAAAGTTATATCTTTCAAGGATAATTCACAATATGTGTTAAGAAATATGAAATAGTTAACTCTGACACTTATACATGATAGTAAATATAGTGACCATTACTTTTATAACAACTTAGTTCTTTATCTTGCTTATTTCAATATTTTATAATGCACCATTCATATACATATGTCGATGTGTTTAACCAACTTATATCAGTTGAGAAGATTCTTAACATTTTTTTTTCATGTTGTGAATTAGGAACATAAAAAGAAACAGTTAGCTGAGACAGTTCACCTGGCAACCTTACAACTTCTGGAGCAGAAACTAGGTGGAGCCCCTGAACCACCTAAAGCCATCACACCACCCCCTCCACCAAAAGGTATGAGAACCATAAGTTTTATATATTTCATTTATTACTAGTTCTTTTAAAGACAAATTATATTGTTTGATTATAAGAACATGGTTAAATTTCAAGTGCATTATCATACAAAAATGTATGGTTCAAGTTCAGATGTGCTGTAACATAATCATTGACAGGAAGGTCAAAGGTCACAAAGTATTTCAGTAATGAACTGTACAACATTATACAATAATGCAAGAAAAATGTATGACTTTTCCATCTTAATCTGTCATAGAAAAAGAGTTATGGAAAGAAATTGTTGAAAAGGTAATTTATTTGGCATCATTTGATTCATTATTGTCCTATCTGAATGATGTGATGTGTCCACATTCCTTTCTTGACTTGCAAATATTGTATGTGTATGTACTCAAAAACTTAGTTTTAGTCAAACAGTGGATGCTAGGTTAGAATATTAATCTCTGCATGATCATATATGTAATAACAGTGATGAAAATTATTTTACTTCTGCATGATTTCATCGAGGTGGTTCTATTCTCAGAGCATAAAGTATTATATTTCTTGGTCTTTACAGCTTTTGTATTTGCATGATCTGAAACTGTAATTCATTCCCTTATAACAGTAATACACCTGTTTATATGATACAAATTGTACTCTGATTAAAGGTTTTTAAAAACAATATAACTTCTGTAGAGTAACCAACTCCTAACGGTAAAAGTGTCAGTTTTTCTCAGAGTAGGATTTCCCAATAAATTGAACCTTTCAGCAGCAACCAAATCTTTGTCTCCCAAAGGGTATTGCTGTGCAGAAGTTTAACTTTATGCACATTGGGAAGGTAAGATAGTTAAACATGTATATTGCGATGTTTGGTGATAGATATTTATATATATTTACGGCCATTCTCAGTTAGAATTTACACCCCTATCAAAATTTTATAAAAAATACAGATTCGCAAAAACGCAAAACTGTTAGTCTTTTTACAAACTTAAACCATCTGTGAAGTTCTACTGAAATTATTTTCAACATTATATAAGTAGTTTTTGTAAATCGGCGGTTTGAAAAGTGTATCCATTTTACCTTTTTAAAATGCCGGAAATGTTCGTGACAAAGTACCGTTTACTCTAAAAAGGGCTGCTTATAATTACATTGATGATATCTTATTGGAATTTACTTTTAAATATCACATGGTACATAAATTTTTAATTGTACAATTGATATCACGAATTACTTGACTAATTAAGCTTATATACTTTTTTAAAAACTCATATGCAAAAAGTGCAAATCAAGATATACTGCTTAACTGTGATTACGATTTGTCTCATTATTATAAGAGCTACGACCCGGTGTAATAAGTATAGTTCTTGGCATAAATAAAAACCGTAGTATCTCTGCTAGCAATTGTATGCGATGTATATGCTTTATTTTTAGGTAAATTGATCACCTTACTAAAACTTAAGTACTATGTAAAGCTAACGAACCTTTCAACCATAAACTCAAACAAAAAAGAAGCCCACTTAATACCCCAAAGCATACATATAGACATCACACAATGATATTTAGTATAAAACCCATTATCTTTCTTGACTTTATAGTATACTGGTTCACATTATTTTGTAGTAAAATAAAGCATCGAATAGTATTTATGTAAAATGATAGTAACTAAAGACATAGCAATACAGCATATCAGTCTAAAACAATTGAAACAACAACACCTTAATTAAAAGATAAACATGTATCAAGAAGTAGAACAGTTTACCAGATCAAATACATTGCTGGTGCTAAGATTTTAATCATATATTTACTAACTTTTTCAATTCAGATATGGTATATAAAATAGCGAACCTTTCATTGTCAAATCAAAATTTTGATGCTAATATAGATACATTTATATTCAGATATAAAGTTCGGATATAGACATTCGAATACAATTATATTCATTACCTAATGATATCTATTGTAATCTTTTCATTTCTCAAAAATGATATTAAATTGGAATGGCATCTGTTGTAAAACAATTTATAAATGCTTTCTTCAATTTATAACAACTAATTCAATCCAATGAAAACGTGTCAATATGGTAATAATACTAGATTTTACTTTTAAAACAAATAAACATAAGCTTTTTACGAAGAGAAACATTCAGCTAGTATAAAAAATATTAGCTATATAACGCAAGCATATCAAATTATAGAATCGGAGTCAATTTCTCTAAATTTAATGATATGTTCGTTATTCACTAAAACTGCTTTTTTGTAACAAACAAAGAATTGACCAATTCAATGTTGTCACCTCCCAATTATTTAAATGACCTCCGCGAATATCTTGTTTCTCTTGGCTTCATAACCTTTTAGGGTGTGTCCTTAGGTTCAGCCATATCTTTTCTTCGCCTACTGGACATTGCAATATGTCACGCAAGTATTAGTTTTCAAAAGGTTAATCACAATTTCACAACATTGAAGAAGCAACGTATATTTTCATGCTTGTAAAACTAGTAATATATTCTTGATATTTTTCCGAATCTTCTTGTTTTATTATTTTACTGAATTACCGCATGTTTTCAGGTTTAGACTTCAGCATAATTGTCTGCACTAAAAGTAATTCCAAAGCTACAATTGTCTAGCTTGAAAAAGACGGGTGTTTTTTAATTGAAAGGTTCGTGGCCCAAGACAACGAACCTTTCATGGAGTTAAATGTTTATTTTATCATGTTTTCCTCATCATAATAATTTATCTTTATAGAATTGTTTTAAATTCACTTCATATTTTGAATTTATAATCAAACAAATATAATGTTTATTTGTTTTTTTTATAAAACAAGCTTTTCGGGCGAGTACGAGGTTTATTTTTACATACATCTTTTTCAGTCGTAACGTCTTGTAAAAATCAGACATTCTTTTGATGTTCTTTTTCTGTATAAACAAGATATACTCACAAGATTTTCCTTAAATAATATTATATACATTACAGGATAAGAGATATTATTTTATACATATAAATTATCATAGGAAAGGTTCGTGACTAATGGTCACGAACCTTTCCTTGTTTGTAATCCGACATGGTATTGATAAACATCATAAAAATATAAATTCGCTTATTTCATTTGAAACCAATATCGTTTTTGATTCGGTAGGCAATAGAAAATTTTCTTGAAATTTAATAATCATGAAAAGTATCAAAATCACTTGCCAAAGGATTTTGATGGGAATTCTCGATCATGTTTATAACATGCGCTGCGAATAATAAGCAACCATTATAGAAAGAGTTGAAACGTTTCAACCCAAATGACATCATAGTACATTATGTTTGTTATCCGCAGCCGTTTACAAACAAGCATAGTGTAGGCGGCACCGAGTAAGATATATCACCGCACGAACCTTTCATCGCGAACCTTTTCTCAGCATATTTCAGATTCAATAATGTTGTTTAAACAGCAACAAAATGTTTCATTTTTGGCATAAAATACTAATTTTTACGTAACTTAGAACATTTGATGTGCTCGGGGTACATATTGTAGTCATAAACCCTTTAAATCAGGTAACGAACCTTTCAATTTTAACCCAAACCACATCACAACGTTAAATTCTACATAAATAATAAAAAAATTGTGCACACTATGAACATGGTGATAATATGAAAGTATTATATTGTGATATTAATACAAAAAAGAACATCTAATGTTGTTTCAATGATAAAAACACTTCACTTGCAATATATGGTTAAAAGGATAACGAACATTTCATACTATCCGGCGACAAACACTAATCCCTTACCATTTTTTATGAGTTATTGTTACTGAGATCTAATTTACAAATTTATAGTCGTGAATTGTTCCAAAATAATACGGCATCAAAGAAAATTAAAACAATACAATTAAAGCATCTAAATACACGTTCACTTTTTATAAATTGGACGGCGACAATCACGAACCTGTCATTTTCGTAACTTTAGGTGAATATTATTAAACAATTATTCATGATCAAATGGCGAGTTATTGTGTGTTATTTAAGGTAACATCTACCTTCTTAAACCAGCATAGATTTACAGGCAAATAACCTGCAATAATGAGGATAGACGGTGGCGACAAGTAAAAACTAAGGGTGTAAATTCTAACTGAGAACGGCCGTTTACTGCATGTATTGTAATGTATGATTGCATGTTGTTATATTCAGTTGAGCCCACTCCTCCTCCCCCTCCCTTGATGCCACCTCCCAAGATGCCCCCACTAAAGACCCATCATGTAAAGATGGAGCGGGTGAAGCTGGAGCATACCACTCAGACCACTACTACTGTTATTACTTCCACAGAGGAGCCCCTCCCACCTGAGCCTGAAGTGATAGACTATAGATCATTGGAGCTGGTTATTACAGACCTGTACAGACAGAACAAGGATACATATCTTATGTACCATAATGTACCTTGGACAGTCCATTGTAGGAAAGAGGTATGTCATGTTGTAAAATTATGTAACAATGTTTCAACTGCTTAGTAAAACCTTCACACTTGTAAAGTATTCTTTATTGAAAAGTAGAAGTGAGAAAAAGATGGTTTTCATAGAGATTGTTATGATGAAAGATATTGTTTAACAAATGAGTTTAAGAATAGTCCAAAAAGCTTGCAGTTCAAATTGAAGTAAAAAATGTTTATTGAATAATTTTGATACATTCTTATAAAACAGTACATGTACTGTAATACTTGATACTGCCTACAGTAAATGTATAAATATTGATTGATTTAAACAAAAAGGCATTTCTTGTATGTAGAGATGTTGTGTGTTATATAAACTGTTATATATTACAGGTGTTTATATAAACTTATATATTACAGGTGTTATATAAACTATAATATATTACAGGTGTTACATAAACTATAATATATTACAGGTGTTATATAAACAATTATATATTACAGGTGTTATATAAACAATTATATATTACAGGTGTTATATAAACTATAATATATTACAGGTGTTATATAAACAATTATATATTACAGGTGTTATATAAACTATAATATATTACAGGTGTTATATAAACTATAATATATTACAGGTGTTATATAAACTATTATATATTACAGGTGTTACATAAACTATTATATATTACAGGTGTTATATAAACTATTATATATTACAGGTGTTTATGCCTGGAGAGAGACTAGATAACCCACTAGCGCTGCACCTTGTGTTCTGTCAGGTAGTACAGGACGTGTACAATAGTGGCTGTATACGTATAAATAAAGATGAAAGAATCAAAATGAGAGGAATGCTAGGTACATTTTTGTTTTCTTTTAAATCAGAAATAATTCAAAATGTTTTATTTTTAGCTGAGGGACCGAAGAAATTTTCTAAACCTTCCTACTTTTTACTTCTGAGGATTTGAATTTTTAGCTCGACTATTCGAAGAATATGAGAGCTATTGTAGTCGCCCCGGCGTCAGCGTCCGTGTCGGCGTCTGCGTTGGTTAAAGTTTTTTGTAAAGTCAAATATCTCAATTATTACTTGAGATATTCAATTGAAACTTACAATACTTATTTATAGTAACAAGGTACATCAGATTGACAAGTTGGATAACTCTGCCTACAATATTGACAGAATTATGCCCCTTTTTAACTTAGAAATTTTGGTTAAAGTTTTTTGTTACGTCAAATATTTCAATTATTGCTTGAGATATTCAATTGAAACTTACAATACTTATTTATAGTAACGAGGTACATCAGATTGACAAGTTGGAAAACTCTGCCTACAATATTGACAGAATTATGCCCCTTTTTAACTTAGAAATTTAGGTTAAAGTTTTTTGTAAAGTCAAATATCTCAATTATTGCTCGAGATATTCAATTGAAATTTACAATACTTATTTATAGTAACAATGTTCATCAGTTTGCAAAATTGCATAACTCTGCCTGCAATATTTGCAGAATTATTTGCCCCTTTGAAACTTAGAAATTTTGGTTAAAGGTTAAAGGTCTTCAAAGATATTTACTTGAAACTTTACACATGCACTTAGGTTCATAATTGGAGGGTCATAATTGTATGTCACTGACCAAGTTCCATAACTCTATCTTGCATTAAGGCTGATTCATATCCCCTTTTCTACTTAGTCTCTTGGTTAATGTTTACATGCAAGTTTTACATATCTCAATAACTATTAAAGATATTTATTTAAAACTTCACATATGCATTTAGGGTTATAATTGTAGGTCACTGACAAAGATCCATAATTCTATCTTGCATCTAGGCTGATTTTTCTCCCCTTTTTCAACTTAGAAATTCATGGTAAAGTTTTGCTTGTAAGCTGTTATCTAAATAACTACTGAAGGGTTTGTGCTTTTTTTTGGGACAATTCTATGCATTCATAATAATAAAGCAGTGATTTACTTGATAAAACATCTTAATAACAAGCCTTTGTACCTTTTCTGTCAAATTTATGTATTCATAGGTAATTAGTATTATTATACTCAATAAAAACACCCTTGTGACATTACCTTCCGAATAGTCAAGCCAATACTGTATAATTAGACTCTCTCTAAGGCCTATAACATGAATTCAAAAAAAAAATTAGCCCTTTTGTGAACTTAAAAAATTTAACATTATCAAGGCTCTTTTACCATCAAGCACTTAGAATAGTCGAGCGTGCTGTCCTACAGACAGCTCTTGTTTATGAAAAGATTGCTTAACAACTTTACAAAGTTTTACATTTGTACAGTACACAAGAGCTGCTGATGTCTTTTGTTATAAAGTATCTGTAACAACATTTTGGCACAAGACATCTAAGAACCATACAAAACTAAATAAATGGTATATATTTGTAATTTTGCAGAGAGTCATGGAATAAATGCAGGTAACTATCTGACAGGGACATTTAAGCCTCAGGTGAAAAGGATTATAGTGGATACAGCAAAGGAATGGCCAACATATTTCTGTCGACTCTTCCCTGTGGCTGTATGTATTTCTTGACAATCTTTTATATTTTTTTTGTTTTGTGGTGACTTTTCAGAGTTTTTTTTTCTTTAGAAATGTTCATGTTGCTTCTTCCTCTATTATAAGAAAAATCAGCAACATGTAAGAATGGACTTCTTAATTTCACAAAATGTGACATATATACTTTATTTATTTATCATTGCAGATGAGTAATAAAATGTTCATAATGATTATTTTCCTGTATTGGACAACTGGTTGCATAATCTAATATAGTATTTCTCTGGCCATAACCTCAAATAAAACATGTTCAGAGAATAATTTGCCTTTATCTGGTTTTCTGCCAGTTCCTTTACATTTAGATGTGTTATTGATTTTGTGCTGTAAGTCTGTATATATTTCATTTATTATTTCAGTCAAGCGGACATCTTGCTGGTATTCACTATGTCGGAGTAAGTCACTCTGGTATCTACCTGGTACAGCGAGTGAAAAGTCTGGTTGAAGACTACCTCGATGTCATTGAACATATCAAGTGAGTAAAAACTGTACTTGTGTCTTAAAACTATTTTATGTTTTGAAAAGTGTCTCAGTTCTTCCTTGACAAACAAATTTGCTCAAAACATAATGTAAGGGTTGTCACAATATATGTATATAATTATATAATATTTCTTCTCAAATTACTCATTTAAAGTCATTTTCAATTGACCATTAAATTATATACAGGAAAAAGTAACAGCTATTAGTTTAAATTTGTGTATTTTAGTTTATTATGATGAAAGTTACAGTATTTAAAAATCACTTTTGAGTTAGATTAATGGCAGCACAGCATGGATGATGTTTGTAGAAATGTGGTCTTTGGGTTGATTCATACACTGTTTATCTGCAATCCCATAGGTCTCTAGGTTAATTGGGAGTCTATTTGTCTATTATAAGTTAGATATTTCAGTACATGTATTATGTATAATGTGAGAAATATGCAAAGGTAAAATAATAATTTTGTATTTATGAACACAGATTTGAGGATGTGGTGGACATTGTTATGCCGTCACGTACATCTATACAGATCAGCACTAAGAATAAGCCATATGTTTTCTACACAAATAGAGCACAGCAATTGAAGGATATGCTGGACTTGTACCTGAATGAAACTGACAGGGTAAACTTTTCTACTTTACATTTTACATTCCATGCTTTATATCTGCGTGCTACGCTCAGTAGGGAGAGCATCAGAATGTTTATCTTGGGGTCGCTGGTTTGATCCTCGGGATGAGGCAAATTTCTCTGTGACAAATGGTCTCGGACATTAAGTCAAATGGTCATTTGTCTCTCATGACTGGTTTAAAAATCATGTGGAATAAGTAGTTGTGGCAAAATTGGTAATCACTGGTTAATCATACAGTAAAGCATGGGTTAGGTGGACTGATTGCTTTTAAACATTTTGATATTTTAATACAATTCAGGTTTTTATAAATGAAGATCCACACTCGAGTATTTTTTTAAACAAAAACTTCATTGTAATTTGTAACCCAGTTCTTATTTTGATTTCCAATGAAATCTGAATTGTTTGTTTTGAAATGTGAAATATCGTTACTTCTTTTTGACAGAGCAATAGATATGTTGTTGCAATGAAAGATTACATAACAAGGGAGAGCACTTTACTGTCCTTTAAACGTGGTGATGTCATCAAACTGATGGATGCTGATGTGGATGAAGGTAATTACTACATTTTGCTTCATTTCTTCTTTAAGTTACAGACACTAAGTTGATTATATGAATCAAGATTTTTTGGTGTAGAATCTGCATATTTCATCTTTATTTTACATATGAATATTAGGGTAGTAGATGTGTGTCTATTTAATTTTAGAATCTATAGAGTTGCCATGTTTGTTTCCATCATGAGTTCTTATATGAATTTATTAGAATAACATGATTTATTTGTAGTTTATTCTAGAATTTTATTGATTTAATCTTTATTTCACTTATAAACATTACAAATTAGTTATGTTGCTTTATAACATACAAATTTTTATCTTTATCTTGGTGAACATGTAACAAGTTAATATTGAAATCTTCAGATTTAATGTCTTCTTTATTCTACTTATCTATAACATGTCAGTGTCAACTATGAAAGTTTTCAAGCAAACTAACAGAAGTTCAGTTAAAAATTACTTTCAATACAATTGTTTTTATTTAGTCTATCTATTTCTCTTTGATAAAATAATTCTGACATGTTAAAGTGTTATGAAAATTGAAGAGGAAAAATGACAATGTCTCTCAAATGTTTATATTCCTTTAAACTAGCAATCGTTATTTTGTTTTAGTAAGAATAGCTTGCCCTTGATTTATATAAATATTAAAAAGTTAGCTTTTAGAATATTGTAGAAAATATGAAATTTATGTGTGCTTCTTGCATAAAGCCATAGCCTTTTCACCGTGATGATTTTTCATTAGTAAGATATTTGATATTTTATTTGCACTGGCTATTGTTCTAGGTTATGCTCGAAGAGGTAAGATTTATTGTAGGATTTACCTCCCCTGTTTCACTTTGAGTATGAGGTTGTCACTCACCTAGATATTGACATAGAAATCCTGATTTGAACATATAATCATTTTATAGAATCAATTTCTGATTTTCTCATCCTATGTTTTATTTTGTCTTTGTAACCATATTGTTCTTTTCACCATTTTACAATTATTTCACCGACCCAGAAGCATGTATTATAGTTTTTTTACCCCTGAAGGGAGGCATGCATATTATAATCGCATTTTGTCTAAACACATGGATTAGGTTAAAGGGCAATCTAACAGTTAGCAGAGCAATAAAGAACATTAGACTTGTTAAAGTAGAAAAAGGGATTATAGCAGTGTATTACAGCTCAGTTTCAAGTATTTAACACAATTTTTTCACATCCAAGGTGATTTTTCAAATAAGAAAATATATTCTATACATCAAGATGATGTACATTGTATTAGCATTATATATGGTCAAGGTCATGCTTAGAGGTCAAAGGTATAAAATGGGGTTATTTTTATGTGTGAATGGACTGTAACTTTGTCTTTCTTAGATGGATTTAGAATACACTTGTAAGAAATGTTAACCACCATAAGAAAATTTGATGCCCGCAAGCCCCAGATATGTAGCTCCAATGTCAAGGAAAACACTTGGAGATAACGGTTAAAATTGAAGCCTACTCTTTTTTTTTTTGTCATAAAATTGTCAGTTTTATATCCATTAAAGTATAGAGGGTATTATTTGACTCAATTCTTGCTTCATTTCACAATATCTTTTCCCTGTTTTTAGCTTTTTCAGATATCTAACAATCTCCTCTCCATTAATGGCAAGGTTTGATTGTGTTATATACACGTAGTACTTTCAATATAAATATGTTTATAAACATCTCTGAAGAGTTAGTTTTTTCTTGGTTCAAAACACCCTCTGAACAGTGAGATATACTCTGCAAAAACCACGATACTCTAACATGTCATATAACTGTATTCAGTTATTAAAGCAGCACACTTCCATATAAGAAAACACTAGTTTCAAGAGAACTCTGAAATGTTAAGCTTTTTGCTACCACTATAGTTTCAGGCTAGCCTGAGCAATCTGATCAGGCACTTTATGGTTGCCTAGTTTTAAAGTTTTTGTTTTGGTATCCTGAAAATTGGTAATGGACAGTTCCAAAAACAGAATTTCTACTCTATTTCTATTGAATAATGGTTATTTTTTGCCCGTTTTGTGGGGAAAGTAACAGTTACTGCTTTATGCTAGTTTAAATGACTTTATATTTAACTTGGGGATATTTGTACTATTTTTAAACATATTCTTCTTTTTCATGAAAAATTAGGATCAATTTGTAGTTGTGCTGCTTTAAAACAAGACTCGACAATGTTTCTCATCATTACATTGACAATTTTCAGAAAACTTCATTAGAAATCACAAGTTTTAGTTAACTTCATGGTGGATTTGGATTTAGAGAATTACCTGTATGCTTCTAGATCCATTTAGTGCTAGATAAGGTGTTTCAGTTTTCATATAGAAAGTAGTATTTCAAGTTTTGAACCAGTTTGTATTTATTATAGTATGATAAAATTAAAAAAAAAAACCTGTACCATATCCAAAGTACATAGAAATTATTATTATGATGATACTACAAATGTACTTAAATTGGTTGTAGTCACTGTTTTGCAAACAAATTTTAATTAGGACAGCACCATTTTTTCAAAACCTATGAATACATAAAATATACAGTTATTTGTCTCCTTTTACTTATTTCAGCAACAATTTGTGTATAATTGATTCATTTTCTTATGTTAATTGTCATTCTTTGATAGCAATCATAATCCCCCTCAGTCAAAATCACCTTTGTCTGTAGCCTGTAAATTTCTATGATACAACTGCCACTAAAGGGGGGTTCTGGAACTTCTCCCATTTTAATACAGAATATTCAATAACTGTGAAAGGGATTATACATACACTAGTTATTTTTCAGGAAAGACAGATCAGTTTTGATATGTACATACACTTCTCCTGTTTGTTAGTTATAGAAAGTTATATATCAACCATTTCCCTTTTATTTGTATCAGCATGTATTTATTTTCAGCATAGGTGTAACAGTGATAATTTGAAATGAATATAATAAGTTTGGGCTGTCCAAAACTTTCATCATTCACCCAGTCTTGTGTTAACTTGTTTTAGCAGACATTTAGTTGTTTATATTTACAATTTAAAATAGTTTGATCATATGGTACACATTATTTTCAGGTTGGTTGTATGGAATATCAAATGGTGTGTATGGATATTTCCCAGCAGAGATGGTCAAACCTTTGGCAAGACATGAAGTTGATTATGCTAGAAGAGAGGCCATTGAAAGAACACCTAGTTTTAGAGTAAGTACTTACTGTAATTTCCAAAACTTTTTATAAATAATCAAACGTACATCAAAACCTATACAGAATTTATTTAAATCTCCAGATCCCATCAAAGAGACACATGTTGTAAGTTGGCTTATAAACCAGAATGGTGCTTTATGTGATATGATATGTTCAAAGACAGTTCATAAACATAAATAAGATAAGACAAGTTAGTCAAAGCTTTGATTTACCGCAATGTTTGAAAGACAAAATATAATATGAGGTGACTTAATTCATCCATTTATGCATTGTTCATGTATAAATATATTATTAAATATTAAAATGAACAGATTTAAGTACTGTAAATAGCATTAAAATATAATTATTGTTTGATATTACAGAGTCAACAGCAGCCAACAGCTCATTTGTCAGAAACTACAGTCCAAAAAGTTATCCATAAATCACACAATACAAGTCGGGTAATTATATCACATATTTTTAGTAATTTAATTTATTCAATTTTCAAAATCTAGTTTCTCTATTTGACAGTTTCTGCCATTATCAAAACACGTGTATGTTGAGTGTATTTATATTCCCACTTATTTCGGGTGGGGCATACAGATTTGCACTTATCTGTGCGTAGACTGACAAAATGGTAGAATTTGGGGACATCTCACAGTGTCTCATTTCTAGTTGATATATTATTGCTAAGAAGTAATTAAACAATCACCTTTTCATAATTATTTTCTTGCAGCTTTAAAAGTGGCCCCTTACTTAATCTAAGGGTAGTTATATTTTTCTGGTGCTTGTGGCATTTTTACCAAACCTTTAAATAATAAATACTCCGTTAGCTGGTTGCCAGCAGGTGTGACAGATTTTGCACTTTGTATTATCTCTCATGAATAGACTCAATCAAACCAAAAGCAGATTTCACAATATTTTAATTTCATAACCTCAAGGATCTCCTCTTTCCATGTTTATTCAATAAAGTTGTGGTATATAACTGTATTATCTACCTTTCAGGAGGACTCACGTGAAATGGCGAGAGACGGTGCAATATTACGTGATGCTCTTCCTGCACCGGACAACCGTAGTGAAACTAGTCAAGGTACTATGGTACCGGATGGCAAGTTTTCCATGATGGAGTTTGCTCTCTTACACTTCCGAGAGAGTGTTGACAAGTAAGTCAGTCTTTCAGTATTTTACCCTGATTTCTGTGTCCTGATCATTTTTGCCGATACAAAGCTCAAATCTGACTATTATTTGATATATTCTAATAAGGATTTGAATATGTCACCTTATTTCCTAACAGATCAAAGTCTGTCTCAAACTTGAACTATACTAGGTACATTTTAAATAACTTATTATTTGTTTAACAAAATATAAACTTTCGGCAAAAATTTTGCTTACCTGCAAATTATGACATTTGTACAGTTATTTACAATATATTAAATGTACAGTATATATATGTATAGAGTCGAGAAAACTTGTTTTGAACTATTTTCTACAAGGTCAAAACATATCATTCTCTGATTTATTTATATTTCTACAAAAAAGTTGTATTTTATTTTATTATATTTCTTACAATAATTTAGCTAGTGTTTATTTTTCTATGGCAACAATTTATTTAAGATAATAATTTCATCATGTTCATTTACAGAAAAGAGATAATAAGAAAGAAAGGTAGAGCTATAATGGAGGAATGACCTAATGTTATACTAGCATGTTATTATGATAATTCAAGCATGAAAAGTTCATATTATGCTGCTTTATATACCATATATACACTCACTGCTACATTCTCACATGTCTATATCTTGCGTCTGAAAAATAACATTGGTTCCCTGAAAGTTATTTATAATTCTGATACAACTTTTAGTTTATTAAATGATAAACAGCCCTTATGAAGATGAAAGAATATAGGGTGTTCATAAGTACTGTTAAGGGGCCTATAATGTGGAGTATTTAGGATGGTTCACTGGCTTTAAATTACTGAGCGTCACTACTATGGGTTAGAATCCTATCAGTAAGGTTGGTGGGTGGTTCTAAACTGTTAATTTTATGACATATTTAATAATATATAAAATAATAAATACAAACATTTCAAAATTCTATATCCTGAGTAATTAATCCAAAGACATTATATTTCGAAACGGTAAAGATATATCATAACTTAGGCATGACATTTTTCTGACATTTCTATTCTTGCATGATCTTCATTGAAATTCATATCAGGTCTATGCTGTTCTGTTTCAATGGTAAAATAAGAATAAAGGCTATCAGGGAAGATAATATAAAATTTTGTAATGAAGATTTATCTGACTAAGTAAATCAAATTTACTAATTGAAAATTTTCACCTTTAAAATTTAGTATAGTGTATGGTAAGTAGTGTAAGAACAAGATCAAAGAATTAATCATTCATGAAGGAAAATACTAAAGAGCTAATGATAAAAGAAAGAAAAAAAATGAATTGATAGCTTAATACAACTATCTTAAGTTTGGCATTTCATGGGAATAAAAAGATTGATTGGAAAAACAAAAAACAACAAAAGAAAATAGAAGATGCTAGACTTCTAGATAGGTTCATAGTTTTGAAGATAATGCTTTTTAAAATAAAAAAAATAAGATAAACATTGAAAATAGCATGTCTGATCATAGTACATGATAAATGATGATTTTATTTTAGCAATCCCTTCAATTCCCTGAGTATTCTTAGTGAATGGAGACGGCATCAGGTTGGAAATGCTAAGCCAGATTTTAACGAGCTAGAGAAAATGTTGGAAGGTCTAGAAATTGCAAATTTGGTTTTTTACTTGCAGAGTGATGATTTTTAAAGCAATGTTTGTTGTTGTTTGGAATTCATCAGTGTGTTGTTCATTTAAAGACCTGATTTATTACTTGTATTTGTGCACAGCTACATGCATTTTTTAAACTAAAGTTAAAGTCCCAGGGGGATAAGGGTAAGAATTCAGGGGGATAAGGGTGGGTGGGGGGAGGCTGGCAGTTGATTGATGCAAATCTAAAATGAATGTTGTAAGAAAATAAGATTTGAAGCATTGCTGTAATATTTGATTGGTATCTTTATATTTTTGATATCATTTAATTAAGTTAGATTAAGATAATTTGTTAAGTACTTTAATGCACTGTACAGCTGATACATTGCAAAATCAAAGAATGTTTGAATCAATCATGATTTTCTTTCAATCATAAGTTATTAACCAAGTTGTGAAATAAAATACAATTGCCCCCTTGATATCATCATTATCTTTTATCATTGGGTCTGTGATAAATTTTGTTGTACAGAAAAATATTTTGATATTACACACTTCCTTATATCATAACATATTTCCATCATCTTTGAAAACAGACAGTGTACTTTCAGCATTCATCAATGCATTGTTAAATTTCTTTTTATTAACACTTTTGCACTTGCATGCATTTAACTACTGCAAAACGTGACTTCTGCCAACAAGTATTCAAGAAGATGACAACAAAATTGAAGATGCCAATTAGAGATGTTTTCTGGGAGAATTTATTCATTTTAGACAAAAAAGTATTTGCATTTGAATCAAGTCATATGACTATTATGAATTGATTATTTTTCAAGGTACGACTTGTTACGTCCCAACAATGGTTCGGTACACGGCACAATAAAATCTATCGAGAAACTGAAGCTGCATAATCTACAGAAACATGAGAGACATCGCCGAGGTGATGGTTGCCATACTAACTAATATACTAACTGCAATATAAAGCTTAATATATCTTTATGGAATTTTATATACATGAGCTTTTATTAAATATTATGTCATTGATAAATGTAATAAAACCTTATGTAATAATGTTTATTGTCAAAATGCTGTTAAAATTATATTATAGTCACAATCAGAAATGTAATTTAAAATGATATTTTCAGATTCTAATACATGTATAGGTATAGAGGTATATATTGATGAATTGAAATAGCCAATGAATTAACATATTAATTAAATTCGTGAAATAGTCTTGTCCTGTTTTGAATTTGGAACAGTTCATTGTTATGAAGAGGGGTTTTGATATCAAAATGCGTAGCTAAAGCAAACAACTATATATTAGAGTGTTGTCAGTCTGTATGATTGGATAGCCTAGTCTGGCTCTAATTAGGGTTGTTAAAATTACTTTACTGACTCATAATTTTTAGACTAAAATCATAATGTTTAGCAAGGAACATTTTGAAAAACATTTCGATCATTAAGGACTATAAATGTGACTGTCTGATATATATAATGAAGATGATTTACTTGTTTTATGCATTCAGCACAAAGCACACATTCTTTGCATGCTTTTCACTGTTTAATTATAACATGCATACTTGTAATTGATATTAAGAAATGTTTCTTAATATTATACGAAATTTAAAGTAGATCATCCATTTTTTTCTGATAATTTAGATTGTATTTAAAATACAGAACTGTTTAGTGCATTATTATAAAATTGATCTATATAAGAATGTATACTCATATATTGATACTAAATTTTCGTAGGTTCCGGTGACTGGACATGGAAAGAACAGGCTGAGATGGTTAAATGGACAAGGGTGAGTTAATTCTTATTTTTGTTCTAACAAATTTCTATGTAAATCAAGCAAACAAATATTTTAAGTAGTTTATGCTTTAATTAAATGAGTTCTTTGTAAATTTTGGACCAAATAGGATTGTTAAACCATCAAATACTGTACACTAAATCTGCATTGTAAAGTATAATCATATCTAACCATATAACCATAAATATTTTCCAACCTTTTGTCTTAAATCTTTGTATTTGTTGTTTCCAATTTAAACCATTCTGTTTTTGATGTTACCAATATGAACAATTTTATTTTGAGTATGTAATTTCCATTTGTTATTTCCAGTCACCAATACAGTCTTCACTACTCAAGCTAGATAATCCTGAACTTCACAAACTGGCACTTGAATGCTTTATCTGTAAGTATACTTCCCTCTGAATTTATCTGTGTAGTATTTGATCAGATTCAGATTTTTGCAAAAGATACACACAAATGATGATAATTTAATCATATGACATAACCATTAACTGGGTATGTTTCAAATGGTAATACAAAAACAGACTTATTCTCTTATACCTCATTGAGCAAAATTATTTTCACCAGCTGAAATAACCTTAATTATGTCAGTTGTTAATGTTGAATGTTCCAGATGTACATGTACAAAAATTTGTAATACAGTTGTTATAAACATTTTGTGTCATTATATGACATGTATATTTCAGGTATAATGAAGTTTATGGGAGATTATCCTATGTCATCTAACCAGACAGAGATGGACTGTGCACTGAAAGTTCTCAGGGTATGGCAGTTGATTAAACAATTATAAATGTTGGAAAAAAGATGTAACAATAAAAATATCAACATTTCCATTCATAAACTTACATACAACTGTATAAGGATTAAGATTTAAATATGGTACATGTGGCTGATTGTGGAGCTTTACTGTGAATGTTTAAAATCTGCTTTTTAAAACAGAAAATAATGATACATTTGAACTAGAGAAATAAGGTTTTGTAACATTTGTTTTAGGCATGTCACAAGTATCCGGAGTTACGAGACGAGGTGTATTGTCAGTTGTGTAAGCAGACAACAAATAATAGGAGCATGAAACCGTAAGTTTGTTTGTTTGTTCATGTATAACAGATACATGCAAAATCTGTATAAAACTATATTGTTATACACATATCCTGATACACATCATTTGCTTTTTCAATCGTTCATTTGAAAAAAACATGCACAGATATTAATCTTTACACTTATTTTTAATCTCTTGCAAATTTTTAATCTCCTGCATTGTGACATCATAGATTTTGTAAACAAACACCTGTACACAAGTAAATGCTCTGTTTGGTTCATCAGAAGCAATTCTTGAATAGCCTTCTTCTTCTCCACCTCAACAATCTTTAGCGCAACCTCCTCTTTACTTCTGCAAGTTGGACTAAACTGAAGCCATTTCAATATCAAATTAATATTAATGTAATAACAATGGCCAGAACTTATTCGAACAATGGTGATCATGATTCCACCACCATGCTTTTATATTTACAGGAAGAGTTGCATTATGGGTTGGAGATTATTTGCCATTATTGCTGCGTATTGTGACTGCTCAGAGGGTTTCCGTCCATATTTGTTCAAATACCTTGAGACTGTTGCCTCCGATACTCAAAGAACATACAGCGGTGCTGCCGCAATCTGCCTCCAAAATCTACGAAAAACTTTCAAATATGGAGGGAGGAAAAATGTGCCATTAAAAGAAGAAATAAACGCTTTAGCTGTAAGTATTGTTTTTGTTATACTTCGTATAAAAAAGATTGAACCAGCATTAAATGAGGAGTGTCAATCTGATATCATGTGTTAGTATGTTGTCAATATGTACTGTACAATGTGGAAATTGTATCTGGTGGAGCATATTGTTGCCAGTATGTACTTTCTTTGTTCTTCAACAACACTTGCTGTTTCTAATGGCACCTTGACTGATACATAAGCTACTGCATCTTGTGTGTTGGTATGTTATATGGACCTCTCCCCATGAGTAGCGTGTCAGGTCACTTGGCAAAAAGTAGACTTTTTTTCTAAATACTTTTCAAAGTCAGCCCTTGCTTGAAGCTTTGTGAATATCATATTCGTTGGTGTTACCAATGTTACTTTCTATGACCTGAGTAGAAGGTAAATTTTTTTACAGCAAATCAGATTAAGTGTTGAGTGTATGTGACTGTCTGTGAGTTAATTTTAGTATAACAGTTGTCTGTTTACATGTCTGTTAGTGTTTTGTTTGATGTAAACATTGTAGTCCAGACAATCTATTGAAATGGAAGTTAAGGAAAGACGATGGAAAAAGAGTATGGTAAAGATAATATGTTGTCTCCACAAAATGGTATACCATACTGTGACACTTTTTTACTTTAATCCATCAGATTGTACTTATTCACTGTGAATGTGTGCATGAGTGATGATTATATATATTTGAATGTGTAGCATTTGTAGTTTCACCGACTGACTTAACTATTGACACATAATTTGATGATTTACCCCTTGTATTGATGTGATCTGTGGTAGATTAGAGATTAAATAAAAAAACTTATGTAATGCAATTAATTTGAGAATTTAATTTATTAAGTTTCCAATATCTAATATCAAATTTTATGTCTGATGTACAGGTAATTGTAATTAGTTTTTATGTGCATCATTTTCCCTATACTTATATTTCAACTGACACAATGCATCTACATGATCATTATTTCTATTTTATGCTTTTGACAACAGAAATTTACAGTTATTATAACTAAATAATTTGATTCAGACAGGCTGTAAGTTAATTACAATGGATTTTTAAATGACTCTGGTTAATACATTGAATTGTTTTTTTACTGTTGTATAGAATGGAAGAATATCAAAGAGATTTTCGTTCATCTACAGTGGTTCAGAAAGAGAAGGAATGCTACATATTAAGCCATGCACAGTAAGTGCTTCAATTGTACATTTAGATATGGTTTTATTCTGTAAAATTGTTGAATAAATAATAAATTTTGTAAATTCCATGCATGATCTTGATTAATTTTAATGATATAATTATTTGTAAGTACAATGTATGAATTTCATAGCATATACAGTATATATGCTTGATTTGTTGCTTTAAACTACTGCTAATTAATTTTTTTATTCTAGTACAAATTAAATCTTTGAAAAGTTTGTTCTTTTGTTGTTGTTGTTGTTTTTTTTATATTGTAATGATAGAAATGCTAACATTTGTTTATTAAAGGTTGTAAGAGACTGTACAGATGATATTTGTCAACGTCTGGACGTAGTGGACCAGGTGGAGGTGGAAGAGTACACAGTGTTCCTACGTACTCGAGATGGGCAGTTTAGTAGACTGCGTAACGAAGAGTATATTTTGGATGTCACGGCTGAGTTGCTACGCAGCAGACGTGACTACGATCTTGTCTTCCAGAGAACCGTTTGGTATTTCCCGGTCAGAGTGTCTGATAACCTGCTCTATAATGAACTTATGTACTTCCAGGTGTGTGATGTGATGTTTAGTTTTCATATGTACAATATGATTTGTTTAAGAGACAATTTTTATAAAATTTTATCTAGATGAGAATATTTTATATTTTTATTAAGCTGTTAATTGATATACTGACAATTCAAAAATGTTGAACCTTTCAAGAAAAATGAATAAGTAACAACTTGTATCAAATTTGTCTGAAAAACCTATAACCCAGGGCTGTTAGGCTCCAGTTTGATTTTGGTTATGACTTAGTTTCCATATGTGCCACAAGTACTGGTTAGCTTAAAGTAAATATGTTTACACTGAAGATATCATAAATATCAGGTGGGATATGATATATATTTTACCATATATAACAATACACACAAGCCTTACACAAAATGTAATATATTTTACCATATATAACAATACACACAAGCCTTACATAAAATGTAATATATTTTACCATATATAACAATACACACAAGCCTTACACAAAATGTAATATATTTTACCATATATAACAATACACACAAGCCTTACACAAAATGTAATATATTTTACCATATATAACAATACACACAAGCCTTACACAAAATGTAATATATTTTACCATATATAACAATACACACAAGCCTTACACAAAATGTAATATATTTTACCATATATAACAATACACACAAGCCTTACACAAAATGTAATATATTTTACCATATATAACAATACACACAAGCCTTACACAAAATGTAATCTGTTTGTAATGTATATTTTACTGTGTGTATTTCAGTGCCTACCAGACTACCTGGATGGTCTACTTGTTATGACAAGAGATGGTGCTTTAAATAAACAATATGAGGTCAGTAAAACATTGTTATTTTTGAAAATTGTTGTTCTTGAATAATTACATAAATATTCACCTGTTTTACAATAAATCATGACTTGAATTTGGAATCATGACTGAACAGCCAGTAGTTTTGTTTTCTGTAAGTTGAGTTATCAGTGTTTAAAGGGTAAATATTACATTTTAGAGTTGCTGCACTAAATTAAGTGTGTTGAGTATAATATGTTCTAATATTAACATTTTACAGATGGATATCCAGTTTTTGGCAGCATTGTTGCACAGAGCCTCGGACCATGTCAACATGCCTACCTTGTAAGTTACACTTTAATTTGTTGATTTTTATCTGATTTGACACTGTCTTTATAATTGTATTGGTCTGTTTATGCTGTGGACTGGCAAATAGTGGAATTTCAGGATAAACCTGTCCTATGGACACATTTCTAGTTAGCTCTATAACAAGAAAATTATATGTTTTCATATGTGGTTGGACATGATAAAAAGAAAAATTCTATTATAAAAGTAAAGATACAACTATTTAATATACATGAGCTGTTACTTTTTAAGTCAGAACACCTGACATATAGGATGCATTATTCTTGTTCATAATTGTCCCAATTATTTAACTTCTTTGTTCAACTCATATTACCGGGGTAATTATTACAAAATGTTTCTAAAATACAAGTTTTAATAAAATTTCAGACGTGACCTTGAGCATCTGCTTCCAGAGATTGTTCGAGTGTTACCCAGCTATAAGAGTCAGCACTGGTTAAATCGTATACATGATGAGATGAAAACAGTCATTAAACATACACCCCCTGAGTGTATGGCCAAATTTATAGGTATGCATTTTTGTTTTTCAGGAATTCACAGATTTTAATAGAAATACTTATACTGTAAATAATAACTGTCTGTTTCTGGAAGATTGATCTTTATGAATATGAAGTTTTGAAAGATAGATTTTGAAAAGTATTTATAAAGTATTAGATTGTGCTCTATGTTGTAATTTTGATAAAGAATCATCACATGATATCATATTAAATTACAGAGGTGCTTGCACAGTGGCCTTTGTTTGGAATTACTTTCTTCAGAGTGAAGGTCAGTATAGCTGAATTTTATTGTTAATAGATCCTTAATATTCTGTAATATTTTGTTTTGAAAGAATTTAAAAGAAGTAAAAGCATTAACAGTTAAAAAAAAACAAAAACAAAAAACACATAATTATGTTTTCACATTTAGCTTCTTTGTTTTTCTGCCCTTGTAGTTAAGGTTACTAACTTTGAACAACTTGCCCCCTCACTGTTGTCTCAGTACTTTTGGATGGATTTTTTCTTCCATGTGATCTTAAAGAAGCTTTGCTGATTTACTTAGTTGGCCATTACTTTAAACAAAGCTAGGAGAGACACCTATGTCAGAAAAAGTTGGAAAGTCGCAATATGACCTTATCAGTGTTGGAAAATGCTTTTTTGCATTTTTTTTGTTTGACCTTTTGTTATATTGAGTAGATCTAAAATCTATTGGTTATATTGTTTTACAGAAAGTGTTAACACAGCCCATGTATGGAGAATGTATTCTTGCTGTGAACAAGACCGGCATTGTCTTCCTTGATATTCGGTCACATGTAAGTCTTCAAATATTTGTTAAATACCAATTACCACTTGTAAAAACATTAGGGTTAGAAAAGCCCTCATTAAGCGTAAATACATACATACATGTATAATAGATCTATAGATAAAATTTATCTATCAAGTAAGTTTATTTTTAAAACTGAATTGTGTTACAGGCAATTAAAAAAAAAGCATGGAACATTAGTGGCCCAATATCTGGTATTTCACTCAATCTTTATTGGCAGCCATACATTATTCTTATGAACTTTTTTTAACGCTAATATATTTGAAAATTGAAAAATAATTGATTTGTTTCAGGAGATTTTCCTACAGTATAGTTTCGGAGAAGTTCTTTCAACACGACGTTACCGTAGTGACAGTAATCAAAACTACCTGGACATGAAACTTGGTAATCTTATGGTCCAGAAAATAGTACGCATAGAGACTGAACAAGGCTCAGATATCTCAAATCTGATTGGCCAATACATGCAGGTGATCAATCGTCATCGGAAACGACCTGTAGAACGTGGGGTGGTCAGCGCTCCATACCAGACACCGAGAGAGCAGTCGTACTGAAAAATATAAAGTGGACAATTTACCGTATCGACACAACCTGCTTATAGATGCAAGTTAAATGTTGACACAAGTTCTATGCGGCTATGTATGTGTTCAATAACATAGTTATTGTTTGTAACGATGTACAGTTATTCCATATAACGATGTACAGTTATTCCATTTAAAAATGTACAGTTATTCCATATAACAATGTACAGTTATTCCATATAACAATGTACAGTTATTCCATATAACAATGTACAGTTATTCCATATAACAATGTACAGTTATTCCATATAACAATGTACAGTTATTCCATGGATTGTGAGAAAGGAAGCCATAGCAAGTGCTGTATAACCATTGCCAAATAATGACTTGAACTTAAAAAAAAACTATATTTTATAGATATATAATTATCCTATAGTCTAAAAGTATCTGCTGTGATGTGATTTGTTGGTAATCAAAAATGTTTATATTTGTGTTAGTTTGTATATATATGTTGTTTTGTAGACTGTGTGAAATTGGGACCCTATAGTTTACTTGTTAGTATTCAGATATTTTGACACAAAGTTAAATAAAACAAATGTTAAGGCTACATTTACAGTTATTATATGTAGTGTTAACTAAAAATCCAAAGACTGGATTCATAATTGAGGCCTAAGGTAATTTATGTTTGTTTCTATTATTATACCATCAGGCAGGAAGTCTGCATTCTTTATAGTATGTAATATATTATTTTTTGTCTGGGAGTAAGCATCTTTACCATGAGTGCTTTCACTGGTAAATGTATTAAACTTTGAATGAACACTTAATTTGACAGAGATTTTGCTGTTCTATAAACATAAGCCTTTCATTATTGTGATTGGTATATATTTGTCAGTGATAAAAGATCCAGTTGTAAAAGATTTATATGAAATATATTTTGGACATATGCTTTTTATTACATTGACGCAAAATGTTGATGAAGTATCAATTATCACAAACTAACAAACCAAGAGGAGTTTACCAAAAACTGGGTGAGGGTATCATTCTGTTGCCATTACAACAAGGGGCAAAATTACCCTGCATTTTCTATTGAAGTCCATTTACAACATCATGCATTTTCTATGGAAGGCCTTTGATGCCATTGATATTGTTGATGTGAATATACTGCTGACCTTCAAAACATTCCCTTTAATTCCATATGCAAAATCATTTACATTGAATATTATATATTATATTGAGTGAGTTTATTTGATATTTATACCCGCTGTTTTTGTATATATATTCTACATCTACATTTATTTATATCTGTTTTTTATTTAAGGTGACAGAGAAATGTGCTTTCTTGTTTTTTTCTCGTTTTTTTTTCTTCTAACTTTATATATTTCTTTGTTATTTGTTTTAAATGACTGCTTTGGAATGAAGTTTATTTTGATTAAATATCAAAACCAGTATACATATACTATTTATTCAGATTTTTCTTTTGATATTAGCTGGCCTGCAATTTATGAATCAAAACAATTTTTGTATAATGTATACTGTACATTAAAGCCTTACTGATACAACACAAACCTCTTGCATGTTATCACATACCTTTCATACATCCGGAAAATAACAAGTTAAAAAACTTACAGCATATATTTACATTTGTTACCAAATTTACTTCATAGTTTATTTGTAAATTAATCTGTTTTTGTTGTTTTTGTTTGTTATTGATAAAATTCTTATCAGGTTTTATCATAGTTTTGTATGTATCATATCTATGGGAGTTCTGCTGTTATTGTGCCTAGACTTTGTTATTTAGACTCGGACATTGATAATTTTTTCAGCTGGGTTATATGGCATGTTGGTGTGACATGGCATGTTGGTGTCAAACTTCTCTCCAAGATGATGATATAGAACTGTCATTGTCATATGAAAGCATGTTAAAGTTATCTTTATACCTTATCATTAAGCCAAAGTTTATTATTACCTACTTTGGTCAATTGTTTCAGATTTTAGTTTGTCTGTCAATCTGTCGTTCTGTATTAAACTGGATTTCAACTTTAGAGATTTGAGAGATCCTTGAGTTGTTTCAATCCTGAGATGATTAAGAGCATGAAGTTTAGATTGTTGACAATACAGACATTACAGTGCTGTATTCAAAAGAGCATGTCACACTGAACTTTTGACCTAATTTATCAATATCTGATCAAAATGATCATTATGCCCCTTGAAAAAGCATACCTTTGAACTTTTTATCTAAGTTACCAATATTTGCTTGTGATTCAGAATAAAGACCTTTCTTTCTATAAGAATAAGATAGGTAGTAAGTCATAATGACCTTGACCTATAATGACCTTTTACATGTTGTCATTTGGTTAAACTTGGCTTTTCAAACAGCTGTGTCGTCAATATCATTTGTTAAGGTTTTATGTTAAAAAAATTATAGACTGTATCACACAATTATATATTCTTTATGTGCAATTATATAATATTATGTAATGATCTGACAAGTAAGCAATTTGCATATTTAACAACATGCTTAGGTGATAATATATTTTTTATATTGCAAAGGAAATAAATATATTATAAAGCATTTATGGGTGTTTATTTTATGTTTTAGCTTACGAATGAAACCTAGTAATTATTTACATTAAATTTTCTTTCTGTTTATATTATTGATCTGTACCTTTATGCCTTAATAATGATCTTGGAAAAAAAGTGTTGCTATTTCCCCACTCCCCAACCGCCTCCTTGAACAATTAAAATTGTTCTTTGATACGTGTCTGCAGGACATGAGTTATTTATAGCCAATTTTAACCTTTACCCTACAGGCAGCAATAGAATCTATCTATATGACCAGTGCAGACAAAGAGATCAGCTGGCACATTTAATGTACCATCTGGTCAAAGTTAGCACAGCACTATTCAGTCAGTGATCATTTTGAAAGTTGTCCTAAAATTGATGAATGTTTTGTCAAGAATGAAAAAAGGATGAGTAATGGTTAGCATCTGTTCTATTCAAAGTGTAAAAATATATAAACTAATCTTCAAGGATAAGGCAGCCCAGCAGTAATGACATTTGCCGCTCAACAAAGGAAATTAGCGGGTTGGCGCTTTACACTGTATTTGGTCAAGAATGTAATTTCAAGAATTTAATATAATGTACAAATGTAGTTATGCCTATCCTTGTTGATGAATGATGTCATTATAAACATTTGTAATATAACTATTATAGAGCATAAAAGTCGCTGAAATAATCATTCTAGCTTTGATTCTCATTAAATCTTTACAAATTTTGGGATATTTATAAAATGTATTAAAATTGTGATCAACTGATATATCAATTAATTAAAGATATATAACATTATGCTTTTTCATGTAAATTAAACATATTTAGGGTAAATACTGAGAAGGTATACTATGTTTTAAATTCTACAATAGGTAAACACAGTTTGAATAAATGTACAGTGTCTTAAAAAACACTGACATTTTTGTTTTAAAAAATAAGAATAAGGAATGCACCTTACCAAACATAGTATGTGCATTCTCTTATTTAAATTATACATATTCAGTAAGAATTTCCTAGATTTCTATTTTACCTTAAGATAAAAAAACCATATGTTTAACATACTTGGTCATTTTGAAATACAGACTGAAATACATTAAATCATTTAAAAGTGTTAACATGTAATGACTTCAGAATTATATGTATTCAAACACTTGTTTGCTTGAAATATAAAAGAAGAAGAAGTGAAAACAAACAAATCATTGAGAATAAAAGTTTTAGGATAAAACATTGGTTATTTGTAAGCAATAATTATAATTCATAACAAATCTAAAAATCTGGCAACTGAAATATATGAATGAAATACATACATTGTATACATGTACATTTTAAAACTGTTGTTACCTTCATACCTTGACTCATCACCTTGATTGGGTGAAGTCAATTTTGGTCATTATTTTGGTTTAAAATTGTCAATCTCAAGTATTTTTTTTTAACATTAAAGTAATCGATGTTTTCTGGTGGTATTTGATCAAACACCAATGAGCCATAATGGTGGTAACCTTCCTGCATGATCAAAGACATATAAATGAAGAGTTCATATCAGAAAAGTTATTACAGAAGAAAATTATACACATCGTGTAAGTTTAATATTTAGTAGTCTTAGTAGGATAAATGTTTTATTTGTATTATTTGTTGTAAAATGATAACAATATCTTTTTATTTTCGGTGCATCCATCCATCCCTATCCCAAAACAAATTTGTACAGTTTGACCATTTTCCGTTTTATCGTTACAGACGTAAGCAACTTATTAATTTCCGGTTCATTTTATTTTGACAGAGTTACTTACCTTGCAATTAGAAAATTTAGTGAAAGGGAAATTACTGCGTCATTAGAAAATTTGTTCGCAAATAATTGAGGTTTTTTCTGTTTAAAACAGCTTTATTAAAGGTTAGCAGTATGTATATTTTACCAAAATGTTAATTGTATCTGTTGTATATTATTTATTGAATACTGTTACTTTGTCTGTTGTTGTTTTTTATTATTGCAAAAAAAACATGCATGGAAAAGTGTACTAGATTTCGGATAGGCAGAAAGGTCATGCATGGCTTTTAACTGCTAAATATTTCCTTTTAAAAAAGTGGTCCATTGTTATTGAAAAGGAGATTACTGCATGACAGAAATTTTGTAAGTAATTAAGTGTGGTTTTTATGGTTAAAACAGTTAATTTACATTTGGTGGTAGGTATCAGGTATATATAACTGCCAAGTCTTTTACATCACAGATTAAGAGGGGACATGATTCAGACATTCAAAATAGTTAAAGGCTTAGATGACTGTATTTTCATCATGGTCATCATGTCAGGCCAAACAAAAATATAGTTCAGTTTCGCATCTCCCGACCGCATACTTGCCATATTTTCAGCCACCCAGATAGGGGGATAAAATTTGGCTTTAAAAAGCAGGGGATTTGGACCAAAAGTAGGGGGATTTTTAAGCAAGCACAAACTAGTCGTAATCTTAAAATGATGCAAACATATAATTAAATTTCCCCCATTTTATTATGAAAATGAAGATCATTTGATATTTTCAAGTTTTAACATACATGACTGTGAAGGAATAATATGTAAACAATTGCAAATAAACATAGGTACTTTAAATATTTGATGTAAATAAAATAAGAATCCTTGTAAAACAAATATAATTAATTGCATGTATATCATATATAAAATACATTTTTATATCAGATATATATTGAATTATTTTAGTACAAATAAACTTGAATTTGATGCATTCAAAATCATTAAAATAAATATACTTTAACAGCCAAAGTTTTTTCTCTTTAAATGAAAGGTAAAGATTTTTCTCTTTAAATGAAAGGTATCAACATTTTCACGGAGAATTTTTGTAGCCATAGAAAGGTGAAATAAAAAAAATGCTGCCTTAAAAATTTTCCGTTGATACTTCATAAACATAAAAAAAAAATCTGACACAAATCTTAATCCAGTTTACTCAGGTAATTATGTACTTCACACCTCAATCCGTTAACACACATCGATTGCCTCATGCTTTATACCATATATGGCAGTAGGGAGTCTAGACGCTACGTCACTTGATACCTGTATGTATAATGTACATGTAAACTGTGTAATTAATGCAGGGTTGTGTAAGGTTTTTTGGAGTGTACTGACTACTGGATAATAATTGGACCTAATTATTTTGGCTCTTTGGGTGTTAAAACAGGTACTATTTATAAATTATCTGATTGAAACGGATTTTTACCTCTTTCAATCCCTCCTTAGTGTTTGTTGGTTACCGTGAGACAAAGCTAGTTTATATTATTTTTGCAACAGCATAGATCACAGTTACATAAAAAATAATAGTTTCAAACATTGCTAATCTGTGATTCTTTGAGTTTCTATTGCCTGATCATTATTTTTTTATCTGCACTTATCAACTTCAAAGACCCAATGCCGACAACAAACTCAAGGCGGGGTTACATATCCCAACAAAAATAGATAAGTCACACATTCAGTATCGTCGCTGTCATTGGTTAAGCACCTGCAATACTGACACTGATTGACAGGTTTATTGACAGCTGAAGTGTGTCGGAGTAACTAACAATACAATTATCCGTTAGACCCCTGCTGTTTAATGGGGAAATATTACTTCAGGCATATGTTGTAAAAGTTGTTTATGTCTATTGTTTAATTATGTTTATTGGTGAAAATGATGCTTTAATTTTTTTGTTGGTTGAATTTTTGAAAATCGGGGGGATTTCGATCCCACGGCGGGAGATCGGGAGACATGGTCGAAAATCGGGGGTTTTTGTCCCCCGGCGGGGGATATGGCATGTATGCGACCGTCCCTATTTCCAGCTGACCCTAAACTTTTTTTCCTTTCTGCTCACTATTTATTATGTGAGCCATCTGAATGAAATTTTTTACGTACCACATGTACAAATTATTACGTAGCACAATAAATTTAAGCCTTTCCGGACATGGCTGATTGATGGAATACAAAACTTTACTGCTGATAATTAACTACAATAATGTACAATTAATACATTTATGTGACAAGATATGAAGTCACTTGATTTACACAGAAAAAGAGCATGTAAATTTTGTTCAATTCTTTTACATAGAACATAGATATTAATTTTTACATAGAACATAGATATTATGAAGTATGGAACAATGTTGCAGAAGGCGATAAGTCAAACAGCCCTTGCAACATTTATGCTTCTCAAAAATCCTGTACACAGCATATTTCGAACAGTAACCTCAACCTGTATATATGTAATTCTCGTAGTTTCAACTAATGATATTTATTGAAGGCTACCTGAAACCCCTACTGTTAAAGTCTCTGTTCGTCTGTTTGACTTTTAGAAATGTTTAAACCATTTGTAGATTGTTGATATATTCATATTCTGTGTATAATGAAATTTTTTTTTTATTTGTGTTGCAAGATGTCCTAAACAGACACAAAAATTCATCTCAACTTGCATTTCTTGCTGTTTCATTTGGCCCATACTTTGCAGTCAGTAATGCATATGTTTGAATAATTTTTGTGAAGTGTGTTATTCAAGCATCATTACAACATACAATACATCAAATTGATTTATTGATGTTAGGTCCATTACCAGATGGAATTTCACAGAATTTTATCAAGTAGTAAAACATTATAAATGTACAAAATGTAACTGATTGTTTCAACATATATTTAAAGATATATATTTGAAATGTTTTGAAAACTTAGGAGGCAGATATACATCTTTATACACTTAAACAGACATTTTGTGATCCTGGTTAACATGTCATAGTTGGTCATGATAAACATGTATGTTAGAATTTGTTTCTGTTACAGACATTAATCAATTGTTTTATTTACTTCAGCATAGTAAAGCAAGTTGTGAAGAATGGGGAAGAAGAAAAAACTGAAACAATCTGGTGTGAAGAGAGATGAGATTGAAGCAGGTAATACTGAGACAGGTCAAACAGCAATAATGCCAGCTGTACCTCAGACAGAAATACAGGCAAATGATGTATCAGGTTTGAATACAAATCCGACTGCTGTCAGTGAAATGGCAATAATACAGCAGAATGGATCTTCACTCAACACCAATATTGAGGCACTAGATAATGAAGGTGGTGCTCCAAAGCAACCATTTGAGAAACCATCTGGATCAAATTCAATACCAGGTGGAGATATAAGAAAAGAGAAAAGTATGAAAGAGCCTGCAGGTAAATATCCTACAGGAGGAGAAATACTAGCAGGTCAGTGTGATGGAGACAGATTAAGTCCATCAAAGAAGCCCAGTATTGGTGGAGGAAAACCACAGATTGTAAAGAATTTAAATGAAAACAATCGGAGAAAAGGAGCAACTGGTAAAGTTAAAAGAGGATTTGTGAAAGATGTGTCTGCATCAAGACTAGAGAGGAAAAAAGGAGGTAAAAAGTTGGAAGAAAAAATGGAGCATAGAATGAGTTTGAAAATGAAGAAAATAAAAGACCCAAGGTTGATACCTAGAATGAGAGAGGTATGGAGTAGTTTCATCCTAATTGTACACCTTGTAAACTTGTACACTTTTATTTATCTGAATTTTTCTTAATTTCAGAGTAACCTATTATTCTTATCACAAACTCAATAGAGTTTGCAAATTCTTTTCTCCATAATTATATATTCCCTGAATTTTTGAAACTCTACACATGCCTTGGTGTTCAAGACTTATTTAAAAAAAATTATGTACAGATTTGATAAATTATACTTCTTTATAATGTATAAGGTTTTGTGTGTTAGTTCAATATCTTCAAACTTGAAACATGTCTTTTGCATCATGTATGTAGTTTACTAATCGAATGGCAAGACACGTAAATCTATCATGAATTAATAGAATGGACTCACCGAATCACCCCCCTCATTACCTGCATAACTCTTAATTAATTATTAAGTGCTGAGTGTTTAGTTTGCTCTATTTGTGTTATATTTTGCAGTACCTTGAATCAAGAGCCAACAAAAACTTTGTAAGCATACCTTTAATGGCAGAATATTTACAGGATAAATACCCGTAAGTGACTATTTTCTTCTCTCCATGTTTGTTTGTTTGTTTGTTTGTTTTGGGTTTTACGTCACATCGACACAGTGTAGGTCATATCGCGACGTTCCAGCTTTACTGGTGGAGGAAGACCTCAGGTGCCCTTCCGTGCATTATTTCAGGCACGAACGGGCACCTGAGTAGAACCACCGACGTTCCGTTCTCTCCATGTATTCTTGTAATTACTGTTTTGTGTAAAATTTCTATCAAGATTGATTTTAGACACTTAACATTGATAAAATAACATTGTCTTATAATAGACATTTGAAAATATCAAGTTTTCTTTTTTTTAAGTGTTGAAAAATAAAACTTTGAATTGGTATGTTTTCAGAGAATATGGAAGAAAGAAAAAGCGTATGTTTATACAATATGTAGATAAAGGTGAATATCTTTTCATCCAGTTCAAACATTTTCATAGCACACAAATTTTCATAGCACACAAGTCTTAAACTCAAATTATTATGTCGAAAGAAAAATTATCTTAACATAGAATTACATACTGGTAATATTTTAACCAAGAAATGGCCCACATGTTTATGATAAAGGAAAGGCTTTAAGATAAGTGATATTTGTTTGTGAAAAGTTTATAAAGTCAAAATGTTTAAAGAAATTAAAAGTACTTGTCATCTATACAAATTAAATATTTGAGGTAGCTGAAAGCATGTGCTTTTTACAGCAATAATGTATAATATGACACCACACTTGGTGCTCTTTTTGACTTAAAGTACCTTGTAAAGGAAACTTCCCTTGGTAGTTTAATTCAAGTTACAAAGAATGAAAACAATCGGAGAAAAGGAGCAACTGGGTAAAGTTAAAAGAGGATTTGTGAAAGATGTGTCTGCATCAAGACTAGAGAGGAAAAAAGGAGGTAAAAAGTTGGAAGAAAAAATGGAGCATAGAATGAGCTTGAAAATGAAGAAAATAAAAGACCCAAGATTGATACCTAGAATGAGAGAGGTATGGAGTAGTTTCATCCTAATTGTACACCTTGTAAACTTGTACAGTTTTATTTTATTTATCTGATGTTTTTCTTAATTTCACAGTAACCTATTATTCTTATCACAATCTCAATAGAGTTTGCAAATTCTTTTCTCCACAATTATATATTCCCTGAATTTTTGAAACTCAACTCTTCACATGCCTTGGTGTTTATAAGTTGAAGACTTATTTAAAAAAAATTATGTACAGATTTGATAAATTATACTGCTTATAATGTATAAGGTTTTGTGTGTTGGTTCAATATCTTCAAACTTGAAACATGTCTTTTGCATCATGTATGTAGTTTACTAATCAAATGGCAAGACACGTAAATCTATCATGAATTAATAGAATGGACTCACCGAATCACCCCCCCCCCTTCATTAACTGTAATAAGTTCCTGCTTAACTCTTGTTTAATTATTAAGTGCTGAGTGTTTAGTTTGCTCTATTTGTGTTATATTTTGCAGTACCTTGAATCAAGAGCCAACAAAAACTTTGTAAGCATACCTTTAATGGCAGAATATTTACAGGATAAATACCCGTAAGTGACTATTTTCTTCTCTCCATGTATTCTTGTAATTACTGTTTTGTGTAAAATTTCCGGTAAGATTGATTTTTGATACTTAACATTGATAGAATAACATTGTTTTATAATAGACATTTGAAAATATCTAGTTTTCTTTTTTTTTTGAGTGTCGAAAAATGAATAAAACTTTGTATTGATATGTTTTTAGAGAATATGGAAGGAAGAAAAAGCGTATGTTTATACAATATGTAGATAAAGGTGAATATTCCCTTTTTCATCACATAAATTTTTTTAGCACACAGGTATTAAACTCAAATTATTATGTGGAAAGAAAAATTATCTTAACATAGAATTACATACCGGTAATATTTTAAACAAGAAATGGCCCACATGTTTATGATAAAGGAAGGGCTTTAAGATAAGTGATATTTGATGTGAAAAGTTTATGAAGTCAAAATGTTTAAAGAAAGTAAAAGTACTTGTCTTCTATACAAATTAAATATTTGAGGTAGCTGAAAGCAAGTGCTTTTTACAGCAATAATTTATATGACACCAGACTCGGTGCTCTTTTTGACTTAAAGTATCTTGTATAGGAAACTTCCCTTGGTTGTTTAATTCAAGTTGACAAATGCTTGTTTAAATATAGGCTGTTGGAATATTCTTTTTGATGAATAATGACTTATATATATTCATCTAGCATATTCCTACATGGAAAAACCATCATTTAATGATCCACCACCACCTCTCTCTGACACTGATGAAAACAGCAACACTGAGAAGGAACTTGTTGAACAAAAGTAACTTATTTTCTCGTTTCACTTACTTATTTTCTTGCCCCCGGGCATATAGTGATTGAACCATCCGTCCGTCTGTCCGTACAAGGTTAACCTAGAACGGCAAGTTGGATTTTTCTTAAGTTCTACCTGTACCAATGGCTTCTTTGTTTACACACTTACAGTAATCAATGCAAAGTACATGATCTAGGAAAGTTACAGAACTATGATTTCCATTTTTTCCAAGTTATTGCCCTTTTTAGCACTTTGAAAATGTATATGGTTAACCTAAACAGCAAGTTGGATATATCTTAAGTTCTATCTATACTAATGACTTCATAATTTTCACACTTACTTATCAATACAAAGTACATGATATTGCCAAGTTATATAACTGTGTCATCCATATTTCCCAGTTATTTCCCTTTTTTCACTTTGAAAATAGGGCCTTGTCTGGTTAACCTATTCCGGCAAGTTGGATTTATCGTAAATTTCTCTTAATTGCTTAACCCTTTCCCCCATGAGCATATTGTGAAAAATGGCAGTTTTCACTGAAAAGCCTCCTGTTACAAGTTCAAACTGCAATGAAACTATGCAAAATGCTTCAATACTAATCAAACTTGGCACAAATGTTGACTGGACCATTGCCTTTGTAATGACATGCTCAGTCTTAAATTTCCTGTTACCATGGCAACGAGGGGACATCTCAAAATTGCCAAAAATCACTATTTTGCCTCGATTTTTTCCATCAAAATTTATTTCAAAGTGCTGCAACTTCTCAAGGGATTAAGATAGAGTCAAAGGCTTTTCAGCGTTGGTTACACGCTACCTTATGATCGACCTGGGGTCATTTTTAGCCTCTCACAAGTCCAAAATATGCTTGGCGATGAGGGGGACTCCACCCCCTTCAAACCCCCCAAACAGAAGGGGGCACATCCCCCTTCTGGCAACCCACTGATGTATCTTTTGGATGGGGAATGGCGCCGAAAAAGTGCTCACTTTTTTTAGCAACATTTCTCGAACGAAAACATGTGTTTGGGGCCCAAATAGGACATTTTTTCACTATTTCAGGCCTAAAAAAGGGGGGGGGGGTCGAAAGTGCGTTGTTTCGCCTACATATGAGGTTAAGGGTTAATTTATTTAATGATATCTTGCATATTTGGTAGGTGGATACCTTTAATGGTCCTCTGATATTTTGTGGAGTAAGTGGTCTCTAGGGTCAAAGTCAAGGTCACTGGTTTAGAAAATAAATTTAAACATTTTTGCTCATACAGCCTTTATTTTTTGGTTGATGTCTTTCATGTTTAATACAAACATGCCAAGGGAGGTCCTCCTTCTTTGGGTATAGTAAGGGGTCATTTGGGTCAAGGTCAATGTCACCAATGTCAAGGTCACCAATGTTAAAAATAGATTTTTACATTTTTACAGGTGTATTAACCATATCCTATAGACAGATGTCATTTATAATTGATAGGAACATAAAATTTGATAGAGTTAGTGGTCAGTTGGGTCAAGGTCACCAGTGCTAAAAATAGATTTTTACACTTTAGCTCATACAGCCCTTTATTTAGTGACAGATATATTTCATATTTGGTAGGAAGATAACTTGCATGGTATTCATCCTTTTGATTCGGGTAGGGATCAGTTGGTCAAGGTCACTTGTGCTAAAAATAGATTTTTGCGCTTTTGCCCATACAGGCTTTATTTATTGACAGGTGTATTTCATATTTGATAGGAAGATAACTTGCATGGTATTCTTCCTTTTGATTGAGTTAGGGATCAGTGTCTCAAGGCCACTAGTGCTAAAAATATTGTTTTACAATCTTGCCCATACAGCCTTTATTTATTGACAGATATATTTCATATTTGGTAGGAAGATAACTTGCATGTTATTCTTACTTTGGATGGAGTTAGGGGTCAGTTGGGTCAAGGTCACAAGTGCTAAAAATAGATTTTTACACTTTTGCCCATACAGCCTTTATTTATTGACACATTTATTTCATATTTGGTTGGAAGATAACTTGCATTGTATTCTTCCATTGGATGGAGTTAGGGGTCAGTTTGGTCAAGGTCATCAATGTTCAAAATAGATTTTAACATTTTTGCCCATACAGCCTTTATTTATTGACAGGTGTATTTCATATTTGGTAGGAAGATAACTTGCATGATATTCTATAGGTGTCAGTGGGTCAAGGTCAAGGGTGCCAAGTATAGATTTCTTACATTTATATATATTTGATAAAGTTGAATATTTATCACTTCACAAGTCATAGCAATGACTTGGCAACTTATATATTTCACAATTACAAAATGCCATGACTCTGTCAAGCTATATAACTTGTGTTTACAATTTTTTTGGCAATGTTTCTGTCCATAACTGAGTGAATGGGTAAACATTTTTTGAAATATTGCTACTGACAAGAATCGAAGCCGGGGGGCATTTATTTTAACAAACACATTCTTGTTTAGTTTTGATCTTATTCAAAATGTTAAGTACTAAAAAATATCTTTCTGTATCAATCCAAATAGAAGTTAATTTTATGTGATTGCAATTTTTTACTACTGAATTTTTTAAAGCTTGACTTTTCAAGGATGTTGGGTTATCCAAAAAAAATCCTTTAGTTAATCTACATGTATATAATGTATGACACTTTGAGTATCCAATTTACAGTATTGTTTAATCTGTTTCAGCGGTCATTATGTTTGGAAGAATGTGTCGGAACATTCACGAGAACCAGATATAGAAGGGGTTGGCGATAAAGTAACGGTCAACAATGATTCTTTTTCATCATCGGATGAGGAGGATATAATATCAGCTGTTGAAAGTGGACAATTGGTAGAATATAAGGTTTGGTTAAAATAGTTTGACATCTCCATTGCAAAAAAATATTAATGAACTATTCTCATTATGAAATATTAAGTGCTAATGAATTTCCTTGGCTATTTATTAAATTAAGGGTCATTAAGTGCATTTTAAAAGCTAGACTTTTAAAAATGCAGTTATTCAAAATATATCAAGATGCTCAACAGGAAACATACAGTCAACTATCGTTATCTCAACATCGCTTTTCTCGATATTTTGTTATCTCGATGAAATTTTGAAAGTCCCGATTTTCTTCCTTCTTTATCTATATTGGAAATATTTGTTTATCTCGATATTTTTATTTCGATATTTTCAGTATCTCGATGTACAATTTCAGCCCCAACAGTTATTTTCACACTATTATCCTTTGTTTATCTCGACTAATAGTTTTCTTTCGTCTGTTCCCTTCAGACCTGTGAAAAACACAAACCAGACGATAATTGCACAATAGCGCGTGTCATAATGATGATTATGTTTGTAACATGTTTAGCTGTTATAAAAGTTAATCTATTAGCGTGTTGATTGACTTATGCCCAAAATGAGTGAAGTTTACGTTTTTTATAAATATCAATTCATTATGACTTTAAATGTAAATGAAATAGTGAAAGTATAGAAACGCTATCGTTGCAATATTGTTTCACAACATCACCACCAAATCAATCAGTGGTCGAACAACATCGAGAAAGACCGGAGGATATCCGGATCAACCACCCTGAAAACAATGATTTTTACTTTATATTGGTGTAATACTGAGTAAACCTCACTATGTGTTTTTATCATACAAACCAGTGTTTTCGCTGGTAAACATCCGCTAATGTTACTTTGTTAAATATTGACTAGGCCTATGAAAACAAGACATGGGGATATCATAGTTTATTTGACATAAGGTATGCACATGTCTTTTGTAAAAATCAGTTTCTGCCTTATTCAAACCCTAATATGTTTATCTGGACATTTCTTTATCTCGATATTTTTTGGACGGTCCCGATGACTTCGAGATAACGAGAGTCGACTGTATTTGAAGTGAATGGTATTGAATATTATTGATGTTTGTCTTGTATGTAAATTGTGTTTATCTATTTTGAAAATAGCTAGTGGTTTGTCCTTATATGTGAATCTTGTTTTTTAAGGATACCAATGTCATCAACAATAGATTGATGAACTTGTACAGAAATAGCCCCACCCATGTGTCTAACTCGGTAGCAGACGACAAAAAAAGGAAAGCCCCAGAATCATCTCATAATACCAATGTTAAGAAATCAAAGTCAGAATCGAAGGTATTGTATCCCAGTCCAAATGTAATGGAAAGAAATATTTCTTCAACAGGCCTTGTTGGTCCTAGGCGGTCTGCTAATGATAAATATTTCATAGACAGAAAGGGGGATAATGCAACAAGAGATAAATCAGATAGTAAAGAATCAAGGGAGGTAACTATACAGAAATTTCTCGGTGATTTGCCATCAAGAACATCATTCAGTGCATATGTGTCAGGTAAAGCTGACCCACGAATGAAGGGAGGTACTCTGTATAGAGTATTTTCTAGCAGGAAAGAGTCTGAGCATCAGGCTAGCCTATCTCACAGTGGAATAACCTCGGACAATGTGGGTGTTACCAACTCGGCACCAAAGTCACCCACAGCTAGTGATTTAGAGAAAGAATCTTATATTATAAAAGATCCAAGGATAAATAGAGATACTGATACTGCAGGTAATTCAGAAATGAGTGGGACAGAAACTCCTATTGTGTCACGAGGGTCTGGTAAAGAAAAGATCAGCAAATCACAGAAGACAAAGAAGGGAAAGAAGGTAGTAAAGAGGATTTTTTATGAATTTGTAAAATTGATGTAATCATACATGCATCATTCATATATTCTGTATAAATCTAATTTGTTTAGAAACTTTATACCAAATTGAAATGATTTTATGTCATTCAAATGTCCAGGTGCTTATACCTTTTATAATGCAAGGAAAGAAGGGTTACTTCAGTTTCTCTCCGGCAATAAGATGGATTTTGTTATATATGTTAAACACCTTTAGTTTGACTAACAACTCTCTTGAAATTGAATGGAAAAAATCAAATGACAGCCCTCTAAAAAATGAGATAAAATAACTTAATCACTTTAAATTTTATTGCAGTTCACTCAAAAATGTAAAAAATATGATACATGATACAAGTAATAAGTAGAATTTTTTTCTAGAAGTTCTGTAAGTTATCTTTAAGATAAGTTTTAACTATATTTATATATTTTGCAGAGTGGTACGAAGGTAAAGAGACAAGATGACAGTGACTCTGAATCCACTGGCAAAGATAAAGGTACGCTGTCTGGCTTCTCTGTTAATACTCAAATCATGCTGAATTTATGTAATGGATCAGCCTGACTTTGAATTTGGAACAGTCCATTCAAAGTTTAAGGGAATTCAATATAGAAATACAAAAACTGAGTTACTAACATAAGAGAGCCTGGGTAGATTACATAGATGTGCCCCCTGGTCTGGCTTTATACTGTAGGTAAAGGCTTATCATTTTCAGCAGGGTTAAAATAATCAGTGACTCTACATTGGTTCATAGAATGCTTATTTTACTTTGAGTAAAAATTAAAATGTTTGCTATTAGTTATGTGACATAGAATTCACTGGTCATGTTCTTTATGTTTATTCAAATTGAAAATTTGTTTTGTTTTCAAAAAACATTACAGAAGGAGAAATATTTGATTTTCAGGACTATCAGTTCAGAAGTCGAGTGTGACATTTGCTGATGTTGGTGGTAATGAGAAGAATTTAATTGTAAGTTTTGCTTTTTTTGTCATGATTATATTAATTATTTAAAGCTGCATACCTCCAGATAATTCAAGATATCAAGAAAATCAGACTTGAGAAAAATGTACTAAGATTTTAAGAAAAGTAACAAGATTCAAGTAATAATTTACATGTTGTGTGTCATGATTTTGCAGTAATTATCACCATATTTCTACTGTGTTACAAATGCAGTAAGAGCGACTTTTAAATATTTTAATCTCTTTTTAATATAAATTACATTGGACTGTAAGTGCCGTTTGCAATGTGTAAATTACTGTCTTTGTTCATTTCACAATATTTTACTTTTAAATATGTTTTCAAAATTTTCACGAAAATTTGCATGAGGCATGCTGCTTTAAGTCTGCACTTCATTAAATATAAAAGATTTAATGTCTTGCACTTCATTAAATATAAAAAAGTTACATAATGTCTTGTTTAGAAAAATATTGAATTTATTTTAAGCTTTTGAATGGTTTTAGAACAACATAACAAATAAGTTCTTAAGAAGTTAATGTATGAAGTTAATATCTGTTTTAATGAGAAGGTTTTAATTGATTACAACTGTTTTTCCTTGGTTTGTTTTATATGTAAACATATTAATATTATTGTTATATCATTTAATTTCAGGATATTTGTAAATTGTTAGTACACATGCGGCATCCAGAGGTCTACCAGCAACTTGGGGTGACCCCACCTAGAGGGTTTCTGCTTCATGGACCACCAGGGTGTGGTAAAACTCTTCTTGCAAATGCCATTGCTGGGGTAAGTTCTTACTGCAACAGTTTTAACATCATGAGTTATGCAAGAACGAGGTTTTGCTCCAAGTCGAGGTAACTTGACAGAGGTCAGTTTGAAAAATGGAGTCTTTTTGATAAATGCATTATTTGATAGATCTGAAGATGTGTTGCTCTATTGTAGCATCAGGGCAAAGGGATATATTCTAACTTCCTCAATTTTGAATTCTAGAAGTATCCTAAGAGTATAAATGAACACACAAATTATGACATAAAATACATGTACATTTTATAAATAATGATGAATATTTTCTTCAGGAACTGGATTTGGCATTAATCAAGCTGGCAGCTACAGAGATTGTGTCTGGGGTGTCTGGAAATTCTGAAGAGAAAATTAGAGATCTGTTTGATAAAGCTGCAGTAAGTTTGTTACATCAGCTTATGATTTAGTTTCATATTGTTTTCTCTATAAAAATAAATACAATAATTATGTAGTGAGGATACAGCTGATAAATTTTAAGTTAAATTTTTTATTTTAATGGTATATACTTATATATTTAAAATTTTGTGTAAGCATATTTAGATGTCAATAATATTGGCTCAAATTGATATATTATTTCATTTTACATAAGGAGAGTGCTCCATGTGTGGTATTTATAGATGAGATTGATGCCATTACACCAAAGAGAGAGACCGCCTCCAAAGATATGGAGCGGAGAATTGTAGCTCAGTTACTAGCCTGTATGGATGGTAAGGTTCTTTAATATATTATATAATAACAAGTGTTTGTTAAATCTTTACATAAAGTTGTTACAAATGAATATAATATATTTCTTATTTAACCAAAGAAAGGCAGGCTGTATGTGTGTGTATTAAATAAATTTTTGTTTGCTATATAACCATGTGGCTTTGGTCATTTGTGCCTGCAATTGTGAAAGTTTATATTATCTCTTTTCTGTATATTTAAGAACAGCTTTCTTCGTTACAGAGTTAAATGACAATCCTTTGTGCCATGTATTAGTGATAGGAGCTACAAACAGACCTGACTCTATAGATCCTGCATTACGTAGGGCTGGCAGGTTTGATCGGGAAATATGTTTAGGTATACCGGATGAGCAGTCAAGACTAAGGTAAATGTTGTTTTAATTTATTATAAAGTGCTTAATATTTAAGCTAGTTTGGATCAAAATAAGTCCCCATTCCTGTAACATCAAGTGCCATGTGACACTAATTTATATGACATAATTGTAACATCATGAAAATCTGATTCTAGGACATTTTCCCCCTCGTACAATGTCCTCCAGACAATTGTCCCCTTATTTTGCTGTGGCAGACATCTGCCCCTTCAGTTTGAAATGGAGCATGAATTTTGTCGACTTGTTCTAAAATCAGTTGCGGACAGTTGCAGTGTGATATGACTTATATCTCACTGATATGTTGTAGTAATACATCAAAAAGCATAAGATAAATAACTACATTATTTACATTTCAAAATATTAAATTTATGTAAAATTGTATCTTTTGATAATTTTGTTACCCATTGGTATGAATAAATGTGTTTCAGGATTCTGGAAGTACTTTGCAGAAACCTGCGACTGTCAGCAGAGTTTGATTTTAATTTCATGGCACATAATACACCGGGATATGTTGGTGCTGATTTGATGGCCCTTACCAGAGAGGCTGCCATGACCGCTGTTAACCGGTAAATATTGAAATCTTGTGTTGATTAGTTTCTACAGCTGAGTAGTAAAAACTGGCTGACTTGGAAACATTTTCCCCTCACTGCTGTAGATTGGAATCATGTCAAGAATTTTGGATTCTTTCATTTTAGGAAAGTATCCAGCAACGTTAAGGAGTGTTGGTTTTTCTACTGAGGTTAAGAAAAATGAAATATTTAATCTTTCTATTTGTGAAATTTATTTAGTTATTCAAATTCCATTAATATCCTAATTTGATATTTTGATTGAGTTAGTAATATAGACAATTTTCACATTAACATGTCTTAGTATGTTATTGAGCTGTACATTTTTGTCTGCCCTTCCAAAAAAATTCTGATTGAATGTATTAAAATTTTCACTTGCATTTTGTAAGTATGCAAATTCTTTAAGACAAATTAAGTCAAACTTAAAAAAATATTTTATCAGAGATGACATTATGCATTATTTGTTAGAGATGACACAAATGTTATGAGATGGAATTTTAAAGTAAAGACGTATCTAAGAGTTTATTATGTTTTCCAGGGTATTCCAAGACTTACAGTGTGATGTGGATAACAGAAATAATGATAACACAGTCATTCCTCAAGATTCTGATTCGTCCACCTATGTCAAGCAGGACACTTATACTGTTGTAACTGAACCTGGTACCAGCACTGATCTGACTCCAAGCTCTTATTCTTCACAGCCTGGAACCAGTTTAGATAATAATGTCTCAATTTCTAGCTCAGTTATTGAACAAACTGTTGCTAATGTTCATTTGACCTTACCTAATGTGATTTTAGAGCAGACTGGTTCTAGTGGAGAAAAGCCAGGCTCAGCTAACTCTGAAAGTGAAAATGTTACACAAATGGCATCTATACCAGATATAAACATTAGTGGAGGAAATTGTAATGGAATTACTGAGGAAAATGGCGATGATGAAAGTGTGAATGAAGAGACTAGGGACTTGAATAGGTTAAAAGATGATTCAAGAACTATAGGTGATAATGCTGGTGTTGATAGTGAAATTATTATAGTGTCTAATAGCTTAAACAATAATAAAGCAGATAAGGCTCTGTTAAGTGATATTAATGTTACCATGGCAACTAGTGAAAGTAAAATGGAAGTAGATAATGAACAAGCAGAAGATGTGGGAAAAATTGGTGAAACCAAAATGGAAAGTGCTAGAAATAAAGCTGTTGTAAAATCAACTGTTAGTAATGAGTATACATTGGGTAAGTTTATAGATCATGTATGATGTTTTCTAGAGAACATAAGTTATCTCTGACATTTCAAAGTACCGTTCATTTAATTTCTGTATCTTTTTTCTCATTTTACTTATATTGTTTATTATTGTGTCTGTACTGTTAAAGAGGCATGACTAGCACTAAAGATTCTGTCCTGGGAAATTTAAATGTTGACCAAATTTCATGCCTTTAAAATGAGTTATTGTGAGTAATTTTGTCAATTTTCAGTTCTGTCATGGTTGAAGGAACACCCTCCTTTAACAGAAGAACAGCTCACTGGGTTATTTATTACTATGGATGACTTTAAGGTAAAGCTTATCTGGATTTTTAATTTATTGAATTTTTAGAAATTCTATTTGTTACTTATTTTTAAAAGTCAGTTTTTATAATGGAATTAGTTGTTTCTTTATTCATTGATATTATTGCATGATATTTTGCACTTATGATTTTATGATTTTGTCAGTACCAATTTTTATATGTAAAAATAATGAAAATATAATTTTGAATAACATAGGTACTGTTGTTAAAAAATCAATAATCATTTGTTTATTAATACAGGAAGCTTTGAGATATGTTCAGCCATCAGCAAAGCGTGAAGGTTTTGCAACAATACCAGATGTTACATGGGATGATATAGGGGCACTGCATGAAGTCAGGGAGGAACTTACACTGGCTATATTGGTGATTATTGTTTTACAGTTTCCATTTAAAAAATCTGATGCAATAATTTTCTTTACTTCATTATACATTTTTTAGCTCACCTGAGCACGAAGTGCTCAAAGGTGAGCTTTTGTCATCGCTCTGCGTCCGTCGTGCGTCGTGCGTCCTTCAAAAAATGGCGTCAAACTTTTCAAACAACATCTCCTCCTTAACTACATGGCCAATTGCAACCAAACTTTACAGAAATGATCCTTAGGTGGACCCCTTTCAAAGTTGTTCAAAAATTTAAATTACATTAAAAACTCTGGTTGCCATGGCAACCAATAAGAAAAACTTAAAAAATCTTCTTCTAAAAAACCGTAAGAGCTAGAGCTTAGATATTTGGCATGAAACATCTTCTAATGAGTGCCTACCAAGTTTGTTCAAATCAAAGCCCTAGGGTCAAAATTGGCCCCGCCCCAGGGGGTCATTGATTTTCCCTATATGCATATAGTAAAAACTTAAAAAATCTTCTTTTAAAGAACTCAAAGAGCTAGAGCTAAGATATTTAGCATGAAACATGTTCTAATGGGTGTCTACCAAGTTTGTTCAAATAAAAGCCCTGGGGTCAAAATTGGCTCCGCCCCGGGGGTCATTGATTTTCCTTATATGTGTATAGCAAAAACTTTAAAAATCTTCTTTAAAAAAACCCAAATAGCTGGAGTTTAGCTATTAAGCATGAAACATCTTCTAGTGAGTGTCTACAAAGTTTGTTCAAATCAAAGCCCTAGGGTCAAAATTGGCCCCGCCTCGGGGGTCATTGATTTTCCTTATATGACTGTGTATAGCAAAAACTTAAAAATCTTCTTTGAAAAAAACCCAGATAGCTAGTGTTTAGATATAAAGCATGAAACATCTTCTAGTGAGTGTCTACCAAGTTTGTTCAAATAAAAGCCCTAGGGTCAAAATTGGCCCCGCCCCAGGGTGTCTTTGATTTTCCCTATATGCATATAGTTAAAACTTAAAAAATCTTCTTTTAAAGAACCCAAAGAGCTAGAGCTAAGATATTTAGCATGAAACATCTTCTAATGAGTGTCTACAAAGTTTGTTCAAATAAAAGCCCTAGGGTCAAAATTGGCCCCGCCCCCAGGGGTCATTGATTTTCCCTATGTGCATATAGTAAAAACTTAAAAAATCTTCTTTTAAAGAACTCATAGAGCTAGAGCTAAGATATTTAGCATGAAACATGTTCTCATGGGTGTCTACCAAGTTTGTTCAAATAAAAGCCCTGGGGTCAAAATTGTCCCCGCCCCGGGGTCATTCATTAGCTTGACTTTTTTTTTTTAGATATATACATATTATATATATACACATATATATATATATATATATATATATATATATATATATATATATATATATATATATATATATATATATATATATATATATAAAAATGTATATATATATATATACATATATATACATATATATATACATATTATGTATATATATATATATATATATATATATATATATATGATATATGTATGTGTATATATATATATATATATATATATATGTATGTATATTTATATATATGTATGTATGTATATATATATATATATATATATATATATATATATATATATATATATATATATATATATATACATGCATACATATACAACCAAGTTTGTTCAAATAAAAGCCCTGGGGTTTAAACTGGCCCCGCTCCAGGGGCCTATATACAGGTGAGCGACTTTGGGCCATCATGGCCCTCTTGTTTGAAAAAAAATGAAATTAAGCCCATTTTGGAAGGGTGAGTAGGAATTTTAACGATATTGTTTGAATTCTTTAATGAATGGTTTAAGGTATTTAAGTGTTGGGTGGTTAAGGTTACTGACTTCAAACCAACTGTGAGTTCAAAACTCGCTATGGGCTTTGGATATTATTTAATGCTGTTTTTGGTTCAACTTGTGGCTAGAATATTGTACTATAAGGCCTTAGTTCAGGTCATGTTTTGATGTAATAGATTAAGTTATTTTTCAGGCTCCTGTACGTCACCCAGAACATTTCAAGAGTTTAGGATTGACTAGAGCACAGGGTATATTGCTAGCTGGACCACCAGGTTGTGGTAAAACACTTCTTGCTAAGGTAGCTATGCTTCAAATTTACTTTTACTACCATGTTGCAAAGATTGAGTACATTACATCGATTTTATTGTAAAGGTTGAAAATCACCATATGAATTTAACACGTTCTTTGAATTATGGAACCTTCTCATTTTAGCTCACCTGTCACAAAGTGACAGGGTAAGCTTTTGTGATCGCTTTTCGTCCGGCGTCCGTCCGGCGTCCGTCTGTAAACTTTTGCTTTAAATGACATCTCCTCATAAACCACTGAGCCAATTTCATCCAAACTTCACAGGAATGTTCCTTTGGTGGTCACCTTTAAAAATTGAAGAACTCTGGTTGCCATGTCAACCGAAAGAAAAATCTTTAAATATCTTCTTTTAAACAACCCTTAGAGCTAGAGCTTAGATATTTGGCATGAAACATCTTCTAGTGAGTGTCTACCAAGTTTGTTCAAATAAAAGCCCTGGGGTCAAAATTGGCCCCGCCCCAGGGGGTCATTGATTTTCCCTATATGCATATAGTAAAAACTTAAAAAATCTTCTTTTAAAGAACCCAAAGAGCTAGAGCTAAGATATTTGGCATGGAACATCTTCTAGTGAGTGTCTACCAAGTTTGTTCAAATAAAAGCCCTGGGGTCAAAATTGGCCCCGCCCCGGGGGGTCATAGATTTTCCCTATATGCATATAGTAAAAACTTAAAAAAATCTTCTTTTAAAGAACTGTAAGAGCTAGAGCCTAGATATTAAGCATGAAACATCTTCTAGTGAATGTCTACCAAGTTTGTTCAAATAAAAGCCCTGGGGTCAAAATTGGCCCCACCCCAGGGGGTCATTGATTTTCCCTATATGCATATAGTAAAAACTTAAAAAAATCTTCTTTTAAAGAACCATAAGAGCTAGAGCTTAGATATTTGGCATGAAACATCTTCTAGTGAATGTCTACCAAGTTTGTTCAAATAAAAGCCCTGGGGTCAAAATTGACCCCGCCCCAGGGGGTCATAGATTTTTCCTATATGCATATAGTAAAAACTTAAAAAATCTTCTTTTAAAGAACCCAAAGAGCTAGAGCTAAGATATTTAGCATGAAACATCTTCTAATGAGTGTCTTCCAAGTTTGTTCAAATAAAAGCCCTGGGGTCAAAATTGGCCCCGCCCCAGGGGGTCATTGATTTTCCCTATATGCATATAGTAAAAACTTAAAAAATCTTCTTTTAAAGAACTCAAAGAGCTAGAGCTAAGATATTTAGCATGAAACATGTTCTAATGGGTGTCTACCAAGTATGTTCAAATAAAAGCCCTGGGTTCAAAACTGGCCCCGCCCGGGGGAGGGGTCATTGATTTTCCTTATATGTGTATAGCAAAAACTTAAAAATCTTCTTTGAAAAAACTCAAATAGCTAGAGTTTAGATATTAAGCATGAAACAGCTTTAAGTAAATATCTACAAAATTTGTTCAAATAAAAGCCCGGGGGTCAAAACTGGCCCTGCCCCAGGGGGTGTCATTGTTTTTAACTATATGTGTATAGTAAAAACTTTAAAAATCTTCTTTTAAAAAACCCAATGAGCTAGAACTTAGATGTTTAGCATGAAACATCTTCTTATGGGTGTCTACCAAGTCTGTTCAAATAAACAAATAAAAGCCCTTGGGTAAAAATTGGCCCGGGGGGTGGGGGGGGGCCTATATACAGGTGAGCGACCTCAGGGCCATCATGGCCCTTTTGTTTATATGTCAAATTGAATGTGCGATGATCAACACTGATGTGAACACATCTTAAGAAGTTTACACAATTTTCATGTTTAATTGTTGCCTGAAAACATTGGTGGTAGCTTGAATTTACCTTTGCCATCCATAGGCCTGAACCTGCAACATTGTCAATTTTGCTGCAGTAGTCAGACTTTAGTGTTCCCAATGTTCACTATTTTAAACAGTGTAGGTGGAATTAAAAACTTATTTAGTAAAGACTACATCTACATATGAACTTCCAATTTATATATTAACAAATAAAACAGAAAAAGTGCTCATTTAAAAAAAATTAGACAAGGCTGCTAGGTAGTTATGCTGTTTGATTTTTTTTTGTGTGTAATAATTTTAGGCTGTAGCTAATGAATCTGGAATCAACTTTATATCTGTGAAGGGACCAGAACTTCTAAACATGGTGAGTATGTTTTAGTTGTCTACTGTAAACTTAGAGCACATACAATATCATGTAATCACTGTAAACTTAGAGCACATACAATATCATGTAATCATTAACATAACATGCTCTCCACAAACTGAGACAAAACTGATTAATGCTGAGCCCGGCCAGTCCAACCAATGTAGCTTCAAGTCTGGTTTTACTCACCTTACCATCAAACCTGCCTGTAAGGTACATCTTCTGATTTAATAAGTACAGGACAATAGCTCTTTCTTTTTAAATGTGAGCGTACTGTTTTAATTCAGTCATGAAGAAGCAAAAACTTCTGATTCCAAAAAATTGTTTAAAGTTTATCTCTGTCCAAGAGCATGAAGCATTTGAAAACAAACATTACTTTTTCTTATATTAAGAATGTTAATATATGTTTCAGTATGTAGGTGAGAGTGAGAGAGCAGTGCGTACAGTATTTCAAAGAGCACGTAATTCCTCGCCATGTGTCATTTTCTTTGATGAACTGGATGCTTTGTGCCCAAGAAGATCCGGCCATTCTGAAGTAAGTATATATATTGATGTATATATTTAGTACATGTATGTTATACAGTTGATAAATTTTAATTTTCATATTTTGATAATGAAATCCCTGAAACTTTAAATTAAGCATGTAAGGGTGAATTTGTGTTGTATAAGTTCTGTGAACTTGTTGAATTCAGTTTCATCAATATGTAATATTTGTTATTATACCCCCACCACAAAATGTGGGGGGGGGCTATAATGGATTCGCTTTGTCGCGTCGGTCGGTCGGTCCGTCCGTCTCCATTTTCGTGTCCGCTCTATAACTCCTATACCACTTGAAGGATTTTCTTCAAACTTGGCTCAAATGTTCACCTCAGCAAGGGGATGTGCAGAACCCATGTTGCCCATGTGTCAGCTCAAGGTCAAGGTCACAATTGAAGGTCAAATATCAAACACAATCATATATTAGACAGTATGTCGTGTCCGCTCTGTAGGTCCTACAATAATTGAAAGATTTTCTTCAAACTTGGCTCAAATGTTCACCTCAACAAGGGGATGTGCAGAACTCATGTTGCCCATGTGTCATTTTAAGGTCAAGGTCACAATTGAAGGTCAAATATCAAACAATCAAATTTTACACAATATGTCGTGGCCGCTCTTTAAGTCCTACACTAATTGAAAGATTTTCTTCAAACTTGGCTCAAATGTTCATTTCAACAATGGGATGTGCAGAACCCATGTTGCCCATGTGTCAGCTCAAGGTCAAGGTCACAATTGAAGGTCAAATATCAAACAATCAAATATTACACAGTATGTCGTGTCCGCTCTGTAAGTCCTACACTTATTGAAAGATTTTCTTCAAACTTGGCTCAAATGTTCACCTCAACAAGGTTATGTGCAGAACCCATGTCACTCTTTTGCCGGCTTAAGGTCAAGGTCACACTTGAAGGTCAAAAATTGACTTAGAAAATGTTCTTTAATTTTAACATATATCTGAATATTTCTGAATCTAGGAAAGGTATTTGCTTGAAACTTAAAATATAAACGAAGTGTCACAATTAAGATATGCTGGTCAAGTTTCATAACTCTGTATTGCATTTTAACAAAGTTATGCCCCTTTTTAATCTTCAAATATACATACAATCACATATTAGACAATATGTTGTGTCCGCTCTATAAATCCTATACTAATGGAAGAATTTTCTTCAAACTTTTCTCAAATGTTCACTTAAACAAGGTTATGTGCAGAATCCATGTCACCTTTGTGCAGGCTAAAGGTCAAGGTCAGACTTGAAGGTCAAAAATTGACTTAGAAAATGTTCTTAGATTAAAACATGTTCTTGAATATTTCGGAAACTAGCATAGGTATTTGCTTGAAACTTAAAAGATATATGAGGTGTCACAATTACGATATGCAGGTCAAGTTTCATAACTCTGTATTGGATTTTGACAAAGTTATGCCCCTTTTTAAGTCTTTAAATTTACATACAATCAATACTAGACAATATGTTGTGTCCGCTCTATAAATTCTATACTAATGGAAGGATTTTCTTCAAACTTTACTCAAATGTTCACTCCAATTGGGCGATGTGCAGAACCCATCTTACCCTTGTGCCAGCTGAAGGTCAAGGCCACACTTGAAGGTCAAAAATTGACTTATAAAAAGTTTAGTATATTGGGAAAATGAAAGGTTATTTGTAACTGTTTCGAACATGATTTGATAATAGATATTTTTACTATTACCTGTACAATTATGTCTTTTTTTCACCAGAGATAATTTCTTTTTATGTATTTGTGTCACTTAAGTTATTCCCTTAACCACCTTTCCAAGTTGTCTTCTGTCAAGGACATTGGTGGGGGTATGAATCGCATTCAGCGATAGTTCTAGTTTATTTACTAGGGTAACTCAAGTGCTAGAGTTGTAAATCAGTTACTGACAGAGATGGATGGTCTAGAGGAAAGGAAACAAGTATTTATAATGGCTGCCACTAACAGACCAGGTAATATCTTCAAATTAACATTATGATTTTAAACAAATACTAGTAAGCTATGTGATATAAAATTTCAGGGAAGCTAGACTCTCTGCAGAATGCTAATTATATGTCTGTAGATATATAAGAATGTTGGAAAGATGTGTTGAATACAGAGTTTGTAGTAGATATATTCAATATAATGTCGTTGAAGCAGCTATAACAAAGTAGTGAAAATAATAAAATAGTTAGAAATTTTCTGAACATCCCTTGTGTCATTTCTTCTGAGTGATGTTTTTATCTCTATATTTATATATTGTCACATAGGATAAATCAACCTACTGATTTACAGTTGTTTAACAGCTAGAGAATTATTTTTTATATCTTTCTTATTGGGTAGTTTATATTTAATTGTCTAGATTTAATAGTGATTGGCTAAGTGTTAAAGCATATATTGAACTTTATAATGTCAAAAAAAATGTTCCTTTGTATTAACACCAATACTCTGATTACTTCCGGCAATAATACTCTGAAAGTGATACAGATGAGTTGTATAAACTTGTTACATAATGAATCTAATCAGATTACATGTTTAAGTCATGTATTGATAGCCTTGTTAGTCATAAATTGCTTTAAATGGCACTGTAATAAGTAATCTAACTTTATGTTGTTTGTGACTTGTAGATATAATTGACCCAGCTGTTTTGAGACCAGGAAGGCTCGACAAGACCCTGTATGTTGGACTTCCTACAGCTTCAGATAGGCTAGATATACTGAAGTGTATCACAAAGGTCTGTTAATATATAATACGAGGGTTGTCCCAAAATGTCGTAGACTACATTATTTTCTCTTCAACCTGACGTCATAACTTTTTAAAATTTACCAGATATCTTCCTTGGTCATTTGTTAATTTACCTACTGAAAGTCAATAGCCAATATATTAGGTAACGCTTTTTATTAGGGTTTTATATTTAACAGTACAACATACCCGGAGCACGATAAAATATTAGTCAGTGTTGAGAGCATGCTTCTTAAAATAATGCCTTTAACTTCCAGCATAATAATAATTATGGGAAATACATTCATGTGGAATTACCTCATTCATTTTTACGTCATATCACCAACAGACGTTTATGTAACGTTAATTTGAAAAAGTCTGTAGCAAAATACGTAACAGCAATGCTATTTTGAAAACGCCCAAAATGGCGACGTCAGATGAAAATGCGGCGCAACGCAATGTCACTGAATACTATGTTAAGTTGAAGAAGCGTCCAGCGTTAATTGACAACATGGAGAACATTATATTTTATCAAGATAATGCACCTTGCGATAGATCTAAGGAGACACAGATTGAACTTGATGTGATAGGTTTTCAGAGACTTCCGTACGCCCTAAGACTTTGCAGTGTTTCTTTATTTGAAATCACAATTACGAGGTCACATGTTCGAAAATTTCAGCGAACTCCGCCAGGAAACTCAACTCTGCGAGTGTTGAGTACATTGAAGCAGGACTGTTTTGAAAACGTTTATGATAAAATTGGGTTACCCCACACTGTCAGTGCATCGCGAAACACGGTGAATACTTTGAAAATTTTTAAAAAAAATGTTATTACGTCATGACGTTTATGACGGCGTGCGCCGGGTATGTATAGGTAGCATTCTTTAAATTTAGATAACTTGGTCAATTTTGGAGGTATTTTGATTTTATTTTGCATAGTCACACATAAAAGGTGTATTGACTTTTCCCTAGCTGGAGGACTCAATTGTATTATAATTGATTGAGTAACAGGCTTTGTCTACGATATTTTGGGACAACCCTCGTATAGTGCCAATGTTTAACACAACTTTCTATATACATGAATTTGTTTATTTTGTAACAGTAAAAAAATTTAAAAGGGAAAGTTTAAAGAGACTACTGAGGTTTTTCACATGACAAGACTGAAAATATTTTTCCGAGAATTGTGTACCATTTGGTGAAGGTCTGAACTTGTGTGCAAAATTTCAGATCATTCCCGCATCCAGTTTTTGCACAAATCTTCATTTTCAATGTGCAAAATGACCCAAAATGAAAAATTGGGCTCAGAATTGCACAAAAAAAAGATTTTTAGTTTAATTCTGAGCATATTATTTAATTATTTATTCAAGACAGATTTTTCCATTTTAAGTGCTTCACTTTACTTCATGTCTGTCAGAATTGAATTTCAAATTTTATTTTTATAGGCTTTTTGACCTCGGTTGATTTCCTTATATTTTGCACAAGAATGTGCTATTTACAACAACTGTTTTATGATAAAAAGACTTAAATTTCATCTGTAAATTGATATCTGTCATGAAATATCATTTTTCTAACTCTACCAATAAACAAATGTTGGTTGTTTGTATTTCTGTCTAGACCTATTTCATCAGACTGGTTTGTTAGATTGTAATAAATGTATTAATTATGATGTACTGTATATCAAATGGCATCTGAATCCATTTGTTATTTATACAGTAATAACAGTGGAATTCAAAATTACTGTTGCATTGAAGATGCTGGCTATTTTATATTAATTAATTTTTAAAATTTCAGAATAGCACAAAACCATGTTTATCAGATGATGTAAATTTAACCAGTATTGCCGAGGATATAAGATGTGATTGTTACACGTAAGAAGTGGTTTCCCAATTTTTATATGTTAAAAGAATGTCAGATATCTAATTAAGTACACAGGAAGTGACCTTAGGTTAATGACTTGGAAATGCTAAAGTCACTAATTGTCTATTTGGAAGTTTTTATTAGGAAGATAATAAGGTATTTTAATGTTAGGTCTACTGTAGAGATTCATTCTTTAGTCTTAAATAATGTATGTAGGAGCTCCTCTGATATTCAAGGGACACTAAATGTCTTCCTGTACCATTAAAGTTACAAAGTTCACATAATTATAACCTTTAAAAGAGTCAGTGTGACTTAAAACCAACAAAAGAATATATTATTTGGGAACTTTTGTTACACATTTGTATGCCATGTTGTAAATGTTTTACTATTAAAGTAAATAATTTTACATTTTTTGTTAATTTGTATTTTTCACAGTGGAGCAGATTTAGCAGCTCTTGTAAGGGAGGCTTCAATTTCAGCACTAAAAGAAGCCATTTTAGACAAGGAGAGACAACCTAATGATGTTATTGTAGTTAATAGAGGGCACTTTGATTGTGCTTTCATGAAAGTCAAACCATCAGTTACATTAAAGGTAATAAATCTTTGTACAAAAAATAGCATTTTGTTGCTGAATTTGTGGAAATGCCTTTTAACAAAACACAAAAATAAAATAAATTAAATAAATAAAAAAGTTACCCTTACAAATAATAGTTATCATTTTAGCAGTATGAAGGTCAAGGTTAGCTTTATATAAGGAACATAATGTCTATAAACATTGGATTTGCCATGTCAGTCCTGAGCTTGAACTATAATACATGTTTTCTCTTTGAAGACAGTTTGTTATACCTTTAAACTGTTGTATTTGTGGCATGGATTTTCAAGTTTTGAATTTGAATCAGTTTGGAACAGTTCAATCCAACTTAAAGGGATATAAAAATTGAGTAACCAACTGTATAGTGCCTGGTCATACTGTACTAGTGTACAGGCGAGCTTGGCTCTGTACTGGTGATATTAAAGGCTTGTCATTTTCAGTTCCAGCAGGCAATAGTGTACATTTAATTTTGAAGAAAATGAAATATAGAACAGTTCAGCGAACACTCATATATTTTCTTATGTACTATAGAAATAACTTAGATCTATTGTATTTTTATGTTTAACTTCAGGATCAAGAGAAGTATGACTCTATGAGGAATAAACTTGCTATAGGAAGTTGAAGGCATCAAGCTTGCAAACATAATGAATTTGGCTTGAAATATAAACTCTAACAAGTTTAGTGTGACAGAATACCAACTGTGATAATTGTGATAACCACCAACAACTGTAAATGTGCATTAATGATCATTATGTAGTTTGTTTCAAACCAAGAGAGAGGCAAACAAAGACTTTCGTTGACAAGAGACTGTATCATTTACTATATTGTGTATACAAAAGTGAAGTTCTTTATACCATCCCACATTGTCACTGGTCACTTACAGATACTGCTTTTAAAGGGGATTGATCTACAATAGGAACTTTTTCCATAAGTATTTCAAATATTGATAGAAATATATCATTGGATCTTCTTATAAAATAATTCTCTAAAATATACATGTTGATAAAGTTCTGAGTGATTAAGTATGAACATTTTTTCATGTTTGGTTCTAAATACTATCAATATAATTATTTATGATATTACACATCTTAGTTAATGGATAATTTACTTAAAACATGGAATATTCTTACACAGTTTCTAGGCAAGAGTATATAACTCATATTTTTGTTATAGTTATGCCCCTATTTTGACTGACAACTATTCAGAAATATTATATTATACTGCTATAATGTACAGAGAATAGTCAAATAGATCAATAAATTGACTTTAAAATACTTTAGATAGATAGCAACTATACAGCTCAAGATCTGTAACTGTAGCGGGACCTTTTTTTTTAAAACTATCTCTTCATTTTTTTGTAGAGTATAGGTCAGTTAAAATATGAGAGATTAACTTGTTAATAGGAAGTAAATAGGAGAAGTGCAGTGTCAAAGAATTTTAACTGTACTTCTAAAAAAAAATGTCCAAGGCATTGACTTGAAACTAAATGTATGTAAATATATAGTTAAGAGGGAAGGTACATTGTCTAATAATAGTCTACAAGGGAATTACTTGAAACTCATAATAAAGACATCTTGATTATTTTTTAGAAACCACATCATGTTTTTTGTAAAATGCCAACTTAGATACTCTAATTCAAGACTTGAAAGATTTTAAAACAAAAACAAACTTTCAGCAAACTAGCTTGTACAATTATTGACCAATCATTGTTTAATTTATTATTTTATGAAACAATATAAGATATCAGGAGATGTTTTGTTGTTTGTTGCTTCAGAGAGTTGAGCCCCTTGGATGATGGTATAGAGTATTTTTAAATCCTGTTAGTGAAGAAAAAAATGTTGTTTTTACAAAGTGGCTATAGCTTTGTTATTTATAAAAGAATTGTCCACATACATGAACACAGCAGTCCATGGGGATACACCTTCAAGTTGATGAGACTAACATTGATCTTCATTCATAAATGACCTTTACTTGCCAGGTCCAGTTATTGATTTTTTTTGTAACTGACTACAACTTTATTATTATACCTTCCAAATCGATCTCAGGAACCGGCAGATAAATTCACTTGAACTTGAAATACCTATGCAATATCACAATGCACTATATGTTTTAAGTTTGATTACTCTAATAGGTAGTTTGACATAATTTAGTCCTTTATTCAAATTGGCTTCAAAAGACTAATTTTTCTTTTCATTAATTATCTCCCCATCTTTTTCAACGAAAAAAAAGGTTAGCAGATGATTATACTCTTTTTAGCAAGGCAGTTAATTGTAATTATTATTGGTACACATTTGAATTATCATACAATATAGGCCCAGTTCAAATTTGACTTCAAACCACGTAATTTTCAAATAGTTAGGGTGGGGGTATACATTATCTTCAGTGATGGTTCATATTTTAAATATCTTTAAGAAACGCAATTTCTTAAAATTCATCACATTAATCCGGAACTGCCAGTAAAACCACACTGTCTGACTGTAACACCAATCATCTACTAGAATGGGAGCATGATGTAAGTATATTCTGTTGTTTTGAGCTTTACTGTCGTTACGATGAAACGGCCTTTTGTCGGGCTTTATTTTAGCTTTTTTTAAGGATTCTTTTCTGAAATATGACAATATGTTGAAATCTAATTAGGTAGTAAACATATACTTGCCTGTCATAATAGCATAACAGCAAACTTCTTAGCCTTCTGAATGACCTGCGACATAAAATGACGTCCGACATGATCTTTAGTCAATGTCAAATACAAAGTTCAGAAAATATTTCAGGACATGTAAGCTTTATGATATGATCGGGTTATTTGTGTCTTAGTTAAGGAATCAAAACTTAATGCGATGTCTAGCAATCAACTTGGCGATAATAATCATCAAACAGAAAGAAAGTTACACACCCTAATTGTCTGCCCTTACATGACAATGCCTTTATTCCCTGAATATTTTCCTATATATCGACTTTTCTTTTTATTACTCTCCTGGCATTTTGTAACAGACATTTGTATTTGACATGTTACCATGATCCTGTCCAATGTAGAGGCAAGTTATCACGAATCTGTCCGCGACATTTGATTGGCTGGCCTACAAAATGTACGAGATTTGTCAATATGGATTGTTCGTTGAAAACAGAATGCGAATTGTCGACAATAATCGTCAAAATTTTGACGTGTGCCGGTTTGCACAATTTTTGATTTTTTAAATAAAAAATTAAAACGTTTTTTTTTTCTGTTAAATTTTCCGTGTTAGATATTTCGAGTGAATAAACTATACTAATTCTTACGCAAAAATGCAAATACATGTAGTTACATTTTTAAATCGAGCTTTAGATATTTCAGTCGTAACATGAAATTTCCGATAATCTTTGGTGTAATATTAATTGTTTTCAAGATTTATGTCAGTTTATTCGAGACCAGACACTGTTGTATGTATAAATAATTGATACAAATATTTGAGCCGCGCCATGACAAAACCAACATAATGGGTTTGCGACCAGCATGGATCCAGACCAGCCTGCGCATCCGGCAGTCTGATCAGGATCCATGCTGTTCGCTATCAGTTTCTCTACTTGTTATATAGGGTTTGTAAGCGAACCGCATGGATCCTGATCAGTCTGCGCGGACGCGCAGGCTGGTCTGGATCCATGCTGGTCGCAAACCCATTATGTTGGTTTTGTCATGGCGCGGCTCATTTGTTATTTATTTAAGTTAATCCTTACGGAGTAGCAATCGATCTATTAGTTACGTATGTAGCGGAGTGCTTGCATGGTCATACACATGAATGCATACTTTTACAGAATGTTATTTTAGTGTTTTACATGTTAAAATATTCATTGTAGAAGCTTTCACAAAAATAGGTTTTCATGCATTATTTAAAATGTGTTTGTAAAGCAACAGATGTAGTTTTAACTTATAAAAAAATCTAGAATTCTGATTTCTAGCATGAGTCCGAGAGATGTGTCAATATATCTTAGCCACGTGACGAACTTTAAAATACAACAAGGGCAAATTCTTCTTATACGAAGTGATTAAATATTTTGACAAAAAAGTCGACCAAATAACAGGAGTTGTCACGACCTGGTAACCTAGTAAAATTGAAATCAAGACCCCATGTTATACCAGTCTATTAACCAAAAACAATAAGATTGTTCGTTATTGGAGGGTTATAGTATATTGATTTCATGGTTTGTCTCAAGATTGCTTATTATTGAATAAGTTACTCTGTGACTAGTTAAACTAGTGCCTAATTACGCTGCACTGTACATATGTAATTAGTAATCTGATATATATATTCGTCGTAATGTGTGTATTTCTAAAAGAAGTACGGAAATTAACCCCCTTTGCCCAATTGTATAATTATATTGTTTTCATGCAATTGCATTTTTGAAATTATCGTTGTAGTCTATTGTTTCTGACGACAAACTTAAAGGCCCATTATGCCTCAGAAATGCTACCAATTTTATTTCTCAAAACCTCTTTATGTTTGGTATCTTGTTATAGATTCTACACTTAAAAAATCCTATTAGCTATTTCTCTGTTGGCAAGTGGTTTAATTATAGTAAGTATTTTGTATGGAAGTCAAAATACTACTTTGTTTACATTTTGCTACATTTACAACACATTACTACATGTTCAAGGCTAACATGCTTTAAATCTATTATCTAAACATTATTAAACACATGTTTGACATTTCTAAAGAATTGAAAGGTATGATTTTTTGAGACATAATGCATGTGCTTTTAATGTGAAACCATTCAGGATATACTAACTGTTATTTTAGCCAATATTTTCCTTTGAATGTCGTGGCAGCTCTTAAGAGTGTGTGAATGGTAACTTTATTAATAATCTCTTGAGCAGACGACAATTAAATCATTGAATGGCAGATTTCCGAATAGTTATTATCCATGTATTACTATTATTTATTCTGGTGCTATACATGTATTTATAGCGTTCTGTAATTTAGCTCATCCAGAACAAAGTGTGAGCGGTAAAACTGAGTAGGTCATAAATCTAATGTTCTAATGTGCCACTTGGCCAATATTAATGAATTCATGGCATAAAACACGTTTATGTGCTTGTTCAAAAAATTAAGCATCATGCAGAACTGCATGATAATCTCCTGAAAGACAGGTAGGTACATGTATATAGTTCAGATATAATATGCTGTAACATTTCCTTCCGAGCCTCTCTCACTTGTACTTAGCGTGTTCAACTTAAGACTGAGGGGACTAAGGATTCTTCTTTGCAAATATCTTCTTTCCTGACTAGTCTTAGAGCTTAACAATTTATCATGTCATTCACTGTAAAACCTGTTTATCATGACACTGAGGTCTTTCCTCCAAGGTGTCATAATTGATTCCTTCCAGGGTGCCATATGTTTGGAAGAAAAATGCACTGTCATTTTACAATAGCTTATAAACTGATAAAGGTGAAACTATGAAACCATGTAATTTCATACAGACCTAACAAAGGAGAAATAATCTCCTGTTTGTAAAACATCAAACAACAACCCCACAAAAGCCCCTGAGACACATTACAGCATGTACATGTAGACATTAATGCGTGTAGCATGGCTTTGTGGGTCATTCTTTTCACGGCATGACTTTTTGGGTGAAAATGGACTATGCCATTGACATGTAGGTATAGTTGTAAACTTTAACCAGGTGAACCATAAAGAATCGTTACAGTCCTCTTGTTGCAATTATTTCTACTTTTTTTCCATCTTAAGAGTGAATGCATTTTCAATGTTTTTGTTAGGAAAGACGACAAGAATGAGTGTAAGTAATTGACTATTATTTAAAATACAAATATTGAGCGTCCCTGACTTAATAATGACAAGATTTTTTCAAAATAATTCTTTTATTGCATACAAAACTGTTTAAACTTTAACAACAATATCACTAAAATGTTTAATATGATAAACAGTTTTGATTGTACATTTTGTTAAAGAATGTATTGTATAAAACATACTAAATTTATATCTCAAAACGATCGAAAATACATGATGTGGTTACATATAAGTATTTACATACCATGGTCATATATCTTGACAGATTTCACTTGATCTTAAAACTGTTTGAATTCGACAGTTGAACATCTTTGCATTTATTTAGTCACTTATTATAACACGCAGACGAAAATCTGACATGTTTATTTTTGGATTTGTTAAATTCTTTAAATTTCACTCGACAGTTGTACGAACTGGTACCGCGAAGATGACCATTTACCCTGTGAAGATGATAAACATTAGCCTTTGTATCTATTTATAAGATATTAAATCGCCACGCTGTGTCAAAACTTAAAAAATGTAAACTTTGAGGTAAAAAGTTCAATCTAACAATACATAGTCTTTATAAGCGCATCATTTTAACCAAATCCGTGTTGAATGTTCAGTTGCAGCCGCGCATGAATAATTAAAGATGACTTCCATAACGTTGTATGTATCCAATCTTAACGTAATATGACGTCATACTATGATGTCACACTTGATTCAGCGCACCGTGAAAACTGTGCATCACTGATGCCACACTGATTACGTTCTACAGATCATAATGAACATTAATATAACCACTTTGCAACAACACTGACAACAATGTATTTGTATTTTGTTCAAGTTGGATTTAAAGTTAAATCATCACGTTCGTCAGAGTTCAAAATCGTTCTTTTTCCTGTCATACAGAATCATACACATTGCACTTAGGCTGAAAAGAGCTGATATAAGTGCACATACACAACCAAGGCAGCTGCCACCA